CAAAAGGGGTTTAATTCTCCTATCTTCATTTTGATTATTTCAGAAACCCCCACTGACACACATCTCCACTCCATTTCCTCCTCATTTTTTTTTTGGGTTACATTTCCTCCTCACTCCTTATCTAACCAAAACCTTTATTTTGTTGTAAAAAAACCTAATGGATGTGTCAAATGAGACGACGGAGAGAACCGATCTCCGGCGACCGTTGGTGGAGAGGAAACCTCCGTCGGACGTCGGACTCGAGAGCGTTTTAACGGAGAGTAGTCTTCCGTACCGGAGGCGCGTGTACTTAGGCGCGTGCATAGAAATGAAACTACTTTTCCGGTTAGCACTTCCGGCGATACTTGTCTATTTAGTCAACAGCGGAATGAATATCTCCGCTCGAATCTACGCCGGACATCTCGGCGGTCAAGAACTCGCCGCTGCGTCCATCGGAAACAGCTGCTTCAGTCTCGTCTATGGCCTCATGGTACGTTGACTTTTATGTGTGGAGACGTGGAGACATGTTGATAATATTAATAATAATATAAGGATATTTAGGAGGTAAATGAGTGAAGTATTAAATGTTACCTCGATTACGTGTTAACATTAAATTATGAACATAATAGGTCACAATTTGGTTAAGAATTAGTGAATTACAGCCTGTAGCGATGCTCCTAGATCTTTGTTTTTTATTTTTTCGTCATTCTGTTCAATTTATCCTTTTTAAAATTTTCTCCACTTCCCAACAAATCTAGAAAATACTTTAATTTCTTAAACGAGTATCTGATCGCGCCAAAAAATTACTAATATAATCCATTTATTAGTTTTCTTACCATTTCATGAATTCTGTGCCATTTGGTTAAGGAGTACTGCATGTAACGATGCTTTTCCCCCTATATATATATTTTTAGTTTTCTTCCCATGTACTCCATGCTTTTAAATTTTTCTTCACCTTCTCAACAAATCTAGAAACAATCATTTCTTAAACAAGCATTTGGTCAAAAAAAATTTTAAAAACATAGATTTTTAAAAAGTATATAGATTTGTTGGGAGTATATATTTCAAAAAAAATAGTATATGTTAATATGCATTATTGAAATATTTCTTAGAAAGGAAAAAGTGGTCCAGTATTTTTTTGTGGTCAATGGTTACGTATTACGATGTTGTCATGATGTTAAATATTATTCTTTTGATAAATAATTACCAATATACACACATTTATAGCGAGATATAATAACTATAGTTTTCTTAGGCGTTAATTCTTATTTAGAAAGACTCATGAAAATGAAAGGTATTAGAAGTCATTATTATTACCGATGGTAACAATAAAAAATGATCATTAGAAAATTACAGTAAAAATGAACTTGACATCTTTTCATTTTTAGGGATCGAAACTTCACGTTATGCAGCTATTTCCATTAAAATAATAATCGTTCCAGTCTCACTAAATGATAAACAGATTTGTGTAAAAATAAATTCATATCATGGAGTACGAAAGAGAAATCTTTCTATTTCTATTATAGCATGTTTTTTTTTATAAAAAAAACATTTTAAGTAGCATCGGAAATTTGGAATAGAAGTCAAACATTTATGATCCTCTTTATATTTTAGTGTATTAATGAGCTTTATTTATTTGCTCGTGAGCTGAACCCCTTTTCCTTAATTTTATTGATAGCCGTGAATTAATACTATATACTGTAAAGAATTGTAATAAATGATTGATTTGGACTTCAGAAAAACACAAAATTGTGATACATAAGAATTATATGTCTCTTTCTTTTTTTAAGTCAGAACTTTATATATCTTTAAAATGTTTTTACCTTTTTCACTTCTTTTAAAATGGTTATACAGTTAGGTATGGGAAGTGCAGTGGAGACTTTATGTGGACAAGCATATGGAGCCCACCGCTATGATATGCTCGGGATCTATCTCCAAAGAGCAACAATTGTCCTCGCTCTTGTTGGTTTGCCCATGACTTTACTATACACCTTTTCGTACCCGATTCTACTCTTATTAAACGAGCCCAAAACGGTATCGTACATGGCATCTTATTACATCGCCGGACACATCCCTCAAATCTTCGCTTACGCCGTCAACTTCACGGCCCAAAAATTTCTCCAGGCCCAAAGCGTGGTGATCCCTAGCGCGTACATCTCAGGCGCCGCCTTGCTCGTCCAGATCTCGCTGACGTGGATCACTGTTTACGTAATGGACATGGGTCTTATGGGCATAGCTTATGTTCTTACTATCTCTTGGTGGATCATAGTTGCGGCCCAGACTTTGTATATTACAACTAGTCAAAGGTTCAGACACACGTGGACTGGTCTTAGCTGGAGATCGTTCCAAGGTCTTTGGAGCTTCTTTAAACTCTCTGCTGGTTCCGCTGTTATGATTTGTCTGGAAATGTGGTATTCGCAGATTCTTGTTCTTCTTGCCGGTTTGCTTAAAGATCCTTCTCTTTCTCTAGATTCTCTCTCCATCTGGTTAGTTCATTATTTCATAATTTTCATTACTATCTCGATTTTTTTCACTTTTTTTTTCAATGTTTGGATCGTTTTTGGTTCCAATTCTCTTTAACATTTTTTTTTTTTTGCAGTATGTCAATTTCAGCATTATCCTTCATGGTCTCCGTAGGCTTCAATGCGGCTGCAAGGTTAGTATTTATGTTTTTATAAATCATTTCGAATCATTAGCAAACATTGCTAATCATAAATTGAAAAACCTATTATAGTGTACGGACAAGTAACGAGCTCGGAGCAGGAAATCCGAAGTCGGCGTTGTTCTCTACATGGACGGCGACTTTTGTTTCCTTCATGATCTCCGTCGCGGAGGCCATCGCCGTGATGGCGGCACGTGATTACGTCAGCTACATTTTCACGTCGGATGCTGACGTGGCCAAGGCCGTCTCTGACCTATGTCCTTTTCTTGCCGTCACAATCATTCTCAACGGAATTCAACCCGTTTTGTCCGGTATGTACGTTTTTTTGTGTGGTTAAACATTGTCCGGTATAGATGTGCAGTTGATTTTTAGTTAAAACCCGAGACAACCAGTGTAATTAACCGAACCGGGCTAAATTAATTTTGGTTTGGTATTGGTTTGCAGGAGTGGCAGTGGGATGTGGATGGCAAACGTTCGTGGCATATGTGAACGTTGGTTGTTACTATATTGTTGGTATTCCTGTTGGTTGTATCCTCGGCTTCACTTTCAATTTTCAAGCCAAGGTTCGTTTAATTAAAATATACTTTCTGTAAAAATATATTATATATATCATAAAGTTAAATTTATTCGAATTTGGTAATAGGGAATATGGACCGGGATGATTGGTGGTACCCTCATGCAAACCCTCATCTTACTTTATGTCACGTATCAAACAGATTGGGATAAAGAGGTGAGTGTTACATGACATTAAGTCACATCATATACTGATTTCATATTTTATAATTTGATTTGGGAGTGTCAAAATTATTAAGATAATAATTTTACAATGGTTAAGGTGGAAAAAGCGAGGAAGCGATTGGATATGTGGGACGATAAGAAGGAGTCTCTTCAAAGTTAAACAAGTAATGTATAATCAAAAAGAGTAATTTGTGTTTTGAAGTAGCTACCATTAAATTTGATAATATAATATAGCTAGTCTAGTACTAATATACTAGTATTACAAAATGCAGATTTAACAAGTGTGGAGGTGTGGAAAACAAAGAAAATAAGAAAATAACAAGTGTGGTCTATAGAGGTGGTTTTGAAACGAAGATCCTTCTTTTTGAATTTTTTATAGCTATAATATAGAACTAAACCATTCACCAGATTTCTCATTTTTAATATTTTTTTCGTTAAATCTAATGGATGGCTTAATTTCTTGAAATTAGTTTCAAATTGATCTATTATTACTTTTGGAGATAATATTTAATTATTTATTCTGGAATGTTGATGTAATACTAGGGTGATCCACACGGACGTCCACACGTAGTAAAGTAATTTGAATTTCAATACATTTTAATGAAGTTTCTTTTTTCTTAAAAGCTAGGATTAGCTTTCGTTTGGTTTTATGTAATTCCGATTGGGTTCACCAAATTTGGTTCGGTTAGGTTATAATTTGATTTTTAAAATATTTTATATGATGTTGTATTGGGCAACCATTCTTTGTCATCCGGTTGAGCAAGCTACCAGCAATAAAATTAGCATGGATAAAGGCCGAAGTCCTAAATTTGAAAGATCAACAAAATTTAGCAATAATCATAAAATACTATATGAAGGATCCAACAAGAAACAATCTAAATCATCATCATCTAACCATCAAATCATTATAATTTAATTCAACCTATTATCAAACGAATGATTAATCACACTAGTCATGATACAAGAGAGAACAAAAATTAAGCAGAAACATAATTAAGAAAAACAAAGAAGAGTTAAGCGAAAAAGATAGGAGAAGACAAATATTTCACGAATTGAGAATCTTATCCAAAATGTAAAGAAAACTGTTTTGGATTGAAAAACCAACTCAAAGAAGGAACAAATCCCTATTATAAAACTGTCAACAATCGATTATATTTTTTCTGAACCTTCAGCCTGGATATTTTTTTATATGAGTATTGTTCAGTACTATATCATTTTCGTATATATTTTTTTTTTCCCAAACACCTACTCAAATACTATATTTGTCTCAAAACATAGATCGTTTTAGATCAAAAAATTGATTTCCGTATCGTTGTTTTTCTGTAGTTAATTAATATCAAAGATTCAAAGTTAACATCTTTTACGCGGCAGATATCTCTTCCTTTTATTGCTTTAATTTTTCATATTTAGTACTAGTTAATACTATAAAAGAATTTCAACATGTTTTTGTTTGAACAACTACCAATATTTTATTACATAGTCCCTTGGAAGTTGGAACCCACCCGGCATATTGATATTGATCGCTCCCTTCACTGTTGCTCTCTAAAGACTTCATTACTTATTTTTATACACACAAATAGTTTTGTTTTTCTTATCTTCATTTTTGATTATTTTTAAACCCCACAGATCCTCACGTCTCTGACCAGTTCCCTCCTCATTCTTATATAAAGAACCCTTCTCTCCTAAAACTTGTTATAAACCAAGACGTTGAAAAGTAAACTATATTACCAATGGGCATATCAGATGAGAGAACCGATCTTCAGCGACCATTGATAGATCCAACGGACTCGGAGCGAAAACCTCTTAAGGACGTCGGACTCGAGAGCGTGTTAACGGAGAGTAGCCTCTCGTATCGGTGGCGCGTGTACTTAGGCGCGTGCATAGAGATGAAACTACTTTTTCGGTTGGCACTTCCGGCGATACTTGTGTATTTAGTCAACAGCGGAATGAGTATCTCCGCTCGGATATTCGCCGGACGTATCGGCGGTATGGAACTCGCCGCCGCATCCCTCGGAAACAGCTGTTTCTTTCTCGTCTATGGTCTTATGGTACGTTTCTTTTACGTTACATATAAAATTAATAATTTTTATTTATGTCTTTTTTCTGCATTTGATATTTAATGTTTTAAGTATTTAAGGTCAATGGCTACCACGACGATTAGTTGAAGAAGTTTTCTTTCTATAAAAAAATGGTCCTCGTTCAGCACGCTAATATTAATATTAGCCTTAAATCTGACTATAATTGTTGATCTTTTCAGATCTCTTCGAGTGCCAACCAAATCTAGAAATAATTGATAGAAAATGCACATCTTTTTTTTGTTAAAAATAAAATGCTCATCTTATTATCTTAAGCGAGAAAGAGTTTATACATATTAATCAGCGCAATATTACCTAAGTTTTACTATATTACTCGACAAAAAGGCTCTGTAACTACTCAATGTTCTAAACTTAGGAATCGAAACTTATGTTATGCAGCTACTTTCATAAACATACAATTCCCGAAATTGTTACCCTTAAATATACTAACTTCGACTTTGCAATTTTTTTTTTTGCCAGAGTCTAACGATTACCCCTAATTTTGAAATACCAATATATCCTTATCAGAATTTATTTTGTACAAAATGATCGCCGTGTAGAAGTTTCTTACGAGCAAACTTTCAACGGGAATATTATAGTAAGAAAAACAGATATATGTATATAGTTAAATAATCAAGCATTAATTTTGGGCTTTTTTTTTACGTTTTTTGTTTACAGTTGGGTATGGGAAGTGCAGTAGAGACACTTTGTGGACAAGCTTATGGGGCACAACGGTACGATTTACTTGGGATCTATCTCCAAAGAGCAACAATTGTCCTCGCTCTTGTTGGTTTGCCCATGACACTACTATACACTTTCTCGTACCCGATTCTACTCATGTTAGGTGAGCCCAAAACGGTGTCGTACATGGGTTCTATGTACATCGCCGGACTTATCCCTCAGATATTCGCTTACGCCGTAAACTTCACTGCCCAAAAGTTCCTCCAGGCCCAAAGCGTGGTGATCCCTAGCGCGTACATCTCAGGCGCCGCTCTTCTCCTCCAGATATTGCTTACGTGGATCACCGTTTACGTAATGGGCATGGGCCTTATGGGAATAGCTTGTGTTCTTACAATCTCTTGGTGGGTTATGGTTGTGGCACAGACTTTGTATATTACAACTAGTCGAAGGTTTAGACACACGTGGACTGGTCTTAGCTCGAAATCGTTTCAAGGTCTTTGGAGTTTCTTTAAACTCTCTGCTGGCTCAGCTGTTATGATCTGTCTGGAAATGTGGTATTCACAGATTCTGGTTCTTCTCGCTGGTTTGCTTAAAGATCCTGCTCTCTCTCTAGATTCTCTCTCCATCTGGTAAGTCCATTATTTCATTAATTGATATCTTGATTTGTCAAAAAATGTTTTTTTTTAATGTTGGGTCTATTTTTGGTTGAAGACTTGTCATATTTGTTGGATACATTTATGACCTATCTATCCTATAAATAATAAATATTGAGAAAGACACGTGAATCATGCGTTATTGTGTACCAAACAAATCCAAAGTACCAAATATATGACTTTTATAACCTGTAATGCAAGTGATCGATAGAGTAAGAGCTCTCCTTTTCTTGGAAAATTCAAAGAAATAATAGTCTTCCTTTTCTTCGTCACTTTTTTTTTCTCTCCCTCCCAGATGCCGTAAATTTGTTTTTATTTATTTATTCTTTGTTATAGAGCTGAAAATACTAAAATATAAGTATAGTCTAACTAAAGTAGTGTAATGGAATAAATCAATAAATCAAAAAAATGTTGCTGAAATATATATATATATATATCTTTTATTACATCTAATACATTTTCTCATGCCGTAAAAAAAAATCTAAAATTTTTTCTCTCTTTTTTGCAGTATGTCAGTTTCAGCATTATCCTTCATGGTCTCCGTCGGCTTCAATGCGGCTGCAAGGTTAGTATATGTTTCTTCCTTAATATCAAATCATTAGCCATGCAATATTGTTGAAAATTAAATCATACTTGGAAAAAATAATAATATGACAGTGTAAGGACAAGTAATGAGCTCGGAGCAGGAAATCCGAAATCGGCGTTATTCTCTACATGGACAGCGACTTTTGTTTCCTTCGTGATATCCCTCGCGGAGGCTCTCGCCCTGATGATGTCGCGTGATTACGTCAGCTATATTTTCACGTCGGATGCTGACGTGGCTAAAGCCGTCTCTGAGCTATGTCCTTTTCTCGCCGTCACCATAATTCTCAACGGGATCCAACCCGTCTTGTCCGGTATGGGAGCATTAATCAACATTTCGTTAAACATTAAAACCGGGTTAATTACCTTAACCGAGCGGGCCAAAATAAGTATCCGTTTGGTATTTGGTTTGCAGGAGTGGCAGTGGGATGTGGATGGCAAACATTTGTGGCATATGTGAATGTTGGTTGTTACTATATTGTTGGTATTCCCGTTGGTTGTATCCTTGGTTTCACTTTCGATTTTCAAGCCAAGGTTCGTAATTATATATTTTTGTATATTTTCTGTATAATCTATGCTTTTTCATCTATGTATAGTGAAGTTAATTTTATGTGAATGTTGGTGATAGGGAATATGGACCGGGATGATTGGAGGTACCCTCATGCAAACCCTCATCTTACTTTACGTCACCTATCGAACAGATTGGGATAAAGAGGTAAGTGTTACGTAACACAATATTGTCCTAGAATTTACTTTATAAGCTCAATTTGATTTTAAGGTTGTGTACATGTTTTTAATTAATGAAGATTTTTGTTATTATACAATGATTTAGGTGGAAAAAGCGAGAACTCGATTGGATATGTGGGATGAGAAGAAGGAGTCTCTCCAAAATTAGTAATGGATCTAATGAAATTAATTATATATGTTTTTTTTATAAATAGCTACCAATTAAGTTTAATAATATATTAATTAATAATAACATAATAAAAACTGCAGATTGTATAACAAGTGTGGAAGAGTGAAATACCAAGAAAAAAAAGAAAAAAAGTGTGGTCTGTGGAGGTGGTTCTGAAGATCCTTTTTCTGAAGCTTTTTGTAGGTATAGACTTATAATATAATTAGAACACAATTGTTCACTATTTTTATTTTCTTCGGAATGGTATTGTTAGCTAATCTGATGGATTGGTTTCTTAAATGCACTGAAAGTTGTTTTTTAAACTAGATATATTGACTATTGCTACTTGAAGACCGATATTAATTATCCAGGAATTTAGATGTAAATATTAAGAGTAATGCACACGTACGGAGTTTAGTTAAGCTCATAACTCATAAGTGTCAAAACTAGAGACATAGGATGTAAAGAACAGTCGAACAGACGAGACCATCATATCGCCAATCAAAGCCAAGCTACTCATGTTTGGAATTAGGACGACTCAATTACGAATTCACATAATCAATCGGGAAACAAAAGACCATAAGAGACTAAATTTACTGGCCTGGTAGAACACGATATAAAATACCTAGACTGAAAGAAACCACTGACTGCACTGGCAACAACTACGATCAGCTGAATCGATTATCATTGACTACTCAACGATCCACAATAGAAGAATCTCAAGATATCGAGATTCAAACACAGCAATGGCATCTCGGCTTCTACAACGCTGGTTGTCTACCTCCTCGACACCATCTACTTCCTCCGTCCGACATGTAAGTAACATCTCCACATGGGCTTAAATATCTGTACCGGGTTTAGACCTGACAAACTCTGCATGGGCGATGCTGTAACTGTGTAACATTTTTTTATAAAAAAAAAAGTAGGATTACTTTTAGCTTGGTTTCAATTTAGATTCGATTCTCAATTAGGAAATTGCGATAATAAAATCGATACTATAATGATTTTCATATCTTTACTAATCATTTAAAAAAAATAACTATGATGTCATTTTTACGGATGTCTCTTCCGCTTTGTATCATCAATTTAGCAATGTGTCAGTTGAGTTAGTGGATCCGACGAGCTCAAAACAAATATATTTTTACAAATTAAAAGCCTTAAAAACGTGCTAAAGTAGTTTGCGTAGATTGTCGGATGATATTTTATATTCGTATATGATGAATTTGCACATGTTCATTTGCATATTTTTTTAATAGGTTGCTGCGCCTAATGATACTCTCGATAGATTAGTTACTTTCTAAATTGTTACTAAAAAAACAAATATTGTCGGATGTTAAAATATATAAAATTAATTACTTTCTAAATTACATAAAATTAATTTTATATATTTACTTTCTAAATTAAATTCTAGTCACTAAAAAAAATTTAGATTGTCGGATGATATTTTATCTATTCTATTAAAACAAAAACATTTTTAATGTTTGTATCCAACCACTTCTAAAATGTTTTTAAAAAACAATTATTTAAAAATTATTTTAAGATTATCTTATTTTGTTGCGATATTATTTTAAAATATATATTTTTTATATATAAAAATAATTCCGAAAATTAGATATCAATTTAGATAATTAAAGATTTCTTTAATATATGTTATATTTAATTTAAAAATTAAAATATTTTAAAATGCAATTTATTTAAATCTGAGAAGTTAAATATTAAGTTAAATTACTTTAGACTTCTTTAAATATAATTTAAATTTAAATTAACATTTGACATTTAAATAATATTAATAACACATGTGATTATATTGTAATTTTTTAATCATAATCAATCAGTCAAAAAATTTAAATATTGAAAATTGATAAATATTTATAATATATGGTAATTTGATGGGACATGCTAAATTTTTTTTATAATTGTGGTCATATGTGGGTTAACTTACTAAAACATACAATATATTAAACTAAAAATTATTTTAAAATTAGTATTTTTTATTATATAATATTATAAATGGAAATGTTAGAATTATGTTTTTATACCCAGTCCCAATTATGTTTTTATAACCAAACCTTTTTGGATTAATAGAATGAATGAATTAGAATTATGTTTTTTTAATAATTGTATTTTTTATTAATATAATAAACAGATTAGAATTTATGATCGTGGTTATAATAATACAAAAAAAAAATTTAAATACAAATTATATGTAAATAAAAAACAGAAATTACATTACAAAATTTGATAAAATTCTCGTGCAGATGCACAGAGTAAAATCTAGTTGTATATGAATTTGCACATGTTCAAAAGATCATTATTTATGTGACCGTATTCTATATCTTTTTATAACTAAATAATATAAATTAAAGAAATTAAAGATATGATGTTAAATTTTGTTTTTTTAGTGACTAGAGTTGATTGCCTTAGTGGTAAATCCTCAAAAAGCCATCACCAGCTGGTCAATAACCATTAAACTAAGATTTTTTTTTTTGGTTTTAACCATTAAACTAAAATGACAAATCTATAAGTATTTTTTTCTATTGTCGTATATTTTATTATTAAGTATACAAATATAGATATAGAAATCGGCTGTCGGTTGCTTTTGTTTCTGTGAACTAGTTTTCTAACGGTTTGGACAAATTCAACACGTTCGGTTGGTTCTGAGTCTCTGACCGATTGAATTTTTAGAACACTGGTATGGTTATACATATTTTTTACGCAATTAGTTTATATTAATGTCACCTTTTATTGTTTTCATTTATAAGGTCATTCTAAAAAAATATCAACAATACTTTACTGTCTGTTGAACAATCTTCTCTATTTATAGACGAAAATGATGGGCTTTCAAAACCTAATCACCTACATAAGCTAGACGCTAAAAAACCTAAATAAATAACCTATGGATATGTCAACGGAGACGGTGGAGAGAACCGATCTCCGGCAACCGTTGGTTGATCCGAAGAACTCGGAGCAAAAACCACAGAAGGAGGTCCGATCACTCGAGAGCGTTTTATCGGAGAGTAGCCTTCCGTACCGGAGGCGCGTGTACTTAGGCGCGTGCATAGAAATGAAACTTCTTTTCCGGTTGGCACTTCCGGCGATACTTGTTTATTTAGTCAACAGTGGAATGAGTATCTCGACTCGTATCTTTGCCGGACATATCGGTGGTAAGGAATTCGCCGCCGTGTCCATAGGCACTAGCTACTTCAATTTCGTCTATGGCCTCATGGTACGTAATCGTGCACACCAGCACATATATGTGGAACTTTAACCAAAAATAAAAGAAGCACATATATGTCAGGCACGTTAATATTATTTTTATCAAGAATTGTATTGGTCTTTCCTGCAATTTGATATATCAGTAGATTCAGTAAAAGATATCAGCAAATATATAATAATACTTATTTTTGTGTCTTATAAAGACTTCTTTTCTTGACCAAGAATAAAAATAAAGACTTCTTTAAAAATGATGAAACAAGGAGGGAAATGTTCAAAACCAATTTGCTAAATATGATATTGAAAATATCATGAAAATCTTTTCAATTTTTGAAGTTTTAATTTATAATAATCTAAGTACAAACAACTCTTTATATCATTACTAAATCTCTTTCCCTTTAAAATCAATCGACGACTATTCAAATCAAACTCCTACTAAGCATCTAAACCCTCTTAAGAAAATATCTTTCAAGCATAAAATATATTAAACTCAGAAGTGTGCTATTTTATGACTTTGCCCAAAAACATATAACATATACATAGATTAAACTTTTTTGGCTTGTTTGTGACTTTGTCTTATGTAATCTGTATAGTTGGGTATGGGCAGTGCAGTGGAGACACTATGTGGACAAGCGTATGGGGCACAACGGTACGAGATGCTTGGGATTTATCTCCAAAGAGCAACGATCGTTCTCGCTTTGGTTGGCTTGCCCATGACAGTTTTCTACACCTTCTCGTACCCGATTCTACTCCTACTAGGCGAGCCCAAAACGGTCTCGTACATGGCATCTTTGTACATCGCCGGACTCATCCCTCAAATCTTCGCCTACGCCGTCAACTTCACGTCCCAAAAATTCCTCCAAGCCCAAAGCGTGGTGGCTCCCAGCGCGTACATCTCAGGCGCCGCCCTCCTCCTTCAGGTTTTGCTGACGTGGACCACCGTTTACGTAGTGGGCATGGGTCTTATGGGGATAGCTTATGTTCTTACCATCTCTTGGTGGTTCATAGTTCTGGCTCAGAGTTTGTATATTACGACAAGCCCAACGTTTAGACACACGTGGACTGGTCTTAGCTGGAGATCGTTCCAAGGTCTTTGGAGCTTCTTTAAGTTCTCTGCTGGTTCCGCTGTTATGATTTGTCTGGAAATGTGGTATTCTCATATTCTAGTTCTTCTTGCTGGTTTGCTCAAAGATCACGCTCTCTCTCTAGATTCTCTCTCCATCTGGTAAATCCATTAATCTTGATATTTACCTTTTGAGAAAATATTTCAATGTTTTGAACATTTTTGTTTAGTAACATATTATTATTTTTGTTTACAGTATGTCAATTTCAGGATTTTCCTTCATGGTCTCCATCGGCTTCAATGCGGCTATAAGGTTAGTAATTTACTCCTCATAATTTACGTAAACTCATTGACTAACTTTTTTCTTAACCAACATTGCTGAAAATTATATTCTAAAATTGTGGAAAATATAAATATTAAAGTGTAAGGACAAGTAATGAGCTCGGAGCAGAAAATCCAAAATCGGCGATGTTCGCTTCATGGACGGCGACTTTTGTTTCCTTCGTTATATCCCTCGCGGAGGCTCTCGCCCTGATGATGTCGCGGGACTACGTCAGCTACATTTTCACGTCGGATGCTGACGTGGCTAAGGCCGTCTCTGAGCTATGTCCTTTTCTCGCCGTCACCATCATTCTCAACGGGATCCAACCCGTCTTGTCCGGTATACATGCATGCAATCAACACTAAGTTAAACATTTTTAACCGGTTTACCTTAACCGACCGGGCCAAATAAGTATATTGGTTTGGTATTCGTTTGGTAGGAGTGGCAGTGGGATGTGGATGGCAGACATTTGTGGCATATGTGAACGTTGGTTGTTACTATATTGTTGGTATTCCCGTTGGTTGTATTCTCGGCTTCACTTTCGATTTTCAAGCCAAGGTTCGTTATTTTTTGTATACTTTCTATATAATATATGCCTCATTATTATCTATCTATATTAAAAAAATATATTTATTCCAATATGGTGATAGGGAATATGGACCGGGATGATTGGAGGCACCCTCTTGCAAACCCTCATTTTACTTTACGTCACCTATCGAACAGATTGGGATAAAGAGGTAAGTGCTACCTATAATACCAAGTCACATCATATTGATTCAGAATCATAGTATTTTTATAAGTTAGTTTTGATTTGGGTGTGTTGAAATTATTAAGATTATTCTAATATAATGTTTCAGGTGAAAAAGGCGAGAAAACGTTTGGATATATGGGAGGACAAGAAGGAGCCAGTCCTTACATGAAACTGGGAATATGTTTGCGAGTTGCAATAAACATAGTTTGTATTGTTTTAATTGTATGAGTACACATTCCAACTAAAATAATGTATGTTTAACCACATAAAATAAACAACTAGCCTATGGTGATATACACCAACAACTAGAATATATTTTCTGATGGATAGAATAACTTTCTCCATTTTGCACATATGCCATTTTGATACATTTTACATGGATTAGTGAACTTTAAAACATACACAAATATATCTACTTAATATTAATTAATGTTTATATATTCCAGCTTATAATAAAAGTAAAGCGATGGACTAAAAAAAATCTTTTTGAAAATGTAGAATGCCAGTTGACGAGAATAAAAGAGAAATATAGTTTTTTTTGACAAAAAGAACTCTAGTGCTCTATTCAACATCAATCGCTCGACACGTCAGTTTTTGTTTTGTTTTGAAGAAGTTAATGATGTTGATACTTTTTTTTATTGGTCAAGAGATGATACTTGTTTTTTTTTTTGACATCAGATTTTGATACTTGTTTAGAAGAGGATATTAGTGATTATACCGCATGTTATGTCTTATATATGTACAACGCTGCAGCCACGGCATATTCCAACGATAAAGAATTTGGCGCCAACGTCGCCCTAATTAAAATTTGCATGCATTACTCACTTAATATTAACTTTATTAACTTTTTTTTTTCTTTTTTGCATTGCTAGCTACGAAGTTCCGAGCAAAAATCAGATCAATATGACGTATAAATTTATGTTCGACTAAAATTGGGATCAATAAATTTGGTCCGGTTTCGTACAAACACACTATATTCCAATTAATTAATTAATAGACATTTGTGTTGGCAATGGTTTAGGACAAATGTATTTTCTGTTGGAACTAGACCTAATAGACAAACGCAGTTATTGCATTCATAAATGACTAGTAATATATGGTGAATGTCAGAAATCTAATTAATGATCGTACTAACTAAATAAATGTATAATGTAATGAAGCTATAATAGTCAACTTCCTACGCACACAAAGTTAAAACAAGTCAACGGGAGGAAAGCTTCGTAAAGCACTAAAGCATCACTAACCTTAATTAATTTAGAGGAAATGTTCAATGTATTGGGGCCATGTTCAAAATCTTGAAGCTTATTCCACTATTTCACACAACCATTTTCCCTTTTTCTCATAACGTAACTAATTTTAATTATGTGACTAAGTTCAAAAATCTATAAGCACCGTAGATATTTACAATGACAAAAGAAAGAATACGTCGAAGGTCCTTCTGTCTTGACTAAATATAACAAATGATCACTAAATTGTGCACGAGATTGTAGAATTATAGGTGACTCCGAGTCTCCGACTCAACAATATAAGATTGTAAAAAATTCATGCGCGAGTAACCAAGAAAGTGTCTGTGTTAAACATTTGCCTGATCAATCATCTATAATAATTCCATATAACCATAAAATCGGTTGGACATACTGCATTGTTGGCTATAGTTTATTTACAATTGATAGGACCTTTCTGGACCATAAAGTTTATATTCATATGTTAAAGTACCAAACCATGTTATAATATGCGAATCCAGATCCTTATATTTGATAATCAAGTCTTCCGTAAATTAAAAATAACCAACAAGGTTTATGTAGTTAAGGCTTCTAAGAAAAAGTTATAATACACCACTAATGAGTTTTTATTCGACATATGATAGGGTATTAATATGATGAGAACAATAAAATAATTTTTTTTTTCAAACATGAATAGCAAAGAGAGGGGGAAGATCAGAGACGCTTCGAGGAGATGAGCATAAGAAATAACGTCTAAGAGAATTAAGGAAACGTGGCATAAGATCACCATGTTTGTTCGCCATTCCACAACTCTTCCTTAGCTTCCTTAGCTGTCTCAGCTTCTTCCCAATCTTTTTTCTTATTCCCACCACTCTAAACGATGACGTTTTGACCAAAATACTTCTCCTATGTTGCTGTCTTAATGTCTCTGTGTCGGCTTGTTGGAGAATCTTGTGGATCAGAAACTGAGCTCTCCTGTGGATCATTTCATTGGGATCCTCTTTCTCTATCTTTGCGTATGCCTTTACATTCTTCATCATCATTGCCATTTTCTTTTGGAGCTGAAGTTTCTGCCTTTTGTGTGGACTAAGTTAAGGTAATACCATAAGGATCATTGTACATATATAGGCATATATCTGGAGATTTTATATTGTTTGACTATCTGAGCAATACATGTGGACTATCCGTTATTCCGGTTGGTTCACGCACATGTATTATACATACAAATTAATTCGACGTAGATAAAAAAAATTCATATTAATCAAAAATATTAGCAATACAAAAGTTTGATTAATATAGAATCATTATTTCTTAACCTGTGTATATTTTCAAAAGCCTGTGTATCAAATTCTACAAATTTTAAATTTGATTGGGCAAATCTATTTTTCTTGGTATTACGGTGGTTTTAGAAAACAAAAACTAATGTGACATTGTATGAAATTCTCTAGAAAACAAAATCTAATGTGACATTGTATGAAATTCTCATATACTAATGGACCATACTTAGTAACAGTATATCTCACGACCTATATTTTAGTAGTATTAACTAGATTAACTTATTATCTCACGACACATACATTACGTTGAAATTCTAGTTTTATTCGAATGAGAGAGAATAAGTGAATTGTTTATAAACAACTTATTCTAAGCTAGATTTGAAAGAGAGTAAGCCATACCAATTGCTACAGAGAGAAGTAGTTTTCTCCTCATTTTTGTCATCTACCTAATTTATTCATGAATCTTTATAATTTATTTGCTAATTGACTTTGTTAAACTATACTCACGGATGTGATTTTCTCTGTAAAAGTCGAACCACTCCTACAAATTCTACGAAATTTAGGAAATTTGTAGTTTTCGAAAAGAACAGTGTAGACTACAGTTTATGTATTGCTTAATTGCTTTACTTTGATCAAAATTCTAATATACTTACATCAATTGAAAAGGTTATAGTATCAGAAAAATTAATTATTGAACATGTAATTAGATGTTTTTGAAATAAATATTTTTTGTTGTAATATGAAACCAAAATGAAGAACTTTTTATTTATTTATTTTTTTTTTTTTGTAATAAACATTTGAATAGCTTGAAAATACATATATAAAAAAAGGCTATGAAATTAGAAAAACCTTCTCTGCCTTCTTCTTCCTTGCTATGCGCCGTACCTCGTTCTCTCTCTGAAACTCGCTCACCCTATAGAGTCGTTCCTCGCAGGTTAGCTTCTTCGATTTTCCTATCAAACCCAATAGTGCGTCCACATTCCCGTGACTTCGTTTAAAACCTAAACCTTTTCTGATTTTTCTAAGGTTTGTGTTGTTCTTAAAGTACAGAGATTGATAAACCCGAGTTCGTTCCATTTCACTGCAGAAACTTTAATCGTAATTAGTCGTTCGCGAATCTTTCTGAGAAATCTAGGGTATACATGTGTCCCTATCCAATATCTTCCTTGCATGCAATCTGGAAAAAATTAACAATTAGATCAGCCTTAAATCATAGAATGTCCCATAAACCTTGAAAAATTGGATCTTGGATGTGCCAGGCAGGTGCAAAGCTGATCAATTGCAATATACACTCTTGTCTATGTAAAAAAGGCTTTGATTGTTTTGTTAATTGGTTTGTTTCTGCTCACTCAAATCTGGGATTTTGTTTCTGGTCAGGGTAAAGGTTTCATCTTCCACTTTAGCCAATTCAAAGCTTGTAACTTTGAGATCTTGCGCAGCTAAGTTGCACGTGTATAATTCCATGGCCGCCTCTGATCAGCGCCGTTCTCGCCACCACGATGAAAGCCCATCAAACCCGAACAAGAGGAAGAAGACAAGCCAAAAACCAGAAAAGAATCTACTTATCAATCTCCATTCCTGTACCAAGTCCAAGGACCTTGAAGCTGCGTTAGCTCTCTATGATGAAGCCATCACTTCTGGTGACGTCCGCCTCGGCCAGCAACATTTCCAGAGCCTTCTTTACCTCTGCTCAGCTTCCATTAGTGACCCTGATCTCGAAACCCTTGCCATATACCGTGGATTCCAGATTTATGACCGTATGGTTAGTTCAGGGATAAGTCCCAATGAGTCCACCGTCACTGCAGTGGCGCGACTAGCTGCTGCCAAAGGTGACGGTGATTTTGCTTTCAAGCTTGTCTTAGACATTGTTGCTGGAGGCGTATCAGTCCCACGTCTGAGAACTGTTGCTCCAGCTTTGCTCTGTTTCTGTGAGAGATTGGAGGCTCGACAGGCTTACGAAGTGGAAGAGTACATGGATGCTTTAGGTATTGTGTTGGAGGAGGTGGAGATCTCGGCTTTATTGAAGGTAAGCATTGGCACAGAGCAGGCAAACAAGTTTTATAAATATTTGCATAAGTTAAGGGAAAATGTTGGCTGTGTTAGTGAAGAGACTTCAAAAATTATCGAGGAATGGTTTAGAGAGAAAGCTAGCGAGGTTAGAGGGAAAGTTTCTGATATTGAGTTGCTTAGAGCAGCTGTTTTGAAGAATGGGGGTGGGTGGCATGGGCTTGGGTGGGTTGGGGAAGGCAAATGGATTGTGAAGAAAGGTAATGTTAGCCCTGCCGGGAAATGTTTGAGCTGCGGTGAGCATTTGGCTTGTGTAGATGCCAATGAGGTAGAGACTGAGAAGTTTGTAAATTCTTTGGTTGCTTTGGCTATGGAGAGGAAGGCCAAGATGAATTCATGTGAGCCAACGGCGGACTTCAGCGAGTTTCAGGTTAGAGAAAAAGAAAGGTTTAAACTTTATATAGATAACATACTCTGTGTTTCTGTATAGTTCTGAATGTGAATTTCTTAGCTATATAACAAGCACTATCAAGTAGAAAAGAAAATGCTCTAATGTAGCTTCTGTTTTTTAGATCTTCTTGAATGTAGTGTCGGTATCTCTTACTGTTCATGGTAGAGTTCTATTAAGTTTAACTGTAAAAATTATGTCAGAAATGATATATTTTAGATTCAGGTGTCAATCTTTGCTTTAACTATTTGACAGGAGTGGCTTGAAAAGCATGGAGATTACGAAGCTATACTAGATGGAGCAAATATTGGGCTCTACCAACAAAATTTTGCAGATGGTGGTTTCAGTCTACCACAGGTACTCATAGATCTTCCTTTGCATTCTTTAAATACACTCCTGCGAATACTGACACAATGCACAATGGCACAAAAGAGCAGCTTGAAGCTGTAGTGAATGAACTTTACAAGAAAAGTGGTAACAAAAAATGGCCGCTAATTCTCTTGCACAAGAAACGGGTGGATGCGCTTTTGGGAAACCCTAATCACCGGGAACTGGTAGAAGAATGGATCAATAACAATGTCCTATATACGACTCCACCTGGTTCTAATGATGATTGGTATGGACTGACTTACGCTTCTCTTACAAATCCTCTCTTTAACATGTTTTGTTTGGTTTTCTCAAATCTTGTTTTTGTTTTGTTTTCTGATTCCATTTCAGGTATTGGCTGTATGCTACTGCTAAGCTCAAGTGTTTGCTTGTGACTAATGATGAGATGAGAGATCACATTTTTGAACTGTTAAGTACCAGTTTTTTCCAAAAATGGAAAGAAAGGCATCAGGTATATTTATATAGATTTCCATTCTGGCTAAAGTTTGATGTTTTCTTGACATTAAACCGATGTTGAAAATGTAAGTTTCGGTTTATGCTTTGGTTCAGGTTCGGTATACATATGTGAAAGGTTGTCTAAAGCTTGAAATGCCACCTCCTTTTTCGGTTGTGATCCAGGTTTATTACAATCTCAAGTCTAATTTGTTTTGTTAATTTGCTTATGAAATGGGTTTCATGTGGAAACTATGTTTTCAGGAATCGGAGAAAGGGTCATGGCACGTTCCGATCACGTGCCAAAACATTGAGGAGTCTGTAAGGAATTGGATATGCATTAGGAGAGAGAGTCTATATATTCACTCGCGAGAAAAAATCCAATGAGTTACATGTAGAATTTTACATTACTGTTTTCTGTTTTTGTTTTTGTTGTACGAAACAATATCTTTACAAGATTTTGAAAATTTTGTTTTAGTAAGAACTTGTTTTATTTTTTAATAGTTAACCCCACAAGTTATATGGCTTTTTTTAGTTTTAGTCTCTTGGATTCGAAAAACCAAAATGAATTGAAATGTGTAGATTAGTGTTATTTAAGAAATTATATTAATTAAAATATGGTAGTTTTTTTGTTGAAAGATAATTTTCAACATTTATGATGAAATTGGCCCTATAGTAGTGATGGAATTTGTGACATTTTCAAAATAACAAAAAATTGTCTTCTTTTGGTAAATTATGACATATAACTAGAGACAGTTAAACTTAAATCGAAGTTAGTCAATTCTCTAAATAAACAAAAAAATTCATGATGTTTTTATGATGTTTTCAAACACGATAAAATTGTGAAACGAAGAAACTACTAAAACTAAATAATGGTGCTATAATAATGAGACAAGACGAATTTAAGTCGATGTTTTGACTAATTGATAAATTTGTGATATTTCTAAATAACGAAAAATTGTATTTTTTTAAAGTAAAATTATGAAAAAATAAACTATTAAAACTAAACAATTATGCTTAATTGATAGAGCGATAAGCAGAATTTAAGTAAGATTTATAGTCAATTCTCCAACTAAAAAAACAATATTTTTAATATATTATTAACATTAATATATAAAAATAATATCTTAATAAATATAATTGGTTGCAAATAACTTTTAATAAAATAATATCTATGTATAGTATGAGTGCAAAATCTAGTAAAACTAGTAAAAGTCCAAAACTATAAAATGAAGCTATAGTAATAATGGAATTTGTCAATTTTCTGACTAAACGATTAACTTGTGATATCTTTAAAATAACAAAAAAAATGTCTTATCTTGATAAAATTATGACACAAACTATTTAATGAGACAGCTAAACTTGAGTCAAAGTTAGTCAATTTTTCGAATAAACAAAAAAACTAATGATATTATTAAATATGATAAAACCCGTGAAACGAAGAAACTACCAAAATTAAATAATGGTATTATAATAATGAAACAAGCCGAATTTAAGTCGATGTCTAGTCAACTTTTGACTAAATGATAAATTTGTGATATTTCTAAATAACGAAAGATTGTATTTTTTAAGGTAAAATTATGAAAAAATAAACTATTAAAACTAAACAATGGTGCTTAATTTATAGGGCGATAAGCAGAATTTAAGTAAGATTTGTAGTCAATTTTCCAACTAAAAGACCAATATTTTTAATATATTATTAATACTAATAAAAAAAAATAATATCTTAATAAATATAATTGGCTGCAAATAAATTTTACCAAAATAATATCTACGTGTAATATGGGTACAAAATCTAGTAAAACTAGTAAAAATCCAAAACTATAAAATGAAGCTATAGTAATGATGAAATTTGTCAATTTTTGACTAAACGATTAACTTGTGATATCTATAAAAGAACAAAAAAATTGTAAAAAGTTGTATTATCTTGGTAAAATTATGACACAAACTATTTAATGAGACAACTAAACTTTAATCGAAGTTAGTCAATTCTTCGAATAAACAAAAAAACTAATGATATTATCAAACATGATAAAACCGTGAAACGAAAAAACTACCAAAATTAAGTAGTGGTGCTATAGTAATGAGATAAGCTAAAGTTCAGTCGATGTGTAGTCAATTTTGACTAAACGATAAATTTATATTATTTCTAAATAACGAAAGATTGTATTTTTTTTAAGGTAAACTTATAAAACGAAGAAACTATTAAAACTAAATAATGGTGCTTAATTAATAGGGAATAAGCTGAATTCAAGTTAAAATTGTAGTCAATTCTCCAACTAAACGACCAATTAGAGATATGCCCAAAGTAATGAAAGACAATGTTACCATTAAACCGTCGTTGAATTGATATATTAGTTGTTCAATACTTTTGGCATTATTATTTTTCAGTTATAATTTTTCCAACCTTTTTGGCATATAATACAAACAGAAATTGTGAATATTATGAATCAAATTAAATAAAAATGAGAATTTGAAGAAATATAAACAATTGATGTGTAAAAACATATTCAATTCTTAACGAAAAAGCCCATTAAAAGCCCATACTAGGTTGCTTATAAATCGGAGGGAGAAGGTACGAAACAATGCGACACAGAAACCGCAAGAGAGCAAAACTTGAAGGAGAAGAAGAATAAGAAGAAGCAAAAGGAGGAGGTAGCCGAAGAAGAATATCAAATACACTCAAATGCTCACGTTTGTGATCATATTTTGAGAAAGCAGAAAATTCTTCAATTTTTTCGAAGCACCATTTCGTTTTGGTTCGCGTCGCTTGGTCTAGAGGTAATTAAAAACACTAATCGTCTTTCCTATAATGCTAAAACTCGGATTTTCCAATGGATTATTTTTTAATCTTTGATATCTACGTCTCAATTATCCTGAATCTACGTTCTAGAATACTGGATTCAGATTTTTTTTTCTTTTTCTTGTAATCAATACTTCTCTAATCAAATTCTTCATTTCTCGTGCGTAATCACACAAATATTGATCCGTTTTAAATTCTCGGTTTAGGGATTTGATCTTCATTTGATTTTTGTTTTTACTTTGTTATTCATAATTCAGAGTCCATGGATCTATTAAACGTTAGGTTGCTACTACGCTCTGATTTGGTCTTAAATCAGTTCCATAATTTTATTTTTGGTTTGTTGTCTTTGTATCAACTGCGTGTTTTGTGTCTATGATCATTCCATTTCCGAAGAAAATATATAACAAATAATTTTGAAACCAGTGTGACATTTTAGAATTGTCCGTAGATTTGCAATGTATTTATCCACACTTGTAATTGGTTTCAATGAAGTATCCATGTGTTCTGTTTATTACTTAGCTTGTCGTCTCCATTTATCTATTTAACCGTCTCTTATGGTATTAAGTCCAAATTAAGCAAAAACTAACTTGTATTGTGCGCATTTACGGTTACAATGCCATTAAAATATTAAACTCTTAAACTAAAACAAAAATCATATTTCTTGTTTTTGTTGTCTCTGTAGAATGAATCCGTTGAACCTAGCCAGCACAAGCGCACCTCCTCCTCCTGTTGCCAATGATCTCTTGGCGAAGCGAAAGAGAGGTCGTCCCCGAAAAGAAGAATCCTCAACTCAACAAGAAAACCCTCAAGTGACTCCAAAACTTGACATTAATTTGGTTGGTCAGATGGTTTCTGGTGTCGTCGAAGGATCATTCGACGCAGGATACATCCTCAATGTCAAGGTCAAAGACAGCGACACGAAACTGAGAGGTCTCGTGTTCAAACCAGGGAAAGTCACTCCGGTAACTCCAGAAAACGACGTCGCTCCTCGTGTCAAAATGTTCTCAAGAGAAGAAATCAAGAATCAAAATGGCCATGATCATCAGTCTCTGCCTCCTAACGATCAACCAATGAAAGATGCTGTCGCTGGTGTGAAGATTTCTGAACCTGCTCCAGCTTTGTCTCTGAAGCCACAAGAGAGCAACGGTGAAGCATCCGGTGTTCAAGCGAAAGAAGCCATGATCGAGAAAGATGGAGTTACTGAGAAACAAGAAGCTGCAACGACTCGTTTGGTGGAGTTTTTTCCAACTCCAGAGACGGTGACTCTGACTCCTGCTCAACCTATTAATCTTGTCTTGGCACAGAAAGAGACTACAGAGCAACAGAAACCACCTGGTGAGACTCGTGGGTTTGATCTTATGGCGGAGGAACCGGTTTGTCCGGGAGAGAAAGTGCCAGAGGAGCTTCAGCTTGAGCTTGGAAACAAGACAAAAATATTGAATGGAGACAGCAACAAAATGGAGACAGATCCTAAGAGCTCTGTGTCGAAGAGTGGCTTTATAGCAAACTTGTTTGAAGGAGAAGACAAGAAGGTTGACTGCGACATGGTTGAAGAAGATGCTACTCCATCAGTGAAGTAGTTTAGACTCCATTTGGTTATTTTCAGTTATTTATACAACAGACTCTTTCTATTTTTCTTCTGTTTCAGATCTTATTTAAACAGACTTCAGTGTTTGCGCTGTAAAACTATTTCTTCTTCTGTTATTTTAAACATTTTGTTTCTTTATGAAGTTCTAAGCTATAAGTGTACCACCAATCAGGGCTAGAACTAACTTAGGTAGAAAATGATGCATTTTTTCTGTCCAATTTTTCTAAGTGGCCGTCACGTCTTTGGTATATATTTCCAAAGAAGGTTATAGGTAACTTAAGCAGGAGTTTAGAAGTGGGTTAATTTTTTTTAATTGTGTTTGAATATGTTTGCGTTAACCAAAAAAAAAAAACATGCTTTGTTTATTAAGTCGATGCATGTATTTTTTATTTAGGAGGTTCAGTTTTATTTAGAGGAGAAATCAAGAAAAAATATGTCTTTTTGATTTTGCAAGCTCACATTATTTTCCAAAAAAGGGATTTAGAAAACTCACATTATTGATCCCCAAAAAAAACTCACATTATTTTCCATCAGTATAAAAAGAGCTGACGGGAAGAAAAATTACGAGTCTCTTCCCGTCTCTATATCGGACTTTGCGGTGTGGAAAAACCCTAACACCGGAGCTTATTTTCGTCGAAATCGATTCATCGTAAGCCTTTAATTGGACTCTGGTTTGCTCAAATCACTCCACCGTTGCTTTCTACACCCTTTGATTGATTGCTGACTTCAGTTTTCTGTATTCGTAGTGCGTGAGTGATGGATATCGAGCAGAAGCAGGCGGAGATTATTGATCAGCTCGTTCAACGAGCTTCTTCATGCAAAGGCGAGGCTCTAGTTCCTATCATAATCGAAGCTACATCGCATCCTTCTCTATTTGCCTTCTCCGAGATTTTGGCTTTACCCAATGTCGCCCAGGTAACTGATTCCAGTGTTTTTGAATGCTTAATCATATCTTGGATCCATTATGCTTTGATTTTGGAACCTAACTCCACGATCTAGGGTTTCTTCTCAGGATTGATAGTTTTCTCTTCGCATACATTAGGAGTGTGTGTTTGTTTTTTTTTTTGTTTTTTCGGCTTGGTGGTAGTGCTTTCTTGTTAGCTAAACGTTTGTTTTACAGAAATCAGTCGTTTGAGTTACTCTATTCTTGGAGTTTGTAATCTTACTTAGTAGGTTTCTCCTAATGTTGCATTTTTATTGGTCTCTTAAGCTCTTTAACAATGCATTTTGCAGCTTCAAGGAACTACAAATTCTGTCTACCTGGATGTGCTACGGTTGTTTGCACATGGCACCTGGGGTGACTACAAATGTACGACTAGAACCTTGTATATTTCCATTCGTTTTACCTTATGAATCTGCTTCATACCGCTTTCAGATTATCTTATCTTATTTATGAACACGAAACTCTAGGCAATGCTAGCCGTCTTCCTCAGTTGGCTCCTGAACAAATACTTAAGCTAAAGCAGCTCACTGTGCTTACCCTTGCGGAGTCAAACAAGGTATTACTTTTTTTTTTCTTTTGTTGGTTGGCATGTAGTTTGATACTTTTTTGTCCTAAATCAACACTTATCAATTAGGTTCATGATTGCACCTAGCCTGCTCTGTTATGTACTCTCTTCCATTATATATCCGATTACTGCGGATCCTTTTTTGTTTTCAACTTTCTAAAATGCTCCTGTTTTGCTGTACTTGGTTTGTTTCCCTATCGCTTCCACATGTATCTCACACTTCTTGTTGATCACTTAACTTTTAAATAGGTATTGCCCTACGATACACTGATGGTTGAGTTAGATGTCACCAATGTCCGTGAACTCGAGGACTTTCTTATCAATGAATGCATGTACGCGGTGAGTATTCTAAGCAAGTTTTCGTTCTGAGTAGTCTCTAGTTTTATTTACCACCAAGTTGCACAGGCAACTAAGGATGGTGCTGATTTTTTTTTAAACTGTCCAGGGTATAGTTAGAGGAAAACTGGATCAGCTTAAAAGATGTTTCGAGGTGTGTTTTGTTGTTCATCTCCTTATATAACCATTGTGATTTTTTTTTTTTAACTTGTCAACACCTCTTTAAGTGTCATATATCTTGGAATCATCTAGGTTCCATTTGCAGCTGGTAGGGATCTAAGGCCAGGACAACTTGAGAATATGTTACACACAATGTCAAACTGGTAATTTCCTTTGATCCAGTTTTCTACTTCCCTTGGTTCGCAGGATTTTTTTTGCGCTCTATATCTACTAAGCAGAACCCGTACATAGTGTTAGAAGACATGACGACAGTAACGATTTTACCTCCGCGACCTGCTCTTGAGTTCTATGTGAATTGTCCTTTTTTCCATGATACAGTTTTTGCCTTGCTTGATTTATGAGACTGTTAATGTGCTGGCAATAATTGATGTGTAGGTTGAACACATCAGAAAATCTGCTCGTTTCAATTCAAGACAAGATAAAATGGGCGGACAATATGAGTGAGATGGACAAAAAACATCGCAAGGAAGCCGAAGAAATGGTGGAAGAAGTGAAGAAGTCTCTGTCCATGAAGGTCAGTGATACATGTTATGGATTGGGAAGCCTAAGGGCTTCACTATTCTCTACCAAGCATTTATTGTAACTAGTTATGGTTCAGAATCATGGTTATTCTACGAACCATGAGTTAGAGTCTAGTTAGCTTTTCTGTCGTATATCTTCAGAGGATTAGAGTTGGTTCATCATGATTCTAGTTCTTTGCAAGATGAAGGGGGAGAGACTTCATTTTGAAATCATTCAAGATCTTTCAGCTTGTAGTTTTTTATAGATTAAAAGCTATGTTTCTATATGTTGAACGAGTCAGTGAGTCGTGGCAGGTTTTTTTTTTTAGTGGTCAACATTGCCATTCGTTTGTGTGACAATTAACATGGTGGATATAAAACATTGATTATGAAGTTGTATAAACAAAATCCACCATAGACGCCTGCTGTGTTACATTTTAGTGTAGTAGTAAAGAATTGACCAAAGATAAGAGGATATGTAAGTGTTTGGAATGCAGTACTTGGCATATGCACTTAATCCTTGATTTAGTTGTTACGTTTTAGTAGAGGAATGAACAAGATTTTTGTGTGTTGATATAAAACGAAATGTAGAAAGGAAACTGTAGACTTTTGTGAATGTCATTGGGAAGGGTACTGGTCGATGTAGTCTTACTTACATTGTGGGCAGGATGATATTGACATCAGAGGGCATAAAGAGATGTTTGGGGAACCAAGTGGAGTGATGGACTACGAAGAGGATGGAATCCGACCAAAGAGGTAAACATACTTTTAAATATTTGATCTGATATATGATACTAGGCATGTTCAAGTATGAGCTAGAAAGGAGATGATAACACACTCATCTTTGGGAACGCAGGAGGAGGCATCCGGTACCAAGGTAGAATGAGAAGAGAGTAAAAGGGATTTGTAATGTTGATGAACAAACCATTTACCGAGAGTAGATTATTATGATGATGATTTTGGTGGGGAACTTATGTAATGTAAGCCCTCTTTTGCTTTTTGGTAGCGGATTATTTTGTTGTTACAATATTTGAGGCCTTTTCGTATGGTTTAAAATCCTCAATATACTCTCTCCCTCTCTCTCTCAACTTCAAATTTAGCGGTTATTATTTGCCCCAAAGGATAGAGAACCAACTCAACCAAGTTGGATTGATTGGTACAAAAGAAGTTGGTGTCTAGCTTCTGTAATCAAAATATTCAATATTACCGAGCAAAGCTGTGTGATGGGGTCATATGGTAAAAGCACCATATTTTCCTCTCTCTGTATTTTTCTTCCCTATATCATAACTTTGAATCTTTGACTCGGTTTAAGTTCAGTTGATTCATTTCACTCTTATAACTATGAAGTACCAATGCCAAATATTTATTTTTCTTGAACCCGAAAAACAAACCGCAGAATATCACTGTACGATTAGCATTCGACGTCAATAGATCCTAACTCCTAAGGATTACATTACAGTTACACTATCATCGGAACAATCTATTTTATTACTTTACTTTTTACGTTTGTCGGTCATGACCGTTTCACTGCGAAACCATAGTTTGCCTTCATGAATTCAAATCTATCTGTTTAAATGTTTTTTTTTCCTGTATTTTTGTGAAGTATTGATACTGTTTTTCTGCGTACTAGAAAAAAGTAGATCGTTTCCAAGTGTAGAGAGTTCATTAAAGCTTCTTCTTCGCCTCAGATCTGAGTCTTTTGGGGGAAGTTTTGAAGAATGGATTTGCATTTGAAGAACTTATTTGGTAGGTTTCAGGATCAATTCGGGTCAGGTCCGGGTCTTGGACCCGGATCCGGGGTTTGCCTGATGAACGTTGAAGGTATATCTTCCAACATTATCCAATCCATATTTAGAGCTTCAGCTTCTATATACAGAAGCGAGCCATGGAAGAGGCTCAGACCGGGTCATTTGTTCGGTGTTCGGGTCGGGAAAGACTCTGATTGGTCAGGAAAAAGACAGCCTTTCCAATGTGTTCAGTTCATAGGAGGAGATGGTGGTGATATAGCAATCTATATGTATAGATCCATAAACTATGCACTGAAGATGACAGATGATTCATGGGAAATGGTTCGAGTTCCTAATGTTGAAGTCTTTAGGGTTACTTATGAGCTTGAGTCACTGATGCTTCCTGCTAACAAGAAAATGGTAAAGTCTTTGTCTTTAGAAGTTTCTGGAGCTGATCGGTTTCCTGTCATCGACGTTGCTCGGTGCATGACCTCTGGTGAGCTCCAATTCAGAAACCCGACGCTCGAAGAGCTTAGGCTTGTGTTTGCTGTAATGAAAGCTCTCTCTTTGGTTCATCCTTTGCTGCTTCAAGAGGAGAAGCAAGTCAGGGGATTGCCAAGGGTGATCAAGTTTTCGCCTTTGATCGAGACTGTTGATGTTCAGTGGCCACCAGAGATGTTCAAAGGACATGATTTTGTTGCTGTCACGGTTTCGCATCCTCCTGGTCAATCATATGAGCAGAATTCGAAGGAAAATGCAGTAATGGCAGGGGAAGATGATGAGTTGGAGATAGTTTCAAGCATCATGACCAATCTGCGAGTTGGTTATGGTGGTGAAACGGCTTCATCCTCGGGGTGAATGTATCAAAATGTTGCAAAGCCGGTAGCAAAAAAGTAATACTTAAGCCATTCTAGTGGCAATCATGTTCATTCCTGAACAAAATCTCATACAATTGGGGATTCTAACCGATCATCCTAACTTTGCTTGGCGAGATAATTGTTTCTTTTTAGACGTTTTCTTTTTTGTTTTTGGAGTAAATACAATACGGCTTTCCTTAATTATACATTTGACATCTCTATCATCATTAGGGATCTTCGATACCATTGCCTGTGCACTTTTCGGATCTCCTGCAGCTAATAGAACCTGATACATCCTGTGAAACCATAAAACCAAGAATCCATTATATATCACTCTATTAGCAGAACAAAAAAAAAATCCACTCTTGTAGCTATGATTTGGGCTGCAAAAATGAGCTAGCTAAGTTTTGATGGAGTTTTCTCTTGGACAGTTCTAAGCATTGTCCATTTCAAAATCACTCTTTCCAATGTAAGAGGAGATAAAAGAACACTTGCCTTAAATAGTTGAGGACATTGTAAGGAAGTTCTGCAAATTGGTACTCTTTCCATACCAGTAAGGCGATCTGCTTATCCTTGGCATTAACACAAGCATGTAGAAGAAATTCTAGACATTTTCTTGAAGGACTTAACCCAAGCTCTTCCTTCATAAAGCTCACCAAGTCCAGCCCTAGCTTCACATCACTAGGTTCTGTTTCTGCTATCGACCTAAACACCTGATTTCAACAATAAGATGCCATGAGTTAAAAAAAAATGATACACCCCACAATGATCCAAGATTTCATCAAATGTATACAATTTTGAGAACTTATGAGATAATAGAATCGGACCTCTTCAAACCAATATTCCACAGCGATGTCATCCTTGGAGAAGTTGTTTTTGGTCTGCTTCAGTAAATCAAGAACAGAGCTACACAAAAGGAGTTGAATAAAACATAGGATAATTAACAATGATGGGGTAAACGTGAACCAAACATAGACCACGCATAATCTACAGTACCTTGACTTATTGTTGCGAACAGCAAACACAATGATTCTGAAGAAACCCTCTATCCACCATTTAGAATCACGCAGCTCATGAGTGAGTTGAACCAACGTTCTCAGCTCTTCGTTTGAATCAGCGTGATCCTACAGGAAAATAATTTGAGGTCATTGCAAGACGTAATGGTTCTGTAATCCACTAACATATGATTAAAGTACAAACTTACTATAAGAGATATAATAGCTTTTGGGTCTACTGGGCAGCAGGCTTTCTTCATTTCTTCATAAGTTCTTAAAGCATCTGTTATTTTTCCATTTGATGCCAGAGCAGATATTAGCACACTTTTCAGCTCATTGTGATCCTTAGCCGAATCTTCCCGCTCCAAGAGCACCTAAAGTAAAAAAAAAAAGCTTGAGCTCTTACACGAAGTTATGAATATAATAATTTGAGAACTTTTAAAGTAACAAAGAAGACGCATACTTACCTGGTTTGCCTTCTCGAATTGTCCGCATGATGTATATGCTTTTATCAGGGACATGTAAACGTGCTTAGTCGATGGAAGTCCTGCTTGCTTCATCTCCTCATAATACTTTTGAATAAGAAAAAATTACACAAAGATTAAATTTCTCTCATACTCTCCAGCATTATTTATGTATGTATCGACTGGTGAAAACTGACAACACAACAAGAGAGGTTGTCATTAGGTACTCAACCCCAATATTGGAAGACCAGGAAAATACTCAGACGAGGTGAAATATCAGTAGAATATAGAAGTTGATTACCTTCGCAATAGCCTCCTCCTGGCCGCAATAGTTTATTAGATAGCTAAAAGTCATGGAATCAGGTTTCACATCAGCTTCTTTCATTTCCTTGAGGACCATTAAGGCTCTGTTCACCTTTTTCTTCATAACCATACAAAAATCTCAGTCAATAAAGACTCAAGAGGCAATACGGAGCACATAGAAATGAGCTAACCTCAGTCTAGAATTTGCAGATAATTTCAGAGATCAATGCCATGCTCTAAAGCTATATTTTTTGTTTTAACACTGCTAGCTGCCTAGCAGAAATATATCTACAACTAGAAATTTTATACGAGACATGCTTCTTTGAGTATTGCAACAATCTTATTTTCCATGTATTCAACATGCGTGTTTAAAGGAATAATAAAATAACGCTAAGACGATAGTTATCCGACAATAGGTGAGACAAGGGAAATAATTGAAAAGAGAACTTAAGATATTACCTCCCGGAAATACCCTGCCAATATCGAATTGTACATGCTTGAGTTCGGTACCAAATTGAAATTCTTCAAACTACCAAGCAAATTATATGCGCCTTCAAACTGCACGGAACGGAGAGGTTTGAGAGTAAAAATTTATGGTTGGAAAAAAATGGGTTGCATCTGTGAGAAACAGCACATTCATACACCTTTTATAGGGTCTATAAAACAAAGTTCGTGACAGAAAGCAGCTGAAGCCGATAGAATTAAAAAAGAAATTACATCTTTGATTCTTATGCACAAATTTATCGATCTCCTGAAAGTCTCACTATCGGGCTTCACACTCTTGTTGCTCATTATTTTATAGATTCTTTGCACCTGAAAAAGGAAAGGTATGACCAAACACAGCTCTGGTTAACATGAGTATGAGAAAGACAATGTTGATGATCTCTAGAGAGCATATCAATGTCCAGCCTAAATAGCTATTCTATTGGATGTAGAACAGACAATGAAGGCAGTAGTTCAGGACGAAATCCAAGGAACATGCTTCAAGCAAAGGGAGGTCGGTACCAAATTAAACTCAAGAATCTGCTCAACGGCATGTAACAACGATTGAAGGATGTCTGCTGATACTACCAGGCCTGCTTCACACATATTTTCAACTATATCAAGAGCAGTGACCACCTACGACGCAGAGGAATTATCATTAGTTAACTACGGAGAGTACCGGAAATGAAAGTTGAAATTAACAGAAGCGTATAAATACCTCATTCGAGTCACAAAGATAAATAACAAGCTTCTCATAGGATGTCGATGAAGGCACGGTATGTAGTTCATCATGCAACTTGTTATACTTCAAAATGGCATCCTCTACCTTTAGTCATCAAGATAAGTAAGAACATGGAAGGTTAGGAGCCATGGCTATCTTAAACAGAACCTTATACAACTAGGTGCTACTTGAGAGATGTGAGTAACGTTAATTTCATTTTCTGTAAAAGGAGTCTGCTACCATTTCTAAACAATATTACTGACTGGTTATTTGGTCACTCACTTTACTTTGTAAATATTGAGTTGTTTAGACACTGGCCAAGTTTGTAGTATACCAAACATGAAAAGCATATGGGGACCAAACAATCTCAAGACCTAGATGATTGCAAATTTCAAATCCAAATAGATGCAAACATCTTGACTAATGGATATATTATTTATCATTCTCGGGGAGAAACACAATTATCAAGGTATATGTGGTCAGCACAGTTGAGAAATCAAATATCAAAAGACCGGAAGAGATACTATTTAGCTAGAAGATTTGAACGGATCAACATTGTCAATGAACAAAAATTACCATATTGATGTTAAAAATTAAAACATCTGCAAATCTTCTAGAAACTAATCAAGGAAAAGACTTGAGTTAACAACAGCCTCGATAAACTGGCATACATTATCTATAGAAAGTCCTCACCGTTGAATTGGGGATGCAAGTTGCATAGCTAAATATGAGATTTGAAACTGTCTCCACTTCATCTGAAAATGTTAAAAGCATGTTAAAATGTAAATGATCGCATGAGACTGAACATTATTAAATAATGAGTCATCCGCGAGTAAACTTTTTGGTTTGCATCATATGTGAATTGGTCTCAGAGACTATATAATGAGTATACATCCACCTTCAAAATTCATAATACCAATACGGTAAAACAACACAAGGGTTATTTATATCCACCTTACCACAGTCTCTTAGTTCCCAAAGTAACTTCACTGCAACAGACTCCAATAGCGATTTTCCAAGGTATCCAAATATGCTTTTCAAAACGTCTGGTGAAGAAATATTTGTTATGTCGACAATCTCTAAAAGCTTCTGAAGATTTTCCATTCTGTCTTTCTCACACAGTGCAACCAAATAATATTCTGCTTGACGACCAAAAAGTTACCTTGAGTGTAAGCAAACGAAATACCAGAGTTCTAGATGAATATAATAATGAGTCCCGTGTATGGGCGTACCTTGTAGGGTTGATAAACTTATCCCACTATCGTCAATTGTATTGCAAAGTTCATGGATCTTCTCTTCGTCGTTGACTTGGATAGAAAGAAGCATTTCATAGTAGACAAGTTTCCCCAGAGACTCAGGACATGCCTCGCTAATGAAATCTTTGAAAATCTGGAATTCCTCTACCATTTCCATATCAACCAAGTACTTGAAAAAAGGCCCGTAAGTTCCTTCGTCTATAGAGAACCCGAGCTGTCTCATTTCTTTGAAAAATTCAATAGCTTTCCCAAGTTGATCAAGAACATATTCAGCATCATTGCTTCTCCTCGCGTGTTTTATGCAAAATTGAATCCTTGCATTGTACTCTTTCTGATCCGCTTCTTTCCCCATTTTAGCCAACACCTCAAACATAGTCTCGTGGCCCAACTTCCGAGCACAACCTTTCGCAAGCTTCTTCAAAATCTGCGACTGGTTTTTCTTGAAATTCTCTGTCTGCATCCTACGTGACACAAATGTTCTGCTTGTGGACGGAGGAAGTTTCCCAGACAGGAAAGCTGAGAGCTCCAATGCGTTCTTGGAAGAACATTTATCGTCATTTCTTTCCGGGAGAAGATTACTATCCATAGATTTAACTGAAAAATTCATTATTTTCCACAATGCCCAAAAAATAAAGGTATCAAATGATAGATCAAATGGACTACACTATGAAATTTTCTCGTCGCTTACAGCTCCAATGTGTTCTACTACTTATCATCATGTGATTCATTTATCAAAACCACTCGACTTCAATCACATTATTCAGAAAAACAAAGATAAGAGGCGTACATACCAGGAAATGAAGACGAGACCTGACCCGCGAGCGTCGTTTCCCCAGAATCTACAAAAAAGCCATTAGAAAAATGATGAAACAAATATAAAATCGATCACTTTAAAATCATCATCCAGCAAAAAAAACAAAAATTTGAAATGGGTTTTCCACTAGCAGAGAGAGAGAGAGAAAAGAGGTACCTTGTCCAGTGTTAATCGAATCGATGTGAGACTTAAGCGGTGAGAGCATCTCCGAAAAACTCCATGATTCTGTTCCACAAATAGATCAACGAGAAGATGAAGAATCGGATTTAAGACACTCCCAGTTCCGAAATGGCACAAATCGGAGGAATCTGTGAAGCATCGGGATAAAAAACAAATTTAGAAGTTACCTATGCCGGGAACCTCCATCTCCCGAGAATCTCCGGCAGCCTTGGCGGCGTCTGATGATTTTTTTCCGGCGTTTCTCATCGCAACCTTAAACATCGCGCTTAATTTGTTCTTCGCCTTCCTAAAAGCCATCTTTCACATTGAACGTGCAACGACCAAAATCTCGAACGAGATCCCAAATAACGAAGGTTTCACTCGAGAAAGGAGAAGAAGCTGAATCATTCAGAAACTGTGTGACAAAACCCACCGTTAAACCCCCTCCAATATTTCGTGTTCCGGTGTACTGGCACTAATGTAATTAATCCCTATGATTGAGGGTAGTTGAGTAAAATTTACACTTAAAGGGTCCTGCAATTTCTGTCATTTTTTTCTCAGCGTCCTGCAAATTTTCCTCTTTGAAATTTTGAATTAATAAAGATAATTGTACTCTGATTTTTAAGAAAATACATTATTAAACAAATGGTATCTATCTGCAACTTGCGATGCTGAACCAAATGAGTGGCTGGATAGTGGTATGCTCAAAGAGAGTTTGTATCTTCAAAATATTTATTTAGTAAAATCTTTATTTGAAGGGAACCATAGTATTGTTTAGTGGTCAGTGAGACAATACTTTTATTATCCAATCAAAGCAATTTTGGAGAGTATTGCTTTTCTGAGAATATCAAGAATTGCTCCAACTCGTTAGTCGACAAGCTTGCTGTTTTTCTTTTTCTTCTTAACAGTTCCACCAAATTATCGATTTTTCAAGTGTTTTATATTTACATTTATTTTTGTTTCATTTATTATCAACTTTCTTAAGCTAGACTATAGACAACAACTTGCTCAACTGGTTCAAGTGGTGGTATCTGTTTACTATAAATAGGTACCAAATCCAATATAAATCAATCCAGAAGGGAAAAAAAAAACAAATATACACCAAAAGAAAAAAAAATGGATTTTCAGACAATTCAACCGACACCATGGGAATATGTTCTATCTTCTCGATCTCTTAATGGCTACCAGATTTCTCAAGAGAATCATATTCGTTGGTCTCAGTCTCCAGAGTCTCACATTTTCTCTGTTGATCTTCCTGGTAATACTAAGTTACTAACTAATTTCTCTGTTGTATATTAATTACCACACATTGTAAAGAAAATCTTGGAGATTTTTCATAATCTCTACTCTTTTTTTTTTTTTTTTTTTTCATAATCAGGTTTAATGAAAGAAGAAATAAAAGTGGAGATCGAAGATTCGATATACTTAATCATACGAACAGAAGCAACGGAGACATCGCCGGATCCACCGGTCAGGAGTTTTAAGAGAAAATTCCGGTTACCGGAATCGATAGATATAACCGGGATATCAGCCGGTTATGAAGACGGTATATTAACTGTGACTGTACCAAAGAGGGTTTTGAGAAGGAGAAGTTTCTTCATTGATCCTTCTGATGTCCCTGAAAGCCTTCAAGTTCTTGCAAGAGCTGCTTAAATGGCGCTTTTGTTCTTCCTGTTTTAGTCAACACGAGTTTGATCTTTGCTTTAAAAGTCTGTTTTTTCCTTAGTGTAGTATAAATAACAATCCAAATTCGAAAAGTTTGTTTTCAAAAGAAAAGGAAAAAAAAATGGTTACATGATGAGAGTGGTTGGACCTCAAACTCAAAAGTTTCTGAAAAAAATGGAGACCGATACCATTACCAATGTGTATACATGTTCAGTACTTAACTTCAAAATCAAACACCAAACCATCAGAAGATAGTTAAAAAAACTCCACTTTTTCCACAAAGGCTGGTTTACTATTCATCACCCTTATTGATGTATATAGAGTTTGGTTTCGTGAGGCCTTATTGATAGAATCATGGAACCATGAATGAATCTTAAAATCATCAATAAACAAGTTAAATCATTTGTAACCTCTAGAATGGACTGCCGATTGCTTAGGGACTATACGAGAGGAAATCTTCACATTGGTATCAATATTCTTACGCTGAGAAGAAGCTCTGCTCCTGATCTGATCATCACTCTTCAAACCCTTCTTAGCTTTCCTTTCTTCGCTCTTGTTTATGCTGCCGATCATTGCATCATTGTCTAAAGAAGAGAGTTCAAAAATAGGAGTTATCGTTTCCGGTAAATTTTGAGTCCAACATTGTGTGACAGTATAGCTAAAGCCCTAAAGAAATAACTAGCAAGAATATGGAAACACTATTTAGATACAAGAAAAGCTCAAGAAACCATACCGGGACTTGATACAACAGCTCGAGGGCGTAGGATGGGACTGGCTTTCGGTTTTTGTTTTACTTCAGCATCAGCTCCTCTGTTATGCTTTGTCATTTCTGTGGATTCATTTTCAGAAAGGAGGACACTTGGTATGTAAATCTTAGGAATCTTAGCCACATATACTTGGAAATCTTCTTCTTGATTATTCTCTGCCCAAATGAGAAAAGAGAAGCTATCAAATACAGATTCTTCTGAAGAATTGCATCTTATTGGATGTGGCAATCTCTAGCCGTGAAATAACTGAATCAATGTTAGCTAAGGGAAAAAAAACCCAAATCTTTTACACATCAAAAACCTAAGTCAATGTTCCTGAACATATACGTATAACCGAGTCAACGCTAACCTTCTATACCTCTAAAACTAAAAGAAAGAGTCAAACTTTGATGAAAACAAAAACAGAGAGAACTTAAAACTAAAAGAAAGAGTCAAACTTTGATGAAAACAAAAACAGAGAGAACTTACCAGAGGCACGAGATTCGAGATATCTCGAATGCAAACGAGAATCCTTCTGCTTGTAATTACCTGTTTCGTTGTTAACTTTCACTTTCGGGTACACTACAGAATTCCAAAAAACAAAAAAAATGGAAAATTTAGGGAAAATATTCAACCTTTAATTTGGTTCAGCTGATTTTTGACTGAAATCGAAATCGACGTGAAACCCTGAAAATTTTCAAGCAAACCCACTTACTAATTTTGGTTCCAATCCCGAACCAGCCGTCTGATTGATCAGACTGCACAATGGCGTAAGGTTGGAGAAAGAGGAATACGAATGAAATTATTCACTCTTTAAAAAATCCTTTTATGGGTCATTGAAGTCAAACTCTTCATGCTCATGTTTTATACTATTATTTTTTTCGTCAACGTTTGAAATACGACTCCTTTCTCACCACCCGTTGCTTAATTTCCCCCATGTGAATGTTTTCTTTTGTCAGATTCAATGTGAATTTAGCTTGGAATCTCACTCTCCTCCTGGTACGTGAAACAGAAGAAAGAATGACCGAAACCAAACACTGCAAAACCCGGTTTCAACAAGAGTATAAATTGGGCTTCAAGGCCTTAAGGCCCAAATTAAATGAAGTTTCGAGATAACAAAAACCAAAAGAAAAGGAAAATTCATAGAAAGCTATTTCGGAAGAAGAAGGAAGAGAGGAGGATAAAAAAGGCAAAAATGGCGTTAAACGTCTTAACATGTGGGCGTGCATCTTCAGCCACGTCTATGACCTTCGCTTCCACCATTAAAGCTTTCGTCAGACCTTCTCTCTCCCTCTCCACCACTCGATCTGCTTACTCTCCATCGAATCTTAACCTCCTTCGTTTCTCCGCTTCTCCTTCATCGTTTTCGTCGCTCCTTCACTGTAAGCGAGGTTTCCACGGTGGTCGTGTTTTGGCAATGGGTTCTTCTGCTCCTGGATCGGTTAATAAGCCAGAGGAAGAGTGGCGTGCGATTCTGTCTCCTGAGCAATTTCGGATTCTGAGGCAGAAAGGCACCGAGTAAGGAGCTTTTGAGTGTTAATTTGTGTTCTTGAATGTGTTCAATTCCGATTCGATTCAGCATCTAGCTTGAGAAATTTTTGTGGGGGTTGTTTGATGATCTGGAGTTAGATTGTAAATGGGGTTTCATTATCGTATAAAAATGCCTTCTTGATTTCAAATTTAGTCTTTGCTTTAGATGGTCATGCATGCATTGGATTAAGGTTCTTCTCATGATGCACAATATATTGCTATGCATAATACATATAGATTATATGATATAGTGATATAGATGTACTGACAGTTATTTGAATCGTTATGCATGTTATTGCATTTATATCTCTCGTAAAAATTGTTGAAAGTTGAGTTCAGTGAGCGTCGTTTGTTGTGGAATTAACTTGCCACGCTGCTCGTAGATGGAACAATCGTAAGTCCTGTTTTCTGAAGATTTAGATGTTCAACAGATTTTCCAAAGTTTTTGACTTTTTCTTCTAACAATTAAACTCTGTTTCTGTTTGTAACTGGTTTTCTCAGTTGCTTATGAACCCTTTTAGGATGTCTCAGGTAGGATTTCTCTGTGTAAACATGACGATGCTCTCCTTAGTCTTGTGTCTTGATTTGGTCTGCCTTTAATGCTGGTCTTTATTGGTTTCTCTAACACTAACAGCAAGAAGCAAAAGAAGTTCAAGTAGAATTGTCTCTATGGTTGAAGTATCATTGACTTGGTTTGAAGAGACAAGTCTCAAGTTCTATAGCATCATAATATTATTCTAACGGTTTTACGCATGTAAATGAAGATATCCAGGAACAGGAGAATACAACAAACTATTCGAAGACGGTATCTACTGTTGTGCAGGATGTGGAACTCCTCTGTACAAATCCGTCACCAAATTCGACTCCGGATGTGGCTGGCCAGCTTTCTTTGACGGCCTTCCCGGTGCTATTAACCGAACCGTAAGATTCTCACAATCAAAGATCATTATTATTATCAGAACTCATGATTTGAGAAACTAATTGCTGAAAACATCTTTTTTAACATAATTTTTTTTTTGTACTCAGGCCGATCCAGATGGGAGAAGAATCGAGATCACATGTGCGGCTTGTGGAGGACATCTCGGTCATGTTTTCAAAGGAGAAGGTTTCCCTACTCCTACCGATGAGCGTCACTGTGTGAATAGCATCTCTCTCAAGTTCACACCTGGGAACCCAACCCTTTGAAGAAATGTTCTTGTGTTGTGTGATGATTCTAAGTTCTATCTCCCTGTCTCTCTCGTTCGGTGTTTTGTCTTGCTTTGTAAAACTAGTGTTTCGTTTCAACGGCTAGTAATAAATAAAGGTCGTTGAATAAAATCTTGAGACTTCGTATATATTAGATTTTACCCAAGCTGGTGAAAATTAATAAAGTTAGCTGGTTCGTAGATACTGAAGAAAAATCAAATTTTATATTCTCAAAAGAAACTTGCAAAAGTAATAGTTTCTAGTACTGTTATTTTGCATGATTGACGAAACATTACAATTTTGATTCACCTAAGTGTGACAATTTTGAATTGTTAATAGCTTTACGATTCCGTTTTTTTTTTTTCTTTCTTCATCATCTTTTGTTTGCTTCTCGTTTTCTCAATCCTCTCATCCTTTTTGCTTTGTGTCAAAGGTATATAACTATATATGATGCATTTACTGATTCGGGTATGAAGTTTATAAAGCGACACAACGATCTGATCTTTTTGTTTTCATTTCTTTCACATTTGTTTGTATATAAATTTTATAAACACTTTACAGTTTACACATGAAGGCCTTGCTTACATATAACGTGTACAACATTTTTTATTTGCGAAAACGTATAACTCAACATTTGACACATGAAGGCCTTGCTTACATATAACGTGTACAACATATTTTTACGAAAACAAATAACTCAACAATTTTCATTTAAAATTATGCGGAATTTAATTTTAGTATACGTGAATCAGTGTGCCTAGCACTCAATATGATAACATAATACTTTATCAATATTTTTTTGTGTATGTTTGTGTCTCAATAACTTTTCATGGCTGAACACGACACATTACGGTTCCAGTGTATAGTCAGATGATTATCTTCAGTTTTCCACAGTTTATTGTTAATAATGAGAATTAGTTTGTTTCGTTTTGTTAAAGGGCCTAATAATGAGAATTAGTTTGTTTCGTTTTGTTAAAGGGCCTAGTAATGAGAATTAGTCTTCCTATTGTCTAGGAAACTACTTTCTCCGCTTTTCTCATTTTCTTGTACGCAGAGATTAATTATCCTAACTCTCTTTGTACTTTTCTTCTATTTAATTTAATGAAAACAACAAAAATAGCAAATCTCTTTGGCTTGGCTTTGAAGAAGGACCGAGTGTAGCATCCGTTGCTAACATATGATCACTTGCCAAACATACTTTTGGTTTCGGTATCACTTTCTAAAAGTGACTAATTAATCCGTGTCTCACTTGTGAAACATTGTATATCTGCCTTTAACGAAAAAAAAATACAAACTTTATAGTTTACATATTTCCTGCTTATTGGTAAATAAAACTGACTGTTAAAGGCATGATTTCCTCAATATATATATGCAATGACTAAGACCTAAACGAAATCACTGGTGAGATTGTTAACCTGATTAGAGGATCTATATGATTGGGACGTTCTTAACGGATATCAAAAGTGCAATCCAAAAAAATCACATGTGTTAAATGAGAAGAATAGATTCATTTCAACGACACTTTCGATCACTTCTCGATTGGGACTTCGTATCTGTCTCCAGAGAGATAGAGATCTCACGGTAGTATTTCACGATTGCCAAAGACTAATCAAGAGTATTAGTTTATCAAAGTTGTTAGTTTCATTTATTATGATGCAATCCAGAGTTCGAGTCTTAATATATAACACCAAATGTGTTGATTCATTTACTTGCCGACAACTTTTTTTTTTTCTTTCTCGAGGGGTCCATTTAGGAGACCAGTTAACATCAATAGTTATTAAGCTTTATAAAGAGACAGGCCACGAAATCAATCCTGCCACTGTCATAAAATAAAGATCAAGGACATTAAACTCACATGCACATGCACTATATGATAGCTCGAGAAAATACTATACAAGTATAAGAAAATTAGTGGACACTACAAAAGACTTAAGAATCCATTCACCGTCCAATTTTTCCTCATGAAATAAGAAAATTAACATAATATAACGATAAAACGGTTGAGTGATTTTGTAGACGCTACCATTAAACGTTAAACGTAATGAACATTTGACGACAAAAAAAAAACATAATGAACATTTACTTTATAAGAAACAACGGCACATTTTTCTTTTTCTTTTGCTGTTTTACCAAATTTAACGACGCTACCAATATTGGAATGTATTTTGTTCCTTTAATATTATCTGACAACTTCCAAGCGGTGATAATTCGTACTTACTATAAATATCTACCAAAATCATACTAATAATATATAGAGTATGCAAAAATGTTAACCTTCTTTCCTCGAAAATGACTAAATTCGATAACAAAAATTCATCTTCCTCCAACAAATATCTATTTCCTCAGTTAAATTCACTTTTCACGCTGGAAATTTTTACATAACTATTAATTTAACATATTTTCATTATTCTGCTTTTTTTTGGTAAAAGATATTCAATTGAAAGCATAACAATAAGTTTTCCAGAAGCTTCAGCTATAATATTTCAGAAATTTGAAACTAGTTGTTCCCATCATTTTAGTTGATTGAGTTTATAACACCATTACATTATATCCCACCGCCGTAGTATTAACTAGGGACTCTATTAACTATGGGTCTGAACGGTAAACATCTTAGCGTAAGAGAGTAGAAAAAGTTTTACCACTTAAAATTTTATTTGCTATTACATGTTTTAATTATTTTTCAGCATTAAAGTTTACACTACATATAATGGTGGTAAACTTTACTCTGATATAATTACCATTCACAGCCTATATATGTTTAGTAAACAAAACATAACATAATCAATTAGTCAGTTTTCAGGCGCATTAGTTAGTTCTCTCAATCGATCATGTTTAATTGCTTCTTAAATCAATAATATATACAATATATTAATTGAGATACAAGTCATTTCCCATTGTGACATATGACCAGGCAACGTACGTAATATTTTGTTATAGGTGCTTTGATATGAAAAAGGTGAGACAATCATATTAAAACAAGACAAACGTCCTATTATCATTTCATGACATGCAGCTGACGTCAGTAATAATAGACTGGTCTTATTTTGTAGACCTTATATGGACGGTTGAATTTCATGGAACGTTTGTTCGTGGAAAAACATCGTCAGTGCTTAACTTTAGTAAGTCGACTGTTTAAACCGCTAAACAGTAAACTTAACTCGACTTCTTCAAAGTTTGGGCAATTTGAGTTAATATGGTCATGCAGTTTTCTGTAAGACAAAATGAAGATGATCTTTTTGAATCTACCTGACGATCTTATGAAACACCCTTTAAATTACTGTGAGTTACAACAATTTTTACAATGCATACATGCATAGAAAGAACTCGAACTTCCCCCAATAAATTAGTAGGGATCGATCTGATTCTCCGCTCCGGAAGATTTCTAATCTTATTTTTTCTTTGGCAACAAGTCTTTCTAATCTATGGTCCACTGAAAAAGTGACGATAAAAACATACTTTAACCCAAAAAGGACAATAATCCCTCCAATCATATTAAAAAGATATTGTATTTTAGTAGAGAAGTTTGGCCAGACTTTGCAACTTGCTAATCACTACCACTTGGTCCACTTGGGATGTCATAATTTTATTATTATGATTCTTTTGTTTAGTGCGACGTCATATTTGTTGTTAAGATTAGTGATTTACTATACCTTCAGTTGGTAAATTGTGTATAGACTATATAGTGAAACTAATACGTGGAACCTAATGATAGAATCAGTAAACAGAAAAAGTAAAACACACATCAATTTAAATGGCGGACTTCGAGTTTTATAAGGTCAAGAATACCTTATAAGTAATTAAGCGAAAATTTATAAACAGTTAAAAAGTTCATCTGTCAATAATTTGTAGACTGAGAAAATATTGAAAATAAAGCACAATTCCACAAAATTCTACAATTAATAGGAACTTGTATACTTGTGTGGAACAATTCGTTATTCAGTTATTCTGCATTTTTTCCACGTCACTAATCAATCGAAATTTAATAATTATCAAAACTTGTATCATGATCTCTATCTAGCTTGGTCACGAAACAAAAGATCTATCTATCTGTGAAGGAGCATTACTGTATTATGATTGGATTCTCGTGCGTTCACGTGTTTCATGCAACAAGGACTGCTAAACTTGTATTTTTTTTTCATCAAAAGTAAATAAATAAATAAATTGTATTTTGCTTTTACCTCCGGAATATCACTGTTTTTTTTTCCGATTAAAGACTTAAAGTCTACTTTTGCAAGAATAAATTAAATAGTATGTTATTGGGAAGTGGGATTAATGTTGAAATACGTGATAACTCGAAAAAACGTGATACAGAAAATACAGTTTTATACTCTGCTGCTGAGATGGAAGAAAATACCCTGATCTATGAATATCTCGATAACTTAGAGTAGTCTCAAATTCTCAACTTAGCTCTTTGTTCAGTATACCTCTCTCTTTTCTAGAATTTGATTGTTTTTTATAAATAAATTAATTTTTATAATCAATTTGTAGTTAAAACTCAAAACTCGACGTAAAAAAAAAAACTCAAAACCTGTTGCTAAATTGAGAACAGGTGTTTAAGATTGTGAATGATATTATGGAGGGATTGTCTTACCTATATAACTTCACTTTTTTACCGATCTTTCATTGAGATTTAATTGAGTAATGATCTGTTAGATCAAGATATGATTCCAATTTGCTTCAAAAAAAAAAGATATGATTCCAAAAAAGCGGTGGAGGACTAGTTGTGGATGAGTCGTTCTGTTTGTCGAAGATGCTACCACACTTACAACTTATTTGGAAATTCGATAAGTGAGTTAGTCAAAATATCACTTATCAAAGAAGATTAGTTGGATGGTAAAAATTTATATTATTTTTTATTATATATAAAAAAAATATATGATCCCAAAAATCTTAGATTAGTGCTATGAAAGACCTGAGATGGACTGAGTGATCGGAACTTGGTAAACCACCCAGTCTTTAAATAAAAGTTTTAATAAAAAAATAAAAAAATGTGATTTTCCTTAATATTTTTATTGTGGAGCGACCACATGTCTGAAGAAATGGGCTATCTCATTGATAATTCCGTTGATTTAGTGATAGGAGCATATGTAATGTTCTATTAGTAGAAAAATTATGAAGGACAATTGAATATATAAAAGAGTAGGTTAATCTTGATCCACATAACAAATTTTCAATATGTAAGTATGCATGTTTCCGAGAAGCACAAAGATAAATAGAGTGGAGTTCTTAACATTTTCCCAAAAAAATAAATAAATAGAGTGGAGAGAAACATGATAACATGTAAATTTCTTTACCACACATTTTTCTTAATTATTTTCTTTTTCTTAATTATGAATAATTTAAGTCTTGAGCTGAGCATACCCTGTTGAGGAATCCTACCTCTGCTTATTATATGAATATATAAGCTCGCGCTCAATTAATTTAATACAAAAATATGGATAGACAAGCTAAATTTTAATGGATATATATAGAATAAAAGATAAATCCAAGTATATAAGTGAAATACTTTTTTTGCAGGTTCTGATTTTGTTTAATATTGAGGTTAATGTAATATGCATTTATTTTCTTATAACTCATGAGAAAGTGATACAGAAACTTTTTCATAAAGACAAAACTGTCTCACAAATTATAAGAAGTTGATATTTTTCTTCAAATCCAGTTCGAAAAATTTATCCTTCTTGCTCTAATTAATATAAATTCCGAAACTGATGCAATTTATTTCTAAGAAAAAAAATTGTAAGTTATAGTGCTACACACATTCATTAGAAAAGGATGAACTAATTTTTTTTTATGCAAACAAACAAAAAAAAATTATAAGTTATACTATAATAGTTTATATTATCTTTTTGGAATCTCAAAAAAAAATCACCTTTCTTTGGCAAAAAAAAAAAAAAAAAGAAAAGACTACCTTTTACGTTTAACGGGACAAATGGAGAGCAGACACACCTAAAAAAACAAAGCTGGCTTAAGACCAAAATTATTATGGGCCCTAAATTTTATTTTTTGGAATGGTGTTCATTTTTTGAAAAATTCATTTTTTTTCAAAACAAAAATATGTTGCTAAATTAAAATGATAAAAAAAAAATGGTTCTAAACAAAGATGCGTTGATGAATTACACTGATGAAAACGAGTTTAAAGATCTTTCGACAAAGACTTGAGTTCTATTTGATGAATTAAACTGATGAAAATTAAATAAGATTAATAATTGTTCTAAATATTTTATTTTGAAATTATGATTTTTATCCTTAATTAAATATGTATAGGAAATCCATATTATATAATGGATTTGTGTTATTTTAAAACAGTATATTTTAATACGGTTTAAATATTTAATGTTTTATTACATATTTTTATTATTATTATCATATATATATATATATTCACGTCTTCATACTTAAATTTTTCAAAAAAGCGTTTCCATGTTTTAAAACATTTCACTTCCACATATCCAACCTAAACATTTCCAATGATGGTATCTCATATTAGAAAAAAAATTACGGATCGATTTCTCAAATAGTGGAGAAACTTTGAAAAACTTTTAGATGAATTCTTCATTATTTAAAATATCACGTTTAATATTATTATTTTTCTTCTTTTAAGATAAGATATCCATATGTTTAGAACCAGAAAAATCGTGCACCCATATCTAAATATATATAAATATTATACTACCAACAAAATCAACACACTACTACCTCACTTGATCCACCATTTTTTGCTTTGATAGGATGAAATATCCATTTTTTTTTTCTCTTTTTTTCCTTGAGAAGATCTCTACCTCTCGCTCTCCATCTCTATTTTTTTGTTTCAGCTAAATTTCTGTCTTTATCCTTGCTGTCAATCAGATCTAAATCAACGTATGAATTGTGATGATATTATTTTTTTATTGTTTTCGTCCTACTTAGGAATATTGGCGTCACTTCATAGACAAAAAAAAAAGAAAAGAAAAGAAATAGTACCTTTTAATGTGTATTTATACCCCCACCACCTACTAATCAACTCTCCATTTTACTCTGAAGACCTCGAAACACACGACCATCTCTCCGTCGCCTTCATAGCGTCTTAATCGTTATCATGGCAATGACGGCAACATCGGCGGTTCCATCAGCTGGATCTGTAAAACACGATGATGAGTGGCGTGCGGTTTTGTCTCCTGAGCAATTTAGAGTTCTCAGGGAAAAGGGCACAGAGTAAGCAAGCTCTCTACATACATCTAGCTTAAGCTTCTTAAGTTCTATTTTCATTGCATGTTTCTCAAAAATACTATGATTACCGAAATGTTGTAGATGTCTTGATATTAGTCTTAGTTTTGGTCCAATACTTATCAGACGAACAAAAAGTCACTATAACATGATAGTTAATTATTGCCCGGCTCAATAATACGGCAAACAACATATTACGAAGTATGTTTTCTATGTTTAATATATATCTTTCTAATAAACGATAAACTAATATTGTATAGATAAATTTTGTAAATATGATCACTTTTTTTCTAAGACATTTCCTCATGATTGTTGTAATGTTTTGTGATTTAGGCCACGAGGCAAAGGAGAGTACACAAAATTATTCGACGAAGGAACCTATTCGTGTGCTGGTTGCGCAACTCCTCTTTATAAGTCCACCACCAAGTTCGACTCTGGTTGTGGCTGGCCTGCCTTCTTCGACGCTATTCCCGGTGCTATTAAACAAACTGTACGTTAATTAAAGTACATTCTTATGATTTTTTTGCATCTTATTTTAGAAGATTTGTTGATAAATTAAATGAAAATATATGTTTTATATCAGCCGGAGGCAGATGGGAGAAGAATGGAAATCACATGCGCAAAATGTGATGGGCATTTAGGTCATGTTTTCAAAGGAGAAGGTTTTCCAACGGCGACCAATGAGCGTCACTGCGTCAACAGTGTTTCTCTCAAGTTTTCTTCCGAAACTTCTTCCTGATAAATCAATATAGTCTCCATATATTGTTTGGACCAATTCATATCCTTCAGGAAAATTCAAAAATCGTGTCTGCTCGTTTGATATTGTTATGTTCCTACTTCCTAGTCATGTGTGTTGCTCCCGTGATTGTTGCTGTCCTTTGTATGCTCTTTCTTTATTATTGTATTTTCTGTTTCGCTTATGCAACTATGCAAGTCCTATATAATAAAGTTTGGCTTTCTTTAATCATATCCCTATTTAATAGTTTAATAGGTATGATTGCACACACACAAAAAAAAAATTGATTAATGCGTTCGTGGGTCAACTTCATTAAAGGGGTTTTCTTTCGTTTGTTTATTTCTCTTAAACGTTATTATCTGCACGTTGTACCTCGTGGTTTTGCAAATTTCCTAATAATGAAAACAGTAAAAGTTCCACATTTTGGTGGGCAGGGTATATTGATTTTTCAACATCGATACTACTACTAATTATATAACGTGACGAGATATCAATTCTGAAGAAGTAAATCTTCTCGTAAAAGGTTACGCAAATGTGGTTACTAGAATATATATTTCAATGCTATTGTGATTTAAAAGAGTAAGTTTTTTTTTTTTTTTGCATTCAAGTCCAACAGTTCCCACACCAAATCGATCATGTTCATTTATGTGTGTAGTCAGGGGTCTTATTTAAATCCTTTATCATAATTTTCTGTGTAAGATATATCGTGAAACTTCACATAAATGTTCGGTTGGAGGGGAGGAACAACATGGTTTCAATTATACTATAGTAACCGTATGAATATCGGTTTATAGAAACCGTGTGATATAGTGTATATGAATCGATTATAAACCGTTTAAACTGGATAAATCGATTGTGTACATTGTCCATAAACTGTAGCATAAACGATCATTTGTATATATAATTCTAATTTTATCAGATTGTGCTTTAATCTGATAAATTCTAATTTTAAAATTATAAAAACACCCAAACGAGAGTATATATTTGATTATTGAATCATTGTCGTTTTAATATACGTACAAAAGCATTTAAAACATGAAAGAAGTAGATATAGTATTTTATTTACGCTTAGCCCAACTTGTCTGAATCTTACCCTGACCTGATATGTGTTTGGTCAACCAATGCTCCCAATTGGTTACATTTTCTTTTTAATTTGTTCTAAAAATGATAAAGTTATAGGAAAAAAAAACATGCATTTTAATATGTTGATCATTAATAAGACATACACAAATTTTAGAATCCCTAAAAACGACCCCAAAACGAACCCGGGACCGGCAATAGAGGGAACTAGGCAACTAGCCATGCTTCATAAGCTTTAGAAGCTCCACAGCTTCTTTTAATCTTCTCTCACTCTTTTCTTTTCCACTCTGACCCTTAGCGTTCCTGAAAATCACAAACAATATCTTAGATTATGTCACCTTTTGATTCATACTTTCTTATTTGGAATCTATCCTTATGCAATAGAGTAAACATTCAAATAATCTCAGACAACAAAAACGAGGGAAAAAACAAACTAACCGTTTCTCCATGTTTGCCTTACGGGTTAGCTCCTCAACTAAGGCATGTAACCGCTTTACCAATGCAGGAAGCTTTCGAACTGCTTCTACGCCTTTCTGGCTATTGCATATCTTCTTCAGAACATCTGATGCAATGAAATATGCTTCTTCTTTGTTCCTGAATTAAAAAAAAAAAAGAAAAACAGCAACGAAAGGGTGAGAAAATGATGGAAAATTCAATTCTTAAAGAGAAAGATTCTATAACTAAATGAAGAGACCTGAGTAGTTCCCAGAAGATTGTCTGGATGGATCCTTTCGTCTCGATAAGCTCATCTGCCATTTGTGGATAACGAGCAAGGTGACTTAAAGTTGAAAGTGCATGTTTTGAAACTTCTTGATCAGGGATGCTTCTGCTTGCAGACCGAATCAGTGTTAGCAACTTGTCTATAGCTCCCGCTGCCACGAGCTCTTCACAGCATTTGTCAGAGTATTTTGTTGCCGAATCTGTAGAGAAAAACATGTGAACAATTCCTCGGTAGTAAGCGTTACAGTCCATTCAGGCATTCACATGATTTTGTAATTAAAGGGAATCTGATAAAAACTCACCCAATATCTCACAAATGTGAAGAATGTTGTGGACCTTTTTCATGCTCAGTAGTTCTGAAAGCGCAGAAAGAAGCTTGTTTATAAGCCGTTTCTTGTCATCTACGTTTGCTGCAGAAGTCTGCATTCTTATTCTCAGATCTAGAACTTGAGCTTTTGAGGCTTTGCGTGTGAGATAACCTCTCCAGTGTGCCTTGATAGAATCAAATGGTGGAAAAAGAGAAAAATCTTAGCCAATAATGGCACGAAGAAACTTCAAAATTCTCAAAGAAAGCTAAATATTAGTGAAAGTGAAGAAGGACAAAAGATGAAAAGTAGCTTTGGTTATATCTTACTTGAATCATGACAATGTAGTGTCTTTCCATAGAAGTTCTTCGCCTGGCAAACAAACCTCGAATATGCCTCTGTATTAACACTGCTGATGTTCTTCTCACATTCTGTGAATGGACTAATCTCCACCAACGCTGCAGTTTAATGACGGAATTTAGCAGTTTGTTCATCCCAACGCTGTGTTGTGGAAGTATTGAAACGCCATTGTCGAGTTGTGAAGAGAGACTAGAAGTTCCTGTGATAATTCAATTTTAAAAACCATATGTATGTTAAGCAACCAATAGTTCATACAGGAAAAAGTATATGTAATCAGCTAAATTTAAGGTACTGAAGAAATGGCTTAAGCACCTTGAATCCTGCTTCGAACAATTTGTCCCCTAACGAACCGTTGAATCTCCATGGCTGCTCGTTTATACCGATGAAATGACATCATGCAGTTAAATTTTCGGATTGCAGTCTGTATGCATATGGTTGCTTCTCTCTGAAGATAAAACTTCCTTCTCGCCAACCAACCACGGAAGTGTCTCTGCAATTAGTTACAAGAAGTTCATAAAGCAGGGGTAGAGCACACATAGAAGCAGCAATCAGAAACACAGAATCTCGCTGTGGCTTTATGTAAGAATAGTTTAAAATCAAGGTACATCGAAAAGAAAGGCTAATGATCGACAGGAACAAGAAATATCGTGGCAGACAGAAAGAAGTGACAAAGAAGAATGATGGGGCAAATTGGGACAAGCAGAGGGTAACAGAAGAGATACAACGGTTTTTTCTATACATGGACTTTAATGATCAATGGAGAACTTAATAGTGGCCAGTACATAAGCAGAACATCGGACGGCCTGAATGAACTTACTTGAATAAGTATGGAAGAAAACTTGTATGTCCAATTCATCCTGCGTGTGATCCACCTTCGAACATAGGATTGGATGATGATAGAAGAGCTAACTTTTTCTTTATAGCTCCTCCAAGCTAGCTGAATTTTGAGTGCTGCTTTAAGCTCATGATGAAGGTTGCTCTGATGTGGAGTGCACATATCAGAAGTGGTTAAAAGCGCCTGATGCCTCCTTACAGCTTTTTGAATGACCGAAACAGATTTCCTCAACTTGATAAACCGACTTCGTTCAACAATGAATTTGACATATCTCGCGACAGGTTTTAAGTTGGCCGATCTTTCTGCAGCAATAGCAAAACTTTCACCAGGGAGTAACTTGTTATTCTGTCAACGGCAATGAATTCTCGCAAACAGATAATTACCTGATAGATGTAAAGTAACTTCCTCAACAGTTAATTTCTCAAGAACTTCTATATGTTTCACTAACAACCATGTCCGGACAGCAGCTTGTAAGTACAGGATTGCACACATCTTCTTACTAAACTTGCGGCGTGCATGAAGTCCCTTCAGATTCGCTTGTATGACCACTGCTGCACCTTCTGTAAGCAAGAGCCAAGAGGCAAGTCAAAAATACTGGATAGATTCCAATATTCAATACTCTATCTACCAAGAAACAGAAAGTAGATAAATAATCGTTGAATCAAATATAACGATACAATCTAGTACTGTGCCATCTATAATGGTAAGATCATAAAAAGGTGATGGTTGCCAAAAGCAAGCTTATACTGTAAAAGTTGAGAAGAGTAGAAACAGAAGTTTAATCACCTCGTTGAAAATCCGTAGTGCATTTGCTAGACAAGGAGTCTTGCAAAGTATGGCTACTAGCCTTTCTAACAGAATTTTGGTTTTGGTTGGCCATATCCTGCCACCAGGCTTTGATTGCCTGGAAACTTTTGGTAGCATCTACAAGTAGCATCACACTTTTAACAATTAATACCAACGATACATGTATATTATCACCAAGCATGCTTGCTTTATACAACCAGTTGTAAGAAGCTGAAAACTCTATATGAAACTAAGGTGGCAACTATGAGAAACCATAAAAATAAAAGGAAATCAAAGACTGCAAACCACTAAAGGCATCTAACTAAACAGATCTAGCTCCTCAATTCAAAGCTCATATACTTTAGGGAAAGTAAGAAAGTGATAAATGGGAACCTTCTTCGTTTTCTCTATCTGGTTCCTCATTTCTAACTGCTTCAGAGCTGCTGCAACTGATGCGCGAAAATCTCTTCTCCTGAGCTTGACATCTAGAGCACAGCAACTTATGAAAGTTCAGTTGCTCCTGAGAAAAGAACGAATTTTTAAGACAACCTGTCAATGTAAAAGCTGACTTCCAAGGAAAGCCATATTTTGTTGGTAATGATAATACCATATTCTCCTTGACGATCAGCTTTGATGATAGGAAAGCCAACAGTATAATCACACTTTGGTTGCTAACTACTGCATTATGTTCCAGTAGGTCACCAATTTGTAGAACCTACAGAGATCAACATTGTTGTCAAAAAATTGATAGCACTAACGTGACGCCATACATACAGAATATGTTAACCTAAATGAAGCAAACCATTTATTGCAAAAGAATAAAAAAAACACCTTACTGTAACTCATTTTTCATATCTCTAATAATCTTTTTTGCTTCAGGATAAACATAAGAAGAACTGAGACATTCACAGGCTGAATATTATTACCTCAGGAAAACTTCCCAAAAGTGCTGTCAACTTTTGTGACAAAATGAAATTTTGAACTGCATCATTGTAATTGGTATTGGCCATCACTGATTGAGGGCCTTGTTGACCACCAGGATCCTGGATATAAGTATTTATTCAGAAAATATAGCACGGGCTGTATCATAAGATACATGAAGAGAAAGGACCTAAGTAAATTTCACTGCAATGAGACTGACTTTGAGATAAGAACATTCGGACATACCTCTTTGTGAAGACAAGGACAGCAGACTTCTCGACGAAAATAGTAGTCAAGCAAGTACCATATCCCCTTTCCATCAACCAATGATGCAAAGCTTTCTAAGTTGAAGTCATACTTCCTGGTAATTGACTGAGTCAAGAATGCAAAACATGCAAGTATTTGACATGGTTAGACATGCAGAACATTGGCAAAGAAAGCACCCACAACTTGGGTGAGAAACAAAAATCCTAAGAAGATCATAGTAAGGACAGTAATACGAATACGCAGATATAATAAGGTACCTGGATCCAGTTCAAGAGCATTTCCAGAGGAGTACTAGGCATGGTAATTTGATTATTCTGTAAAGAAACCCAAAAGGGAAATAATTGAAGAGAGACAAAATAGTGTACTAGACAAGTTTCACCATTAAAGCTTTGATTAAGAGATTTCTATTAAACTACATATAGATACAAAATAACCAATGATAGCCAGAAATTGGAAAGAATTATCAGAACGAAAGGAAATCAATTCATCCTTAGCAGTTACCTGTTCGAACCCCTGGATTTTGAAGATTTCCTCAGTCAAGAGTCTCCCATTGATCAGAAGTGGCAGCTGCCCAGTTCAAAAAGCACACATAACCAATGTAAACCAGAAGACACGTGCAATCCACCAAAAATGGACAAAACAAAACAAGAGACACTCACCTGCAATTGTACAAAAATGTTCCACAGCAGTGAAATCGTGAGCTCTCTGTCGCCATCAGCAACATCTTCTCCAGTTATTATCATCCCTTCATCATCTTTCAACGAAACACCAGCATCCTTCAGATACTGAAGTGCAATTCTACAATTGGCCAGGTTCTTCTTTCGATTGTCACATGGAACTACCATTTTCTGTTTGATCAAAAAACTCATACATAAAATCCCTCCCTAAATAAGAGATAAATGGAAGTTCTTAGTTAAAAATCAATTGAAAAGACAAACCGTGAGAATGGATGGATCATGAAGAAGTAGTTGAATGGCTCTGCAGAGCCGTACGCCATCTTGGAGGTCACCAAACAAGTCTCTCACTCTAAATTCATATTCAACTACAGGAGTCTGTAAGAGCCATTTTAGTTATCGAAGTGAGCGAAACATCATATACTTAGCTATCTAGATCTAATATAAGACATTGCATTGACTCTTAAAAAATATTACCTGCTGATAAGGTATTTTGTACCCTATAATCACTAGATGCGCAAGGAGATTCCCTTCTCCATGCATTACATCAGCGGACAAGATTTCTATTCAAAACAGAAGATGAAAAATTAGCCGCAATAAACACCGCAAAGGCAAGAAAAATGACAACTAAATAGCAAAATCTGAGAAAATACCACATATAATTTGATGGCTAGACTTTATGCTAGATTTCTCTGAAAACATGAGGGGTGAGCCACCATCTATCCCATCAATCCCATACTTAAGTGCAAGGCAGCTTTGAGATTTAGCTCTGTCGATTACAAGGACGAGCAACAGAATCCTCTTCAAAATCACGGTTCCAAGGGCTTCATAATACCCTGGTCTGTATAAACCCTCAACCATTTTGTTATAGGCATAGGCTCTAGAAAGGCCATCATGGGAGAAAAACTGCTTATTAATAACCATCTTCAAGAATGCCATTTCTTGATCTGAGTTAACTTCACTGTCAGACAAAAAGGAATCACCGCCAAAGATGACATATAACCCTAAACGGAGCCAAACTTGGTTATAGCACATCAGTGCCTTGATGGCTTTCTCCTTCAGTCCAAAATCAGTTACAAGAGGGCATTGTGGTTTCATTTTTATCCTCCCTTCATCGATATTCTGAAACAAAAACAATAAGATTGAACCAAGTTAACTCTCCTAGATAAATAAAACAACCCAAGAAACAGTATAAGATCAATGTCCAAGACAACACAAAGTCATATGCATAAACAACAAAAGTTCAGATTTGCTTACCTTGCTAACACGGGTCATCACATCAAATATCTCCTTGCAGCTTCCCGAACTCAAGTGAAATTGCATTCTTTCCTTCAAATCATCTAAGCTACACACATCTCTTAGAGATTCCTTCAGTGTGGAATACTTGGAGCCAGTCAAGCATGAGCCAATTTCTGATCCTTTCTCGCCACACCAACCTAAATTCCTCAACCTTTTGGGGCTTCTCCACATTGTATCCACTCCTACAGATTTACTCTTTCGTAAAGCCTCGCTACTATCTCTCTTCGCCTGACCTAAGTGTCCTAAGCTACTAACACCAGAGTCACCCTTGAACGGATCGCAACCGCAATTTTCAGGGTTTTCAAACAGGAAATTGAGCCACACAGTGAGTGATTTAGCAAGAGATCTAAGACTCTTCTCTTTCCTCAACTCAGCCTTGTGCGAAGATTGCGATTGCTGAAGTTCGAATGCCTTAAGCCGTGCGACCTTAGACCGAGATGCATGAGACGGAACGATGGAAGGACGACGGAAGCTAGAAGACGAAGACTTTGGGGTTTGCTTGGATGCAGTGAAGAACTGCGGATACGGAGAGTTACTGAATTTCGAATTTACAACGGAGGAACGCCGGGAAGGCGTTTTGAAGTTAGAAATGTCCGTGAATAACGATGACGGCGGATTACGCGGCGGCGCAGGTGAAGTGCACGGTGGTTCGTTTTCATCCATCGGTGAAGGAACGAGATTCGCTAGACAGAGAGAGAGAAAGAGACGTTCAAAAATAGCCCCAGAGTTTTTGAATTTGAAAATTCGAAAGTTAGGGAATAAATTGCAACTGTTCCAAAAAGTTGACAATCGCGCCGCTTTATTTTATTCGATACTAACGTCATGCCGTTTAAAGATAAAAACGCTGAGACGTCTTCCGATTGTTTTTTACTTCGTAGAAACGCTGGCGTCAGAAAATGTTTTATGATTGGTTCGTGTAAACCACGTGCTGTATTATTCGTTGAAGTACTGTCAGACAGATAAATACGAATATGTTTTTTTTTTACATTAAAAAAAACTTATTGCCAGTAGAAAAAAAAAACAAATTAAAATCTTTATAAGTCGCTTTCGTTAATTCAAAGCTTTTTGTACGAGCTAATTTAAATCTCAAATTCATTGCAACAGAGAAGCATCTAGAGATTCGATTGGGTTTGGTTTACGATTTTGTGTTCAGTTGCTCGTGGTGATCGAATTGAATCGATTGTGATTGCGAGGTAGGAGGAGAAATCATGGCTCAAGCCGTAGAAGAATGGTACAAACAGATGCCGATTATAACCCGGTCGTATCTCACGGCGGCCGTAGTCACCACCGTCGGATGCTCGCTCGAGGTATGCATGCTTCCTCTTTCTCCGTTTTTCGAATCCGAATAGTTTTGTATTCTGGAATCGATTTGATCTCTTTCTCATGGAATCTTAATTGACCTGGATGTGCTTTAAAATCATGTTTTCACTTTTCAAATCCAGTTTTTGTTGAAGAATTGAATCTTGTTGGTTTCTACATTTCTATACAAAGGTCACTCTTCATTTGAATTTGGATGGCTAATGGTTTAGTTTAGAGCTCCAGTGTTGTGGTGTTATGGCTTATGTTCTTCTTTTCTGTAACGTTTTGTGGAACATTTTTGCAGATAATATCTCCTTATAACCTCTACCTGAATCCTACTCTTGTGGTGAAGCAATACCAATTCTGGCGCCTCGTTACAAATTTCCTTTATTTCCGAAAGATGGGTACTTATCTTCAACTCTTGAGTCGGATTCATTTCGTTTGTAATATTCGATTAGAAGTTAACTTACATTCTCTTATTGTCAATGCTTTTGCAGATTTGGACTTTTTGTTCCATATGTTTTTTCTAGCTCGATACTGCAAACTCCTCGAAGAAAACTCTTTCAGGGGAAAGACTGCGGATTTCCTTTACATGCTCTTATTCGGGGCTACTGTTCTTACCGGTATTGTTCTCATTGGTGGAATGATACCTTACTTGTCCGTCTCATTCTCCAAAATCATCTTCCTCAGCAATTCTTTGACTTTCATGATGGTAAATTCCAAACCAATTCTCTAATAGTCTTAAAAATCCATCTCAAGAGCATCATGATAATATTTCCTCTGTTCTGCAGGTTTATGTATGGAGCAAACAAAATCCGTACATCCACATGAGTTTCCTTGGCCTTTTCACTTTTACAGCAGCATACTTACCTTGGGTGAGTTGGACTTTCTCATTTTCTTCTCGGAGTTACCTAACTAGATCGGTCATTTAAATCACTTGTCTAAGTTCTCTTGCCAAATTCTGACATTGCAGGTGCTTCTTGGGTTCTCTGTCCTTGTTGGTGCAAGTGCCTGGGGGGATTTTCTGGTACACAATCTCTCCCATTTCGATTTCACCCATTTCTTTTTCCCTCTCTCTTCATCCTCATCCTTATCCTTGAGTTTCATCCAATATGCAGGGAATGATAGCTGGTCATGCGTACTACTTCTTGGCGTTTGTGTATCCACGAATGACGGATCGACATCCCTTGAAAACTCCATCTTTCCTCAAAGTCTTGTTCGCTGATGAGCCTGTCGTGATTGCACGACCAGAAGATGTGAGGTTTGCTCATGCGCCTTTTGATGAAATCCACCAAGACTGATTCTTGATCTTCTACAAAAACCAGTCACAGTGTGCACAGTTTATGTGTGTTCAGATTATGTTTTAAAGGGCAGATGATGTACACATTCATTGATCTTTTTTAGTTGTGGATAAATGTGGAAGTTTTTTTTAGTTTTCTCTGACATTCTTGTTGATAACAAAGTGTGTTTACTCCTGCATATATGAAAATTCTAGTTTATATAATTTGTTTTTAGATCATTCGACAGTGTCTTACAAAAGAGATTCAGTTCCTTGGTCTAACTACACAGCTGCGAAAACAAGGCAGGTCACGAACAAAACCAGTTAAAGCCACTTGATAAAGGTCTGAAAGACTTGGTTTTTTTAGTTTTTAATTATAAGTAAAAACGATTCATCTCTTCATCTTCATCATCCTCATCTATGGCATCATCACTGTCTTCTTCATCTTCAATCGGAACGTCCTCATCATCCTCCTCTATCATCATCTTCTCTGCTGCATCTCTGTCTTTCAAACCAGTGCTTAACACTACAGTGCCTCCCTGAGAACTCTCCATGTCCTTTCTTAGTTTCTCCATTTCCTTTTCCCTTCGCTCTTCTTCCAACTGCTCCTTCTCAGCCTTTCTCTTGTCGAGATCAGCCCTGAAGAAACAAAACACAAATCATAAGCATGGAGGTTGCAGACAGATCCTGCAAAGATGGTAAGATACAGAAGAGAAGAGTGGATCATTACTTGTAAGTTTCCATGTATTCCTCAGCACTGGCTTCAATGGCTTTAAAGAAGCCATCCATTCCTGCACCGGTGATTGCCGAAACACCAACAGATCTTATATTTCGATAGAACTCGTAGAGTGCAAGGGAGAGACTGTTAGCTAAGGTCGACGTGTACGAGTTATCAGACTGTATCGCTGCTTGAAACACCTCGAAATCTTCCATCCACTGCTTACACCCAAATTATACCAAAGGATGTCAAGAGAATATAATACAACAACAGAAAAGGAATTGTGCTTGGTGATCATCAATAGATTCAATACTGAGAGACAGTTAAAGAAAGATAACCTCTAAAGCAAACTTGTGATCTGCGACATCGGTTTTGTTGAAAGCCAAGACAAGAGGCAACCGGGTCTTGTAGAGAATACTACAAGCGTAGAGCATGTTGCTCATAAAAGTGATTGGGCTGGAGGAACGTGGAGTGTCAACCACGTAGGTGACAACAGTTGGGAAGGTTGAAGCGAAAGCTTCAGTGATTATAGCCCCAGAAGCAGACCATGTGAATATTTCAATCTGACCAGGAGTATCCACAAGGACATAATCAAGCTGGTCTGCACGTTTCTCAATCACAGAGACAACCTGACAAACAAAGACAGAACAATCAAGACAAGAAAAAATGAGGGAACTACCATCATGTGTGATGAAGTCATCGTTTCAGGGAGTTTTTACCTCATCGAATTTAGTAGCAAACAAGTTGAGTGACGTGAGGATTCCACCATTAGGCCCCAAATTATACTGCTTCATAACTTCCTTGTACTTAACTGTGTCTCTTATATCGATGTTGGCACCAAACGGTAAAGACATAACAGCAGGGTCAAGGTTCAACACATACCCACGGCTGTTTGAATCAAAGGTATGGCAGACCAAACGATGAAGGAAACTAGTTTTTCCGCTACCTACACATAACAAAAAATAGCTCACATCAAACAATTGAAATCCCTTAACACTTAACAAGAAACTAAACCGGAAACAAAATGAATTTGCAGGAACATCAGTCAAAAATGATTTTACCTGCCATTCCAACAACAATAATAATGATAGGTTTCTTCTTGAAACTCGAAGATGCAGTAACACGAAGCTTGTCCAATGAGTCAACCAGCTTTTGACTCTCGTCAACAGAGTCCTAAGACAACAACAACAACAACCACCACAGCTTCATTTAACAGTTTTTTTTCAACTTTTCTTTGCAGTAACTTAGCTTGATAACACAATGGAACCATAAAGCAAAACCCCATCTACAACAGCAACCATTGACAACCGAGAATAACCCCATTAGAGTGACAGAGGTAAACTCATTACCTGTTCACCAGAAGACTCCATGGGATCCATCGGTGAAAGAAAATGATTTTCTGTATGATCTTAACTGCTAAAGATCACCAATAATCCCAAATAAAACATATTCAGTTTCCTCATCCAAATTTGTTCTGTATAAAATCGTATATCACAGCAAAACTCAAAACTAAAAGAAGCAAAATGAAGAAGACGAAGCAAGTTTTCCCCAAACCTAGTAACTCGATTATACCACACTTTCAGGTTTAAAGGTTCGTCTATATTTCAAATAGTTCATGCTCAAGATATTCTAGAGAACGAAAACAGAAACATAAACTTGAATGGTTTTTTTATGAATGGGAACTGAATTTGATTCGATAACCAAAGGGATTCAACACAAGTGTGACATGTGGATTCGGTAACGTAGCCACCTAAACTCGAGAAATTTATACGAGAATCGACTCCGTTCCGTTCATTTCTACATATGGATTCAAGTTGTTATATGGAATTTCCGTTCTATTTTACAGGTTAAAGACCAACTAAACTCCAGAAAAGAGAGAAGAAGAAAGACGACGGAGACGAGAGAGAATAGACCTCGCCGTGAAAGAAAACAAGCTTAGGGCTTTGATTCGTGTGGGCGTGTGTGAGTGACAAATGGGATTCCTATAGGAGACGAAGACAGAGATTGGCTTTGACTTATTAGTTTCCTTTTTAAATTTGGAAAATCAAGCCCAAGGCCCGCTAGGTTACATGACCGATTGAATTCTGTTCCATTTTTTCTTTTCGACGAAAACAGATTTATTAATTAGTAAAGGAAGAACATGTTTGATGGAGTGTTTTTTTCTTTATATGTTGCAATGAAGGGTTGATGGAGTGTTTTTTTCTTTATGTTTTTCTAAATAATTTTGATGATATTTATATAGAGTAATTAAACACAATATATAACATATTTGCAAACTTAATTATGGTCCCACCGTATATGTAGAAGAGTAGCTGAAAGGGCCGGAGAAATTACTTCCAACCCCTTGAAAACTTCTTTATTTTCTCTGTTAGATTTTGTCTTTTTCTCCTTCGTACAACTTTTATTTCTGTTCTTATTCTTTTCTCCAATTAAACACACATATGAATTTAATTTAAAAACAGAGACGAATCTGATAAAATTTTGTACACAAAACCTCTTCTCTTCGCTGATGGGAATCTAACAATATCCATATAGCCACAGTTCTAATTCTGGTGACGGTGACGGTGCCACTACATACCAACATCGACCAATGTTGTTATAACTATGAAGATCGTTACACGTTTTGGGTAACTTGGTACACATTTTTGTAGCTTGATAAAATTATTGTATTATGTTCAACTATTACATTTATATATAACTCTATATTTAACTCGATATAAAATATGTTAGATTGATAACAATAATTTTACACGATGTTAAAATATTTATTATACAAGATAAATATTAAAATATATCACTAACTTTATATTTAACAAACTCAATTATTGTATGTTAGCTTTCATGGTTTTATACTTCAGCCAAAGATAAGTTGTTGTTATATCATATCATTTTTAAATATTTATGTGTACCTATACCATTTTGTTTATCTCGATAACGTAGTTGTTGTATGTTAATTTTCATGTTCTTTACTAAATTATACATATATATATATAATTATATATACTTTTAACATGTAAAAATATTTGTTGGATTAAACAAACATTTAGATATATGTGTAACTTTTTATTTAAGAAGGTAATTAACTTACTAAGTTTTCACTTTTACATTAACAAATTTATTTGCGTGAAAATAAAGCAGATTCGCCACCGAGATAGATAAAGCAAATCAACACCTTCGAGGATATCTCGATCCACAAGATCTCGTACATAAGCAAAAATCGCCAACATGTTATTGTACCGGCAGCGTAATCGAGGAGACTCACGTTTCTCACAGCAATCCAGCGGTGGTACTCAAATTATGAGGTCCATGTCCTTCGACATCATAAGGAGAATCAGACTCACATTTGCTTAAAAAACCACCACCGAAAAAAATATTGTAGAGAAACTCGTTGAGTTGTGTACTACTGTATACATTACTGCAATTATTCACCCAAATTTGTACCTCCACTTATTTTTGCCATCAGCATGCATCATGTCCACACCCAGATTTTGAGTGTTCAATTCTCCAAAATATATAATGTCGATTTTTATTTTTTAGTTCGTATGAATGTAAAAGAGTGGAGAATTGGAGAATGGTTGAAGAGAGAAAAAGATAAGAAAAAAAATAAAAAAAAAAATAAGAAGAAATATAAGGAAGAGTAATTTGAGATTACGAAGAATTGAACAGTGGTTATAATTGTGTTTGGTTAGATTTGCAAATACGGTTGTATTTAGCGTTACAGTATGCAAATTCTTTTTCTAAGACCATAAAAATATCTGATATGTTAACAAACATCTAAAAAGACTAGTATCTTATATATAAAAGATGACCAACTCTCTCCATATAAGTGACACCTCAGCATTTCAAAGTTAATATAGCGATGACATGTGTCAATTTTTAATTTAAAGTTATAATTTTTAAAGAAAATTAATTAATAAATTTTAATATTAAATTTTTAACCACTCAAAGAAAACGAAAAGTTTTTTTTATTAATTAATTCTTAATTAACATTTATGTTAAGATTAAACAAAAATTTATGTTATAATTAATTAAAATATTGATAATTTTTTTGTATAAAACTTTTGATTTGTTAATAATATGAAAAGTTTTTTTATTAATTAATTCTTAAATAAATTTATATAAATATTAAACAAAAATTTATGTTATAATTAATTAAAAATATTGATGGTTTTTTGGTATAAAACTTTTAATTTTTAATAATATTATATTTAATATTTAAAATTGATTGATTTATAATAATATAGCAATTGATGATTATGTTTTTTTAGAAAAATACAAAATATATAAATTAAAAATAATTGAAAAAAAAACCCGCATGAAGGTATTCACCTAGTTATTATAATACTGATTAATAAAAATAAACCAGATATATATGTAAGATTTTAGAACGCAAACTAAGTTTGGACAACAATAGATAAAATAGATTAAGAATTTGCTATTTAAAAAAAAAATTATAATAGCTCATGGACTTTTTATAATCAAATTTTGAAACATTAAAAAAAAAAAAAAAAAAACTCGGGTCTAACACACCGGGGCGGTCGCCCCACTCGCCATGGGTCATAGCCATGACTGCTACTGGATCGGATGGTATTGAGCTGATACTCTCTTTGGAGGAAGCTTACGCAGAATGAAAAGGACTAATGCCGATGGCAGTACTTCAACCACCTGTAATTCCAGTTAAGTGAGGAAACACAGAAACAGAGATTAAGAGACAGATACTTAATGAAAGGTTTTAGTTACTTACCATATAGTAGATTAAGTTCAGAACCGGATGATCAAGAACATCGAGCGTTAAATCCATGTCAAAAGCTGATACAGCCACCTGAAGTTTTGCAAGCAAACATTAAGGAAAAAACCACTCCATCAAGAAATTATGACTGGAGATTAAAATTTTCATGTTTAGGGTGGTGCTATCATAGAGCTTACCACAATGCATCTTATGAGAAAGCAGGTGAAGCATATGGCTGTCACAGATCCAACCTGCAATGAAAACCATTTCAATTACAGAGGCTAATCCATGAAACGCAGCACATTTGAAGGTAAAGATGGCTGTGTTCAAAGTTCTATGTTACTAATTATGCAAGCACAATCACAGACATGGATATGTAAAAATCTGAATACCTCATGGAGCTTCTTCCTTCTTCCTTTTGACTCAATAGGGAACCTTCTGAGCATAAAAAACAATCTATAGCATACAAAAAAAAGCATGAGAAAAGACGGCCCAGCAAAGCCATTGAGGAACTTCAAGACATTTTGATGATGTGGCATGCGGATATAGCGAAAAACATATACCTTCCTCCGTAAAGCAAGAAGCCTAATGCGGCGATGAAAGACACAACTAAATGAAGAAGAAGTAGAGTTTAGATTAGAATGAGAGAATTGAAGATTGATCAGTAACGGGTTTAGCAAACTTGCTTGACCAGACAGAGAACCTACCTGCCATAAATATCTTCCCAACTAACTCCACAGTGCTGTTATCATGTACCCAGATGACTGCCCATATAGCTACCTGATAGAGACATCAATTACATGTCAGCCTTAAGTCTTTTTGATTCAATGAAAAATGTCTACAAAGGTGTCTAAGGTTCACACAGACTCTTCGTAGCAAAGAATGGCTACAAAGTTAATGAGACGAGGACAAAATAGAAAACACGCACAATCTATAGTTTCTAAACAACACTAATTGCATACTATGTATATATGGATCTCAGGAGTCTCGGCAACTACAACATAAAAATGAAACAGAACAAAAAAAAAATAAGAATCAGACATGAACCTGAGCCAAATATACAGCTACATTGACTGATATATAGGTTATCCGCAGCTTATCCGTTGGTAAGCTTCTTGCCTGCTCATTAATGGTAACAAAATATAAATTCAGAGCTTGTCTGACAGGTTTGGTAAAGAGAGTATACGCAGGTATTTTACTTGCCTGGTGATATATCTCTGCCCAGAATAGAACGAGCAGTGTGTATGCCGAGAAAAAGAGGAGGCCCGGAAGATCCAATAATATCCAGCAAAGAGCCTGCATTACCTCACAGCAAGATAAGATACTCAAAAGATGCAGCCTTCAAAATTTCATCGTTTGTAATCAAACATACAAAAACCAGACTTAAAATTGAGAACACACACATAGGTCGATTTTTCTAGCATATATGAACCAACACAGAAGTCAATGTCACCAAAAGGTCCAGAACCACATTCAAATCACATGCAGACTCTCACCTTGGGATGCACGAGAAATACTTGTTTGTGAAATCCAAACAGCACCGCACGAACTACACAAACATACAAAGAAAAAAGTCAAACACATAGTCTGAGGTCGTGGTGAGAAAAAAAAACACACACACACACAAAAGGCTATCATTTTCCAAGGGAAAACACAGATTATCACCTCCATTGACGACAAAGTTCATAAGATGAAACACCTTCTGAGTTGTCCAGCCATATTCAGGTACTCTCATTTGGATCCTTACCAGTTGGACCTGCCAATAACAATCCAATTAAGAAAAAAGTCAACAATTGCAACACATCGATAATCTACAGGGAAAAAAACTCAGAAAAGTGACTAAACCCAGAATAAAGTATTAAACTTTCCCAATCGAGCAATTCCTCAGTATTTTAAGCTCCGTGATTTAAACAGAAAACGATGTTTCATCAACGAACACGATGACAAAAAGATTGCCACCAAATTTTATGTCCAGAAATGTTTTCTTATCAACAGAAGAGGAAATACAAGTCATGCACGCAAGAATTTGACCTAGACCCTCAAATCAAGCTTATTGGAAAACTAATTCTCATAACCCCAAAACAAAGAAAAAAAATCACAGAAAAAAAAAAAATCGGATTTCGTCTATATCGGGAAAAGGTAGAAATAAGAAATAATCATACTAGAGCGATGGCGGAAACTAGAGCATAAGCTCCACAGAGAGCGAAGAAGATCCCATCCTGCCAGTGAGTTGACTCGTTAACATCGTCCCACCAATTCGTCATCGCCGTCGCGAAAAACTCCGCCATCTCCACCGGCATCATCAGACTCGAATCCGTCATCTTCCTCCTTGTCTGTTATCTCCCTCTCCCTCTGATTACACTTCTTTAAGGTTGAAAAATTCCAAAATCCGCCGAATCGACGAGGTACGGATTGAAATCGAGGAAACCTAATCAGCTATTGAGAATCGAAGAGGCGAAGAAGGGGATGAGCTGTTTGAATATCTGCAAACGCACAGGTCAGATGGCAGAGAGAGAGGGAGAGAGATGAAGATCGACGGTTGTGGACATTGCGATCTTTTTGACACTGTAGCTGCTTCTGGCTTCTTCTTCTCTCACACGTCCTCTGAATATTTTATGATTTTGTGGCCGAGGAAGAAAACAAAAACAAATTTCATTTTCTTACCTCATAAATGACATTTTCTTACAAAGTAAAAAGGTAACAACAGCATTAAATATACATTCGAACATGATTCTTAGGTACAAAATGTTTTATGAATGTTCATTTTTTAATGGGGATCCCTTTTTTAATGTTTAATTTGGTATTCTTTGATCAAAAGGACCATATATTAGTCTTTTGACTGATAAGATGAAATGATAATATATTTCTTTCTATTTTGCGATCGGATTTATTCAATATTTTTGTTGGAACATTAATTTGTTGAAATTTTCATATACTTGATTTTTTTTCCTGCATCATATACATGATTTGTTACTAAAAAAAAAAACAAGCCAAATATTCCTCTTATAAAAACATATAGGACTCTTTATTTTTTTAGTGGAATCCAAATTTGAACATTTTCTAAAGCATATTATTGAGACATATGAAATGTAATGAGAAGACTAAAATGAAGTTCCGGATTCAAAATAGAATAAGAATCCAATTTTATTTTACGAATATCGCTATATAACAATAAGTTGCATCTTCGTGTTTGTTTAGTATTTTTGTTGTTTATGGTATCATTCATACAAAAATATTACAAACATCACATATATATGTTTTAATAAGATCTGATACGGAGAAGCCTGATCTTAAACACACATATTATTGCTTTTACCTGTTTTGCTTAACACATGCGATATAAAATAATTGTTTCGTATCAAGGTGGGGTTGACCCGTTTGAATGTTAAGAGTTAAAGAAGTGTTAGTTTGATATATGAAGAAGAATTACGAAGACATAAAAAACACGTGCTCAGATATCTTTAATTGATATAAAGTTGGTAAAATCATTGAAATATTGGATAATAGTTACGACGAATGAATGAACGAACAAAAAACGGGAATTGGGAAATCAAAGAGGCTAATGAAAGAAACATGGAACGTGTTTGTATATAATAAGTAAAAAAAAAAAAATGAATCAATGATTTCGAATTTGACCGTCCCATGTGGCTGCGTCATTTCCACCTCAAATATAATCAGAACAAAACAAGACACATCTGTAGGAAGAGATCATTTCAGCATTTCGCTGTAGTTGGAATTCAGAAAGCTCTTTTTCTTTCTTTTGCAATTTCTTTATGACTTATGGATTCTCTATGTTGCAACAGGAATGTGTGAAGTTTTATCAAGAATCCTGGAGGAATAGTGAAACCTGTAAAACATGTGAAACCTGGAGGAATAGTGAGACCACAAGTCCTACAAAGGGTGATGATATTAGATAGGAGACTTAAAAATGGAGCTCTCACTGACTTATACATGCAGGCAAGCAATTAGTGCATCAACATCGAACAAATTACAATGAGGGAACAACATGGCTGCCCATTGCGAAACGCCAGAATATAGCCGATAATACTTAGGAGTTAGGAGTTAGGATATTGCTACATATTCGTAACTGGAAACGATTCCTAGGGCAAATACCACGGTGCAGCCGTCCAGGGATGGAGGAAGTGAACCATGTGGAGCCATTTTGGTTTACGCAATGTGTCCTCACAAAAGGTTGAAATGAAATGAGTTCGTTAGTATTTATAGCTCTTTTAGAGATTCACTACAATATGACTATCTACCACTTGTTCAATTACCTCTTTCTGGTTAATTGGTGTTGGATTCAATCCAAATCGGTCGCCACTACTAATCGGTGTTTAGACATGACTACAATATTAACGGTAATTGGCACGAGGTCAATCACTAATTCTGTAATTCAGTCCATACGGTATAATTGGTCGGTTAGAAATTCATGGCGTCGTTTTTAGATTTAACCTAGAAACCTTTGATATCGTTTTTTACATCCAGTTGCCGATAATTTTACAATTTACACTACAGTATAAAATTTTTAAATCCGAATAAAGTTTTGGATGGAAATGCTAAACTTTTGTTATTAGTAAATAATAACAATCTGATTTTTTTCTTCTGTTATCTAGGCTTGGCTACAAATGTTTATATATTCTTAGTGATCAAGTTATGTGCATGAATATGAAATGTCAACTTTACTGTAGTGTTTTTGACGAAATGTTCGTCCGTATCATTAATTGTACTTGCCAAACCCTAATTTCTTCTAGAATGAGCTGCAACTCGAGCTACATGTTGAGGGACCAAAAGCTACAAACTGTTGCTAAGTATTTCACTAACTAAATGATTAACTAAATGGTACCAAGAAAAAATACAGCAATTCCGCAGGTTCTTTGGATCGAAATTTTCTCTTGAATCGTATTTTAGTTTTTTATTAAAAAAAGGATTATTAAATTAAGATTGAGAGGGAATAAAATGTAAGCAGAGTTATTAATAAAATACCTTCAAGAAAGAAGGCGGTATTATCAGGCTATCATCGAAACATTGGTTTATCTGCCTCCTAAGAATCAGATTTGAATCGTATCTTTTATGCATCATCATTTCCGCGAAGTAGATAAAACTAAAGAACAAAAAAAATAAATTATAAATCCCCACATAAATTCGATGAATTGCCAAGGCATTTGTATGAAAAGAGGATGATAACTTAAAGATTAAGCTTATGTTGCTAGTTTCTGCTTACTCCCTACTACTGAAAATCAAGATATGGTTTTCATTTTTTTGGAAGTTCATATTTCTTGTACATAAATTAACTGTTTTGTTGAGCAATAAATTTGAAATTTCAAGAAAAAAAAAAAACTAATGACGGTGAAAGATGATATCGGCAAAGAATAGTAGAAGCCATATTTTTTAGAATCATTATGGAATAGAATTTCAGGTATTTATTTACATGCAACCGAATAAGCTGTTACGACTAAAAAGCTATTGCAAATTTGCATATTAAAGTAAATGTATGTTGGTTTGCTAGAAGAAAATTTAAATTAAATCAAACGGCGGTGAGATGGAAAACCGGCGAATATTTTCCACGATTCTGCTATTCTACCATAGATCAGTAATTGTCTCACTCTCATCTAACGTCTCGCTAGAGAACTCTTAAACACTATAAATACAAACCCTCACACCCAATACAAATAACTCACACTCCTTTATCTCTCCCAACTACAATATATCATCAAAATCTTATTTAGCGTTTTCACAATATGGCTTCCAAGAAAATGACGACTGTCTTGGCTCTCTACTTCACCTTCAACCTCGTCTTCCTAGGCTTCGCCTCGGCCAAGCCTGCGACGCCTCCCCAACATCCGGTGTGTCCACTTACCCGGTCCGAACTCAACGTTTGCGTCAACATACTTAGCCTCGTCACTGTTATCCTCAACCCCCGAAATGTGGCCGAGTGCTGCAACCTCTTGACTCGGGTTGGTGGTGCTGAGGCGGCTAAGTGTGCCTGTGACGCGGCTAAAATCAGCGTTCTCGGCCTCCTTACCGTCAGAGTGAGACTCAATCAGCTTCTCAGTCTCTGTCCTGCTGTACAAGTACCACTTGGTGGTCTCATCTGCAACTAATAAGTACACAACATGCATAATCACTAAAATAAGCAGACGCGTTCCGTAATATATATCGGTTCATGGTGCAACTATGTTTTTTTTTTTTAAGAAAATAAAATAACTATGTATTTATCTTATGTTTGAAATAAAATGGTGTTTCACCTGTTCGGTTGTTCCAGTGGACCAGTACTATGTTCTTTAAGTAAGACTAGTTTCAGGGTAAGTAAAACAACCCAGATTTGGTTTTAGCATCAACAAAAAAAGTACTGAATACAAGACATGCGCACTATTGTAACCGAGGATAAGGAGTGATATAATTATAATCAAAGCAAGATAGTTATGTACTTTTGATATATTTAGCATGACAATGATGAAGTTATGCATTTGATGATTTTTTTTTTTTTGCTAAGAAACGCATTTGATGCTTTTTTTTAAAAAAAATAATACTTTTGAAGGCGTTTAATACTTAAACCTGTAATGAGGTCGAAAGAATATTCTGAACCTAAAAATGGCTATCCAAATTAGAAAGTTAATCTACAATAGCCCAAGCATTTTAATAGGAACAATGGGTTCAATAATAAGGATATTTGAAAATGTTAACAAGGAGAAACATTTGAAGCATTCCCTTTCCCTATATATCTCATAATAAGGAAGGATAAAATCTAAGTACTACGTCGCAATAAAGATATTCAACGATATACGTCACGGCTGAATAGAAAAGGAAATCCTTGGAGCATAACCTCTTTTTTTTTTTGAATCTAATATTAAATTATATTTAAAAGAAATAACAATGTTTTATAAACTTATTCTTTACATTTTTGAAAAAAGAAAATTTCTAAGTCTTTATCTTGAAGAAAATCAAACTTCCAATCCATATGCATACTTGATACTTCATTACTCTATTGCTGCGAATAGAGCAAATCTGATTGGGGATGTGTTTGTCAATCGTGGAGCATAATCTCTTTTTACCATTTTTTTGTTTTCATTTACGGGTGACTTTTGAAAGAAGTTTGAATATGCTCATTGACATTGTGAAATGTAACAAATTTACACACATAACAATAATTTAAAATTTAAAGAACAAAACGAGTATATGCAGATCAGATTTTCTTTACCGTAAATCCACAAAAATAATTAAATCCTTTACACACGCAAACCTTTCTCTTCACTCTTCAAGATCCTATAGGTGAAACCAGGAACTCGACTGTCACCGGAAACCTCCACCGCCGAGCACATACTCGGCAAAAACCTTCCACCGCCACCACGGCTCTGTCTCTTCTTCTTTCTCCAATTGGTTTTAGAGAACCAAGAACTCAGCCGTGATGAACGATCTCTTTGTTGAAAACTTTTGGTCTTTTCTTCATAATTGCCTCTCCGTGGATCGAACTGGGGACATGTATTGATGTTTTTGAAGTAGTCGATTTCTTTACGTACAAGCGATCCGATAGTTCCTCGTGTCCCTATGGGGATTTGAGCAGCCATTGATAAAAGAGTTTTGTGTGTAGCTTCTGCTTCTTTTTTCTTTTTCTTTTTTTTTGTATCAAGTGGCAATGAAGTGATCTAAGAATGCTTGAAGCTAGAGTAATATAAAATGTATATATACTTCTTTTTTACATCATTACTTGATTGCTTTGGTTTGGTCATCCGTTTCTTTATTTATTTTCTTCCATTTTCTATATATTTCAGTGTTCAAAAAATCCACCGATCCTACCAACATTTCAGAAGAAAATATGTACTTATGAAAATATTAAAAAAAAACAAAAACTGAAGATTTGACGATTTTAAAGCGAATAGAGAAGTCGATTGTTGCAAAAGGAACAAGGCAATGATACAATAACACAAGGTTGTTGTAGAGAGGACAAAATATTATTCGGTTGATAAACTACATACACTACATTGATTTTTTCAATATTATCTTTTTTGCTACACCATTTCTACCTTTCTTAAAAAGCCATATTACATAAACGTGACCTTTCTTCATAATGATGGTTTAACTCAATTACTTTTCCTTCTATCATGCCGTGGATTAATTTTCACTCAAGACTTTCTCTTTTTTACCCTAAAGTCAGGGAACATAATAATTTCTAATTTCAATTTATCCCACTAAATGACTAGAAATCCAAAGACTGCGTAATTTTTATGTAGTAGTCATGATGTAATTATTCGGTTTATGAATCAAATAAGCGGGCAACAAACCGAAAATAACCACCAAACCAACCAAATTAATTACTCAACTTAGCTTCTATCTCGGCCCAAAATTAGGTTCGACTCGGCCCATATTTCATATTGGCGCGATAACGATAACGATTTCTTAGGGCATTACGCATCAACCAATACAACCATGGCTTCGCCGGCGTTAACAGGCGGTTACCGGAACCTTACTGCGCCGGTATCTCTCCTGCGCACTTTAGCATCTACCCGTATCACTAATCCTTTGTATCATTCCAAAGAACTTCATTACAGACAGTCTCCGAGTTTCATTTCTTCTTCAAAGAGATTAACTTGCTTGGCATTACTTCAAACCAATTCACCGAATCAAACCACACTCTCCTCTTCTTCCACTACTGGGTATGCTAAAAGTCGGATTTTTTATCGTCATCGTCAAAATTTCGATAATTCTCTGATGGGTTGCTTTTTGTGCTCATTTGAGTTTTCCAGATGCATTGAATACACTCGATTGATGCCATGTCCTGCACAGAGCTATCCTTTTAGAATTGAGCACATGGTTGTTTTAGAAGACGTTCTTGTGGCTGATTATATCTGTAAAAAATTGGATCTTCCTCCTTTGTAAGTATTCTTCTTCGTGTTCTTCAATGAAGCAGTCTTTTGAGTATCCATATGTTTAGGAATGGAGTATATAAAAAGTTTCATTCTGTGAAGGTATGTTGCAGATCTTATCCAATTTGGAGCTATACATTACGCTCTTGTATGCCCTAAACCTCCACCTACTGCGACTCCTGAGCAAATCAAACTGTTTGAAGAAGTAACTTCTCCTTCTGTACTAAGCAAGAGATCTTCCATCAAAGGAAAAACTGTTAGAGAAGCTCAGAAAACGTTTCGTGTGACTCATACCAATCAGTATGTCGAAGCTGGGACTTACTTGCGTGTGCACGTGCACCCTAAACGCTCCCCAAGGTAGAATACATTTTAAGAAATGTGTTAAGAAATTGAAAGTTTTGGAGATAACCAATTGACATGAAATTTTTGTTTTCAATCAGGTGTTATGAGATTGATTGGAAGTCACGGATTATTGCGGTGACTGACTCTTACGTCGTTTTGGATAAACCTGCCGGCACTACGGTATGTAACTCATCCATTAGACTTTCTTCTCAATATTCTTGAACAATGAACACTGTAGTTGCATTAGAAATCTTGCAAAAAAAAAAAATGACTATATACATTATCGGATTGTAACTATCGATCAAAATGTCTTTATTGTGATCCATCTCTTGGTGATATGAAGTGTTTTCTTACTTCAACTTCTCAGAAACGCTTGATTTCTGTTGTTATACCAGATTCATGGTGCTCAGCAATTCAATGCATTGACCCACATTGAATATTTTATCAGGTTGGGGGAACCATGGATAACATCGAAGAGACCTGTGCCACATTTGCCTCACGTGCATTAGATTTGCCAGAGCCACTGAAAACAACACATCAGGTTGATAATTGCACAGAGGGCTGGTACTGTCTCGTTAACAACGTTTTCATGCTTTTGCACTTTGTTAATTTTTAATATCTTTTAAGTGACCAGGTCACATTCTTTTTCTTCTTCCTCTACAGTGTTGTCTTTGCTAGAACAAAAGAGTATTGCCCGGTCTTCCACACGAAAATAAAAGTGAGTTTGCATGCTTATATTTCGTTGGACTGTGAAACCAAGAAGACGTCCTGAAATATCTTATTGTTGTTTTTCCTTCTTTTCAAGAATAAAGAAGTAAAGAAACTTTATCGTGCTCTTGCTGCGGCACCTCTTCCCAGTGGAGTTATCTCACATTATATGCGCCCAGTCAATAGGGCTCCAAGACTCGTATCCGAAGGTAATTTCGATTTGAAATTGTCAAGAATCATCTAAAATCTGAAGTGAATATATATGATTCCCTGTATTTTCCTAACAATGTGAATATAATATTCTTTGAGATGCAGATCCGATCAAAGGTTGGCACTTGTGTCAGCTTGAGATTCTAGAGTGTAAGAAGATTCCTTGGCCCGATGCAGCTACTGAGGCAAAACAAGATATTGATGACTGTGGATGGACTTCAAAAGAATTTGCTTACGAATGTACAATAAACCTTTTAACAGGAAAGACTCACCAGGTCAGTTCAATCAACACTTATCTCCTTCATAAAACATGTCTCTCTTCTGAGTATGTTAGGATCATCTAATTGCTGGTATTGAATGGTTTTTCAGATCAGGGCTCAGCTTGCAGCTTGTGGGGCACCATTGGTTGGTGACTCTATGTACATGCCAGCTGCAATAGCAGAGACGGCTAATCCTGAGATTAACCCTTATGGGAAAGCAAAGAAACATTACACAATGGAGGAGAACGATAAGGAAACCGCTGTTGCGGAATGGATTGATATGCATGGGAAGGAACCGAGGGTAGGAATCGGTCTTCAAGCTTGTCAAATCTCGTGGGAAGATGATGATGGAGAACATTTTTATGAAGCTGGGACTCCTTGGTGGAGATGAGAAACACGTCCTGATGTTGATGTTCTTATCTAAACTTGCTTCAGCAAATGAGTGGTGAAGAATTATTTTGTTATAAGCAAGGAAAATGGCTTGTTGTTTTAATGTAACTTATTTTCATAAAACAGATTTTTATCACAATTCTCTTCTGCTTTGTTAGAGAATCAAACTGTTACATGTAGTTTTAGAAATATCTGATATATAAACGATAACGTTGGATTACAACAATACGGGTCTTCCTTTTGTTTTCAGGCATCATCGTTTTGGGATTGAGCTCTGTGCTGGAAAATGAAGTTCTTGTACCAAGAAGCCGAGAGTCTTGGGGTTCTCTCTAGAGTATTGAAGTCGACATGGTATAGACCGAACCTTATGGTATAACCAGATATCCACTCGAAGTTGTCCAGTAAAGACCATGTGAAGTACCCTCTTATATCTGCACCTTTCCTGTTTTCACCATTAACTTTAGAATCAAGACAGATTTGAGCTTTGTTAAAAAAATGTAAAGCATTATTACCTCATTGCTCTTTTCAATGCATCTAAATAGCTACTCATGTACTTCACTCTCCGGTAATCATTTACCAAAACTCCAGTATTATTCTCACCAAAACCTGCAAAAAAAACGGGAAAGATCAAACTTTTTTGCAAAACCTGCTAAAACACACAGCGTAGAAACAGTCTTTTGGCCACATGCGTACCGTTTTCTGTCACATACAAAGGAATGTTTTTGTATCGCTCTGTTGCATACATCAACATCTCTTCCATTCCTTGAGGATAAACATTAAACCAATCTACTCCTGTCTGCATCATTACCAAAACACAAACAACTCAAAAATGTTCCTGAACGGTTTTTTTCCTTTTTCATTTGGTCAGTTTACATACCGGTTCTCCTAAAGCTAAACCGTCTTTAAGAGCATTTGCATTGACAAAACCTTCAGCTCTCGAACCTCCTTGGCCCGGTTCACATGCGGAATGTAGACAGTCTTTCGCGTACCTGCTAGTGTACTGATTAATCCCAATGAAGTCTAATCCATTCTTGGAGCTCTTAAGATCATCCTTTGTGAATTGAGGAAGATCTTCTCCAAATATTTCTTGCATTTCTCTTGGATATCTTCCAAACACAACCGGGTCCAAGAACCTGCAGTTCTCACTCTTTTTGATTCTAAAGTCCGGTATATGGTTTATTATGGGAATTAGAATCTTTTAAACCGATCAGGCTTACCAAGTCAAGTAGAAAGCTTGAGCTCTCTCAGCAGCTAATCTATCTGCTAAAGCATCACTAACCGGTTCAAACCAGATCGCGTTCATAACAATACCGATCTTTCCTCTTTGTTGTTCCTAAACGAAACCGGTTCTTTGAGTTAAACCGTTCTGAAATTTCCGGTTTCGTTAATTATTTTGATTTACCTGATATTTTGTCCGGTATATACTGACGGCGGCTAGATGTGAACGGATAATGTTGTGAGCGGCAACAAGTGGCTCTATCTCGGAGTCGCCACGTGTGCAGTTTCCGACAGTCTTGGAACAACGTGATGGCGGGTAAGTCCCTTTCCGGTAACCCAAAATCACCTGAACGTTTGGTTCGTTGAAGGTAGACCAGAACTTAACTCTGTTCCCAAAGTATCGGAAGCAAATCTCTGCGTAGTGTTCAAAATCTTCCCTGAAAACAACATTTTTGTTTAGCTTTCAGACTTTCAGTGTACCAGTGTACGTATCTACGCCTACGCGTAACATGTGTGTGTATATATGGTTACCGGATTTGAGGATTTAGCCAGCTTCCGTATCTATATTCGAGTTCCTGAGGAATGTCATAATGTGTCAACGTGACAAATGGTTCGATCCCTGAGAATGAGAAGTTTTGGAGTGTTTTCTTGGTCTTTGAGAAATTTTCTCGAGAAAATTTATCAATTATTACCTCTCTTGAGAATAGCATCGATCACTCTGTTGTAATGATAAATACCTTCCATGTTCATATCTCCAAATCGTCCCTCTGCAAAAATTTTTTTTTTAAAAAAGACTGAAAAATAAGTCAATCAAGAGAGATCGAAATACAAGACTCTATCTCACTTGGAAGTATCCGAGCCCACGATAAAGAAAATCGATAGCTGTTAACTCCAAGATCTTCCATCAGATCCAAATCTTCCTGTTGAAGTAAATATAACAATTACTTTCAAAATTCTTATTTAGAGCTTTGTAGCTAGACAGATCAATAATATTGGATATATAGATTTACGGTTTAGTTACCGGATATCGATGGTAATGATCAACAGCGACTTTCCCATGGCTTCCATCTGCGATTTTTCCTATACAAAGGCAAGTCAAGAAAGGTATATAGACATAGTTTCTTAAGGTGACTTGAGCAACAAGAATGGAAATAAAAGCCCTAAAAGTTTGAGACTTAAAAAAAAAAAAAGCTTAGAACACAAAGATCTAACCAGTGATGTTTGTGAAAACGTCCCAATTGCTGAGGGTTTTGCCGTCGCTTAAGTAAGCTCCTTCATACTGAATAAACGACAAGAGCACACAAAACTAAAGTTTAAAAAATGGAGATTTTTTTTTTTACTGAGCATTGAAGTAAATAAAAGAAGGTTTGAGAACCTGGTAAGCAGAAGAAGCAGTGCCAAAGAGAAAGTTTTTAGGGAAATGGACATCTTCTTCTTCGTTAGTCTCTCTCAGTGGGATATGATCATCATACCTTGTTGATGATGATGATGAGACCAAGTTTATGATGATGAAGCAGAGGAACCAAAGTGGTAACAGAGAAAGATACATTGACGATTTGGTCTCCATTGATTCAGGAACTACAGATTTTTTTTTTTTCTGTTTGTTCAAGAGTAGTAGTATAGGTCTTATATAAAAAAGGAAAATGAGTGGCATTATGAACTTTTGGGTTGATAGTGATATTTCACCAATTTTCAGCTACTTTTGATTTGTTAAATAAAATCTCTGACGAATGAAAACTGGCAATAGTATGTAAGATTTGATGGACCAATCAAAATATTTTTTGTTTCTTGGGAATGATTAACTTGTCCTTAAATTTATACCATGGGTCACTTTTAAAGAAAATGACTTGAGATTTGCCATTTGCCAGAACTGAGACAACGACATAACATTTAAAAATTATTAGAGCGTGATAGAGCTCGTAAATCACAAAATGATTGGTTCAACAATGTAGCCATTGTTGTCTTCAACAAAGGACAAACCACATTATTTGTAAAATAGGGAATCTTTTGAATTGTATTGAAAGAGACTGAAAGAGATGTAAAAAGTAGAAGACAAGCTCAAGTCTTGCTAAAAGAAGAATCATAAAATATAAACACAGTAGTACCACTAGAGTAGCTTAATAATTAACAAGGAATAGCGGAGCATACACTTTGAGTCTTTGACAGTAGAAGCAAAACGCAAAACACAAAACGCTAAAATGTTCGCTAGTGAATGATAAAATAATAACAGATAAAACGCAAAACCGCCTGAACCACAACAAACCGATTCTTCTTCTTTTTTTTTTTTGGTTTCCAGCAGAAGTCAATACCCGAACCTCTTTACCCTTTCATACTCGAGCCTCTTTTTTTTTTCTTTGGCCCGCCCGCGAACAAACGCGGTATGAGACTAAACGCAAAAAGGTGCGTTCTTGACTTCCTTTGGAGGATCTCAAAAGACTATTTAAAAAACCAAGAAATAGATATTACCACGAAAAAACTCCTAAACCTCCTCCTCTTTTTGCCTCCCCTAATCCTTCTGCAGAAACAACACAAAACAAAACAAATCAAGAAAGATGTGATTATCCAAATAAACAAAGTCAATATAGAGAAAATATTCCTTACCTTGAAAAAACTTTGATCAGGCTCCGTCGCAGGCCAGGGCAGCTTTGATCCGCTGGACGGTGCATTTGATGAGACTGTTGACTGTAGCCACTGAGCCGAGAGAGAGTTTTGCGGTTGGAACAGAGTCAACAAGTATCTGAAACGCTACTGTGAGTAGTGAACCGCAGTTACTTGCGGTAGAAGTAACCAAATCGAGATTACTTCCTTCTCCTCCTCCTCCTCCTTCAGCTCCGACACTAGCGTTTCCTCCTTCTCTTACAGAGCCATCGGGCAATATAGCGAACCCGGATGGTAACAAAGCGAAATAATCCGGATCTCCGCCGCTCAAGACCACATTCATAGCCATTGTGTCGACTGGTGCGTATATTACATACGATCCTGATGCGTCCGTACAACTTTCTTGTAGGATCAACATGTTGCTCTGTCCAGAGTTCACGCTCTGCTTTTTTTTTTTTTTAAATTACAAAACGAAACCAAGGAAGTTTATTAAAAACAACATAGCAAAAATACCTCAGATTTCATGAATTGAGGGAAAAATCATTCTTACATTGACACGGAGCAAGGAGACACAGTTTCCAGGATCACGACCATTTGCGATATGAGCCATTTCTTGAACCAAGCCTCCGTTCGAAAGTATATCCCACTGCAAAATCAATCCTTGAAAGTAAAGAACTTTCGATCTTGTTTTAAAAAAAAGTTTGACTTTTTGATTTTGATTACCTCACTTCTGGAGTTTTCGTCTCTGAGAAAATCGAAAACTCGTTTTGGAGACACAGGGAGCCAGAAAGAAGTAGCGGCGCTCAAGACGATTCCGGGAGGCCTTCCCGGATCATCCATGCTCTTCCGGGTCATGACCCGAACGTCGTCGGATCCTGTGGTGGTCAAAGTCGTCCATACGTGTGCAGTCGACGCGCCGACTCCGCTACAGAAGCTCATCACCATCCTCTCCGCCAGTTTCAGCATGCTCTTTCTTCCCTCAGGGCTCGTTATCACTATTCATAATTACCACAAAGTTAAGGGGCCCAATAAGTAAATACTATTTTGTCGATTTTAACCCTGATTTTTTTAATTGATCAGAATAGCCCTCAAAGTAATATGTTTTGTTATGTACCGGAAAGATCAGCGGCTGGAATGTTGCTGGCCATCGAACTTGCGAGCCGCTCGCATTGGCGATCAAGAGTAGCCACCCAACGTTTCGCACCGAAAGCTAAACCGGTATTAACCAACGGTTTATACATGGTGTGAACCGATCTATCATCCACCTCCGTATGCTCTACCCAAGTCACCTTCAACAATTTGCCAAGAAAAGAAAACAAAAGAACCATCACCTAATCAATTCTCTTCTTTTGAAATTCTCCACTATACTTTTGATGATTATCAATTTTAGCCCTTTAAATATACCTTAGAATAGCCATTCTGCAATTCTTGAATCAGACAACCAGAGGGTCTTCGTCTGCTTCGAGTGATCGGACTCGGTCGTAGGCTGTCCAAAGAGACATCAACCACCGCCCAAGTGTTGTCACTATGCTGTTTACAGTACCTCACAAAGTAGTTCTCACGTGTCGGGACAAGCGGTGATGGGACTTGGAACTCAGCTGTCATCTTTTAATACAAGAAAACACACGAGGAATCATTATAACATGATATGGAATAATAGCTTGTAAAGCAAGTAATCAGATAGATAGGGGTTTTTAGGTCAAATACCACTTGTAGTGCCCCGTTATAGTTCCCTGCAACGCCAGTTGAGAGAACTTCTAGCGTCAATGCTCTCGACACAATCCCACAGAACACACTCGACCATTGATTCTGTACAGAGAAAAGAAGATCAAAAGTGTCAACCTCAAACTTTTGAAATTTAAGTTTGAGAAGATAAAGAGTGATGGAATCAGATCGATACCACGTCCATTAGAATCTCAACAAGGTTGATATGGTTCATGATAACGACGGTGGACTCTCTCGAAGCTTCTGATCTCAAACCAATAGGTTTTGGTCCGATCCCTCTAGGGAACGTTCTGAAATACTCCTCTTCATTGAGGATCTCAACCGAGTTATCGCTAGAAACCCACAAGGGATCACCAGTTTGAGCCATTCTCACAAGCTCTTCCATGGCTGCAACCGCTAACTCGACAATCATAGGCTTATCAGCATCAGAATGGATCGAAACCGACCTTAAAATGTCGCTTGTTGTTCCATACATTTCTCCTACGAAACCCATCTGGTTATTGTTACTGTTCCCAAAGTTTCCAACTTCAAGATCAAGCGAGCGCGTGGGAATGTGTTGTGAAGATGTGAGCTGAGGGAAAGGCGTGGAGTTAGTCAGTAGTGGCTTCCCTACGTACTTAGCAGCTATTGAAGAGATTCTATCGATTTCTTCGCGTAGACGCGCGTTTTCAATCCTCAGATGCTGTTCATCGAATGACATTTCTCCTATAGCCGCAGGACCACCACAGTTTGGGCATGTTGCGTTGCTTAGAGCATCCTTGTACCTATTGTTCTCTGCTCTAAGCTTGTCGTTGTCTGACTTTAGAATCGCGTTCTCGTGCCTCTCGTGTTGTGCCTATAAAGATCACAACTTTCTCTTCTTTATGTTTGATCTTACGAGTATAAAGCAAATAAAATGGACATGGTTAAATTATACTATATATGGCCAAAAACTTCTATAATGTTGGAGCGATATTCTAATGACCAAAACTGAAAAAACCATACATGGTTTATAGTGACATTATGAAAGCTAATAGAAAATTAGGCTTTTAATAAACAAAGTAGGCTTATGGTGATTAATAAATTAAACAGCAATTTCATTTAATTTTGATATAAAAAACAGATCCGGTGCTAATTCATAGAAATCAAATGAACATTATGAGTCGATAATAAAAATAAGCCTTAGTATTACCTTCATTTGAGTGCGTTTGTTTTGGAACCAAAACTTGACTTGAAGAGGTTCTAAACTTAGCTCGCGACTCAGCTCTTTTCTTTGCTTATCGTCTGGATGAGGACATTCCTTGAAGAACCTATAGAAATCAAAACCAAACATAAACCCTAAAAATCCACGAAAACATTAGAAATCTTTTTAAGTGGGGAAATATTATTCTTACGACTCAAGCTCTTGAATCTGGCGTTGCGTGTGGCGGTGGTAACGTTTCTTTTTGTTAGGACGCTGATTAGGATCTTGAAGCTCTTCTTCTAAAGGATTCTCCATGGTGACTTCTGCACCAGACTTAGTCTCGAAATCGTCTTCTCGGCTTCCGGTAAGACCCAAATCGTTATCAGAGATCTTCGGGGTCATATCGAACATATGATGTTGAGGCTCGAACATGTTTGGATGATACATGATGATGATGATGATTATTGATCGATGTTGGAGTTTTTAAGCTTTAGGTTTTCCTTCAAATCTTCAAGATGATTATCCAAATCATTTTCGTTGATTTATCTTGATTTTCTACTCCAAGTATCTCCCACTGTCCAAAACCAAAGATCAAATGGTCATGTTTCTACTGTATAGACGAGGATCAAAGTAGAAATGGAAGATAAAATCTTGGCTTTATGGAAAGTAATCCTCTAGATATTATGAAACTATACATACCTTTAATGTAAATATATTTATATGGTCTTTTTTTCACATTTCACAAGTCACCGAAAAGCAAAATATTGGTCTTTTTCTCTATTTTTGATGGTTGTTCATATCTATACGCTTATATAAGCATATGTATTCATCTTATCAAAAAGGGTATGATTATAAATGCAACTACTACGTGACATAACCTCGTTGCATATAAAAAACAATTTATCAAGAGATTCAAGTTTAAAAAATGGGACACGGATATTCGGATGAATATTTAAGTATAATGTTATTATACAATAATATAAGAAAATTAGTGAAAACTGAAGTAAAACACTAAAAGGACATAAATTTCTAAAAAGACATATTTGTGTTAAGAAAGACAAGGTTTTATAAAAAAATTCAAACGCATATCTTATTACTAGAATATACATCTACACATACACAAAGGCCAAAGCAGAATATAAACATACATCCATAAAAAGTAGCGATAGAATTTATCTTGAAAGCCACAAACATCATCGGATCTACAAGAAACCGCAGAGGTATTGAAAAAAGAAATTAAACGGATGAGGAGGCTGTCGATCTCAATGAAGCCCTAATTTTCTATTAGCTTACATAATAGACAAAAATTATATGTTACACTTACTTTTCAGAGTGAATCCAAAATCTATATTACTGGGTTGAAGGCGTTGAGCGCAACTCGAATTATATGGAATTTCTTTATGAAACCATACGGAGCTTTTTTTTTGTTGGAAGTGTTGGGTTTGTTTCTTGAAGTTGTGGATCGAAATAAATGATCTTTTGTCTCTCTCTTTCGTTTCTCTGTCTACATAAAAGCTAGTGAGATAGATATAATTCACAGGCTACCGAAGCCAAGAAAAGCGTTTTTTAGTAAGAAAATAATAAAGGCATTTTTTTTTCTCGGTGGAATTTATCTATTTGACCTTGGTCTTACTGTAATAAAAATTAGAAAAGAACCGTTTACAGTAAAAACTAATTGGATGTAGGTAAATCAATTGAGAAAAAAACAAAAACTAATTATTAAAAAATTGTGTACATACATATGAGATGACATTAAGTCAATGGCCTTTTTCTACACAACTACTCAATAAAATTCGTCAAACTCAAACCCCCTTTTACACTTTCTATAACTCCAAAGAGGTTTATTCTTTTCTAACGCTTGTTTTTAGATCGTTACAAGAAAAGAGTCAGTGGCTTTTTTTAAGTAAAAGAAAATGCAGATCTTGAAAACATTATAAAAATCCGGTTAGTATGAACAAACATGCAATATAGAACCCATTCTTTAAAGAAACATAGAAAAAAAAGTCACATGTACATATATAAGTATCGATTATAGATATATAGAGAAAGAGAGAGATCTTACCTTCGGACACAAAATGGAACCCTAGCTTTGAATCTTCGCTAATTTTTTGGATTCTCTTCTTGTGGAGAAAAACGGAGATGTATGCGGAGATAGGAGAAATTCAAAAGGGTTTCCTAGGGCACCGATTTATAGCCAAATCAAGACATAAACGGTGGTTTTCAGAGGGTTCTTTTAAAAACCGGCAAGATGTAGTATCACTTAGGAAAAAAATTGGAGAATTTGCTGAAGGAGGAACTAAGGAGAGGAGGAAGAAGGAAAAGAGGTGAGGAAAGGATGTGAAAGAAGGAAACGGAGTTATTGCGAAATGCATAGAGAGGGTGCATAGCATTTATGATTATCGAAAGGTCCATTAATGCTTTTAGTGAGAGAAAATTCATACCATTACTTATATATTTTTCTACAGAGAGAGTTTCAGTTCATCAATTTTTTTTAAAAAAAAAATCAAAATAACCTCACGGATCGAAATTTTTTAAATGAATTTCCATTTCTTGGTTTTATATATGTTCATGGTTATAGTTTATTATTCTATGTATAACTATATCAGATTAATAATAATTTATAGCTATGTGTTGTGCGTAACTGCATATATATAAGCATATTGCACACTGATTACATATATGTCCAAGAATATATATGGACATCATCAGGACATATAAATGATTCCTATATGGTTTACACACTCACTTAGTTTAATTTATGTCAGTCAATAATGCATCCTGAGTTTCTGCTTCCTTGATTAAAAGTTTAATACAATTGTCTATTAATCAGCAGAATGTTTGAGCTTGATTAAATTTATTCGATAACTGCAGATATTTGTTAGTATTATATAGCTTCCTTGATGGTTGATTAGTGACGAGATTAAGTAGTAGAGCAAGAACATTGTACGACTACATTTTTAGGTCTTAATTATGTACTGTCACTATTTTTGTAATTAAACATTTCATCTCAAAGTAAGATTCTATAAACAAATTAAAAAGAGATTAATAAAAAGTTTCATAATCCATGACATTATCAATTTTCATACAAACAATGAAAATCAATCCACAAAAGTTCTCGATTATATATCAAATATTGTAATTGGACATTGCTATAGATTGTCCACCTCTCTCTAGCTAGTTTTACACTCTTAAATATATCCTAAATCTATCAAAATGTTCAATCAGTAGATAAAGTACTTCGTCTATATCAATGATTCAATATAAATGATGGTTAGATTATATGAAGATCAAATTCTTTTCTTATAAAATAATTTTAATACACATTAATTATAATTAATAAATATTAATGAATTGTATGAGGTAAATAAAATTCTTCTTCAAAGCATTACTTATTTATAACAAAAAAAAAAATGTTAAAGGCATCACCTATTTAAATCTCAAAGACTAGACCGAATAGTTTTACAACAATTCCATATCCTTTGGCTAATGTCAAATTGAATGTCTCAGGTTGGCTGATTAATTTCTGTAACGAACAAAACCCTACGTATACTACTAATACTATATAGTGGTGTTTTTTGTCAACCTACTGTATATAATTATGTGTGTTTTGTACCAAAATACAAGAGAGATAACTCAGATGAGATAACTTTTGTGATTGGACCCACTTTCAAGGAACCAAAGAAAGGGATGAGATGGAAACTACGTAAGTTCCAAGAATATCTAAAAAAAGAATTTTAAAAGGTCAAAGCTATATTCAATGGTAGTTTGGATTAATCGTTTTAATCAAAATTGGCCATTCGATTGACTCATGTAGTTGGGGAGCAATATCCTTCTGGACCATGGTCCAAGAAACAGCTCATACATTAAGATTCACATCAATTCATATACGAACACTGAACTGATATGTTTAAGATTAAGTCCATGTACTACTGTACAACTTATATATAGATTTTCAGTGTTGTTATATTTATTTGACGTGCTATATATATATATATATATATATACAGATAAACAAATACACAAGACCGTGTCTAATATATTTAGGAACGGAACCCTACTAATCAAAGTAAACAGAACAGACTTTAAAACTTACAGTGCAAAAAAATAAAAGTGTTCCATAAACCACTATTAAGAAATCATTAAAACTATTACTATTATCTATATAAAATTAAACTCCTAAAATATTTAATATCTGGGGGTCCTATGTTTCTTTTTCACGCACGAGCCTGTATGTACATTTATAAATTTTGCTAATATATAAGGACTATTAAATATTTGTGTAGCAACCCAAGATCTCTTGGTTGGAAAAGGTTGGTTGACACTCGTCTTATATAGAAAAGGTTGAAAATTTGCTCACAAGTTCGAGATTTGACAGTACCTCATTTGGTTGACAATCATTTTTGGAAAATGAAAATATTTGTTCGCAAATTCGAGTTTAGACGGTTGAAAATGGCATATAATTTTATGTTCGAGAAAGCTATATATATATATATATATCGATCAATTCGAAATTCTTTTGACTAATATATTTTATCTGCTGACCCCTACGTGAAGCTTTAATATTGCACCAACTTTTGCAATAATAGTTGGTTAGATTGGCTATATATAAACCGGTGTGTAAATGAATTTCATCTTAAAATGAATGGATGATGTGTGGCTTACACAATACATAGTTACATATATACTAATTAATCTCCACTTTTATTGTAATCTAATTATTATGCACTCTTTCATCCAATTATTTCAGTATCTTCTTTTTCAATATCTATTAAGATTTTCGTGTAATAATCGTCGATCTCCTCGTGACTTCTCATTGGCCTTTTCTAATCTGTTTCTATTTCGATTTTATGTATGACTTGGAATATGGATGATGATTGACGAGGTACTTAACTTGTTCCCTTAATTATGCTGATAATTTGATATTAAACTATGATTGAGTTTATTATACGACGACTGTGATTAATACACATCATCTTACACTATGTGTACGTTGCTTATCATTGTAAGACCCTAGTAGAGGGGGGGGGGGGGGGGAAATAGCTAATTAACTTATTATAGTGATGCTTAGATCTATGTCTATACATAATTAATTCATCAACACTGCAAAATATGTAAACACATCACAAACCAAAACGAACTCGTATTGACTGAAAAACGCTTCCTGAATCGCAGAGCATCCAAATGAAATGTGTTGTGCGGATGCGGCAACCCAGACACAGACGGTAGTTCACTTCATTTAGAGAGAAACGACGTGATGTGTAAAAGGTGCATTGATTTGGAAGGGTAATTTTATAGATGTCACGAGGGCAATTGTGTAAACTAAAGAAGCTGAAACGCCTTGGAGTTGTGGGGACGTCATCTTCTAATAATAGCTAGTGGGAAAGAGTGACTTCTGTCAACCAACTAACTCATTTATTACTTGCGTTCAAAAAAAAAAAAAGAAGTTCTTGGTGTCATTTTAAACACCAAAACCCAAAACCCGATTCAGATATTCTATAAGATATACTCCCTATGTTTTTTAAAGATGAAATTTTAAGAATTTTTTCACACATATTAAAAAAAAATGTTCAATCATAAATGTATAAATTTTTAAGATTAAACAATTCCCCATGACTCTACACCACTAATAATTTTAGAAGCTTAATTATTTTAATACATAATTCTTGAAAACCAACATTTGAAAAATAATAAAAAATGCATTGAAAACTTAAAACATTTATCTTTAAAAAACAAAACAAAAAATGCTAAAATTTTTATCTATAAGAAAACAGATTTTTTTTTCAATAGTATACATCGTTTTGTTCTTGTTTTTTTTTTTTAATAGAAAAAGAAACTTGTTTTTTTTTTTCTTCGAAAACTGGGAACATCTTGTTAATCAATATAAAGGGTTAATATATCAAAGAAGAAACTAAACTTTACATTCTTAATGACCACTTCTTTTTAACTATAAGTTTGTGAAAGCTATGCTTTTTAAAGCTATCTGATTTTGGTTAGTTCCTAAAATATACGAGTAGTTATATTTTTTTTTTTTTGACCACATACGAGTAGTTATATATGGGAGATAAATGGTATATTTAAGATTCCTTGCAAGAGCTTATTGAGTGTATGTAACCATGGTTGACCATGAGTGTAAATTACTTGACAATGGTTTCTTAACAACCAAAAGTACCATTGTTCTGTATTCTAATATATAAAAACTTCATCATAAAGGCTAAGCATATATATGCATCCTTGCTTGATCCTTTCTGCTGAAGCCGGTTAAACTTAAAAACAGAATTGAGAATGTTTTTCTTTAAGAATAAAGTCTACTCCATTTCTACAATGTACATAGAAGTTTTTAAAATCCGACAAACTACAAGACAAGAACTTTGAACAAAAGGAAATCATGAGAACTACCAAAAAAATCCCAGATATGAATTATGTGTGACACACGCTGTAATTTTTTTTTTTGCTTCATTTTCACGTATGAATTCACCTTTAGGCATTAGAGTTTAGCCGAGATGTCGTTGATTTACACGAAGATTTCGATAAACCCATGGATCTTGAAGATTTTGGAGATGGTTTGGATCTTGGTGATGATGTTGAAGATGGTTTCTTTCTCCTATTCTTGCTTTTCGTATGAATCTTGGATAGACCTACTGGAATTGGAGGCACATCCCTTACCCTATCCGATGTATTTAGTTGGCTTGGGCTCTGATCAAAATCTGCATTTTAAGAAAAAGACATAAACACACAATTCAACTTATTATAACTCTTATTTACACACTTAAATAAGTTATTAAAAAAAAGTAAAACCTGTGGAAGAAGAAGTGGTCAAGAAAGAATTTGAATGTCTTGCATGACTAAAAGATGATGCTCTTGGAGATAAGAGCTCTGCTCCTGCCTTGAATTCACTCATCTTCACCCATCAATCGAAACGATAAAAACTTGAAATAATTACTATGTGTATATTGGTTGATATTAGTTTTAGATTTATTGTCTTAAACTTTGAAGTTTATAGCATACACCTAAAGTATAATTGAGGCATGATAAGTAAATTATGTAGGAGTAAAATAAAGCTAATTAGTTATTAAATATTGTGTTTGGGGACAGTTATGTATTAAAATAGCAAAAAAAAAGGGGGAGAAAGAGAGAGTGCTTACCCAAGCAGGAGCACTGCCAGAGGAGCCCTCCCAGCCAACATGAGCCACATGTTTTACTTCTGTTGGGTACCCAATTTCCATATCTCTTTCTTTCACAACTATTGACCAAATTAAATGTTTTTTTAATTCATTATTTAATAGTTGTTCTTGTAACATATTAACCACATAAAACATCTCTAAGATTATTGAATTCTCCCATCGATTAATAATATGGACCATACCTTAGTGGCTAAAAACTCAACCGGAAATTGTTTTCTTACGTGGGGGAATACTTAGCTTAGGAATTTTACACTCTGATATCCCAAGATCAATTTGTTAAGCTATTTCATATCTAGAACTCACAAACTTAACTTTTATGGTATGAAGCTGCGAGAGGGTTTGATATAGATCATATAATGGAGTTTAATAAGATTAAAAGTAGCTGACAATATGTTAAAACACTTTACCAAATATTTGAGAGATTGATTTGAAGCTTTTGTAGATGCCCTTCATCTTCATTGCCATTGTTGAGTGTTGATGGAGATGATTACAACAACGCCAAAAGTATATAATAGTTTTATTATTGTCAGAAGCTTAATACACGCACTATCCCTTATCTATTACAAAAGTAAGAAAAAAAATAACAAATAAACTTCATTAATTGATAAAGAATTCAAGAAAAAATAGGAAACATGTATAGAAGGAGAGCAAGGGATCTGTGGTTTATTCCATGGAACAAGATTAGTACACTTAGTTTATGAACACTCAAACATCAACAATATATGACCCATCTCATTAACATATGAACCTATGATACTATCAAAGTTTGGTTCCCCTAATATCTATGATATATTGATGATTTTTACTTGTGGAGAAATAAAATAGAGTCTTCATTAAGATCAAAAGTACCTGAAGATTACAGAGACTCTCGCTTTTCGGTTTTAATGTGAGGGGGACTCTCGTGGAAACAAATATGGGAGAAGCTCTTCTTTCATTTGATGGAGAAGCTTCTCAATGAATATCCACAAAACATATAGATTACACAACAAAATATCAAGATGTATATGTGTATAGCCAAATTTGTAGAATTGTAATGGTGAGAATGAATGAAAGAAGAAGAAGTATGGCTTGATCGGGCAATTGAGAGATGAGAGTGGGGAACCATGACACTACTTGTAGTATACAAGCTTATATGTTAATTAGTTTATCTAACAAAAAAGAATTCTTATTTGATTTTTAGAATGTGTCAGATAATAGATAAACATTGCCTAGTTGTACTGTGTATAGAACATTGTAATACGTGGAATAACAATGATTTGTTATTTCAGAATGAATTAATGATTTGTTATTTCATAATGGATTAATGATTTGTGATTTTGGAATTTTATCAGTCATATAATTTAGAGATGATTTATGTTCAATAATTTAATCGTTCCACGATTTTATTGATAAAAATAAAACAACTTTGTCATTTTATCCTTCAAAATGAGAATTAATATAGTCTAGTACAAACAATAATACATCATCATTTCTTTTCACCCTACAAAATTAGATATTTAATGGTGAAAATGAAATGTTTAATAAATTATTAGTTTTCCCAACCAATAGTGTATTATATCAATCTACTAGCAGTTAATTCCTAAGAAAAAAAAAACCTTAATTTTTATTTTTTCGGAAAGTCTTACGATTTGGAGCACTACGATAGTCAATGGTAGACAACTGTCAATGCATGCATGTTGGTTTATACATTGCAACATTCACATATTTGTTCAGCCCACGTTTTGTGTTTTACCGTTCTTCGATTCCTCGACAATTCTAACTTTTGTTAGCTGTATACGCTATATATACCCATACTAGCTTGGAGTGTAATATAATTTTAAATTCCATATGAAAGGGTCAAGGCTGTAGTTTAGAAAAATATATGTACATTAGTAACTTTAGAAAGTCTTAGAAAGAATATGTAATCTTTAAAAAGATAAAAACAAATGAAAGAGGCTATTGAAAATTATTTTATATGTATTGTAAGGTGAAGTGATGATATGTTCGAGTCTACGACGATTCTAAAAAGACAGAACAACTCTAGTGAATAGTCAATGGTTTTTTAACAAAAAAAAATAGTCAATGGTTTATAGTTTATGCATACACTTTCAAACAGTGAAGGAATACAAACGGTCTATATGTGATTGACTTGAATTCTTTAGCTTTTGTTCCAAAATGTGAACTATTATATTGTGGAGTTGTGAAAACTTGTGATGGACTAATTTGACCGAGTCTAATTTGGTCTTGATTTTTAGATTTTTAAATATTGATCTAATTGTTTCATAGTTGGTCTAATCCAACAGATAATATGAACTATTCATACAGCCCACAACATGCTAAATATTCATAAGAACTTAAACTCACAATTTGCATACTCTAATGATAGAGTTATAAAGATTAAACAGCGAGTCATAAAACAGTTTAACAAAAACATATGATAAATAAACTTCTTATCATGTAACATTAATAAACACATTATTGGATTTATGTTATATCGTAATTTCAATGGTAGTTAATTACAAATCAAGGTGGATACCACATGCTGTTATAACAACAAACAATTTCCAGACAATACGATAGCTAGAAAAACATCTGATCAGATATTTGGGTCCCGTTGTTAGAAGAATTATGAAAACTGGCGCATCTATATAATTTAATGCTGCCTTCTAAAAAGATACTATTCGATCTTCCATTATAATATTAATTAAGAGTCACTAATAAAATGTATGAATTATAACATTATACTGTAATAAATAGATTGTGCTCGTTAAGACAAAAAAAACACAAAGTAAATTGAACTGTCGCAGATAAATGTTTTCATTAAAGAAGCAGACTAATTTTTTGCATGAATGCTCATTTCATTTGGTATAAATGATCACCGTAAAAATCATTTTTTTCTAAAAGTACAAACAAATTTATCTGTTAATCCTTCTCATTTCAAGATTTAAATACACGTTAAACAACATCATATCAAGTAGTTCAAACTGCTTGATTTGATCGTACAGATTTAACAGCTACAACTACAACCTCTACCACTTAGACTGGCAAACTTAGATATGATCATATGAGAGAAACATTTTTTTTTATTTGGGCTTGACAAAATATTAAATTGACGAAGAAGTTAGTTAACTATAACTGATTTCGGCGACATAGATTTTTTTTAACAAAAAAAATTACGTACTACAAGAACGTTCCATCAATTATAATGTTTACTTTTATTTTTTTTGCCACGAACCTTCCATTTCCGTAAGTTATTTGAATGAACAGACAATAATAGTCCTTTTTCTTCTTTTAATCATTTTATGTTGGACATCAGATAAATTTCAAAGCCTCACAGATCCTCATGGCTCATGGCAATAGCAACCACATAATATTATAATTCTTTATTTTTCCCTACAACAATAATTAGAGAATATGTAGGTGTGTAACAGAAACAAAACACAAAAGTCTTCGAAATAAAATAAAAACAATTAATGTATACACAGAAAGTAAAGCTCGAACTTAAAAAATCAAAAAAAAAAAAAAATCGAATCTCTACTTTGAATCGTTACTGGGAAAGTTGGATCGATTTGGTTTCCGATACCTAAAGAAGTAAACCAAAGTGAAAACCACCAGAAGCGCAACGCCGGAGACGCCGCAGATTATGCTCGCCGCAAGAAACACGTGCCTCATCACGTGATCGCGTCTGTTACTAGCTCCGTCTCGCCACCAAGAATCGTCGTCGCCGCCGTCCGCCGCCGTAGCTTTGGGGAGGAGCTGAGAGTGAGAAGGAGGTGGAGAATGGGAGGAATCTCCGAAGAAAGACATCATTTTACCCGGCGGTGAGTGAGATTGAGTCGGTGGTGAGCTGAATTGATACTGTAAGCCATGATCGGACGGTCGTAAGCCTTCGGCGAGTGAATTTCCGGCGAAGACAAAGAGGAATGTTAGAGCGAAGGGGAAGATCGACGCCGATCGAACGCGGTTTAAAGGAAGAGCCATTTGTGTGAGAGAGAGAGTTTTGTTTTATTTTATTTTTTCTCTTTAAACTAAGTTAATAGCTTTATGTGATGTGATGAGCCCAAAACGACAGGGTTTTTTGGTTTTCTTCTTGTGGGGTTCATAATAGTTAAGAGTGTTTTATAATTTTTCAACACGGAGTCTCGCCGATGGTGATAGGTGAAAAAGTGATAACAAAAAGAAAACTACTTTAATGGGAAAAGAGAATGTGACCAAATGATATGACCAACTCTTAATCGAGAAGAAATTAATTATTGTTTTTGTAAGGTGAATTTTCCGTTTTTTTTTGGGTTAATTCTTTTGACGAATTTAGTAAAGTTATCGATGGAAAGAAAGCTAACGAAAATGCACTTCAGGGTGTGTATCTATGCTATTATCATCTTAGCAAAAAAAAAAATCTATGTTATTATCAGCAAGCCATCTATGTAACGGTAAATATCATCTACAAGCCAGTTAGTCATTTTTGACAACCTGTTATATACTTATATCATTATTTTAACGGTAATCTTACCACCTAAATTTACAGTTTTACCACATAATTTTTACAGTTAATTACATCAGTTAACACCTATTATATCTCAACTTTAATACTACATGTAGCTTAGCTGCTTTGATCATCACAATACCATTTTTTTTATGGAACTTCAACAAGTAGGATATCTAGCACACATATCATCATTAAGCATTTCGGTTAACGAAAAGAAGTGCATTTCCACAATTACCTGCTTATAGTCAGAGTTCTGCCTGACTTTTCACGGACTACGAGCCAAGAAAAAAAAATGGTCCATTTAGACATTTTTCTTTGTTAGAAGCCCATTACTATTTTAAAATAAAAACTCTTATTAGTGCAGCTAAAACCTGAAATTAAGTAGCCAAGAGTATCAGTTCACTCTTATTTTTAGTGTAACTTCCCTTTCTAAATTTTGAAACTTTTCGATGTGGAACAACAGATAGACCATTTTGTAAAAATAAATAAAAACATCACAAATACGTGCATCGGAAGAGAATCGAACTCGCCAAGTCAACAAATATGTCTCGTTTTTGACTACACAAGACCATCTGGACTAGTTTAAGTTTTGCAAAATTGGCTCCGAAATAAATTTAAAGTCACCAACCCTGAAGCTAATGCTTCATCAGTCTATGTCCAGGCACGGCTCTGCTTATAGTAGGCAGCAACTTTGATGCAAAATCATGGTACTTGTACCACCTTGAATCACAAAACAATAAAAGATTAGATGAGTATGAGTTCAATCAAAAAGGGATATATACTTTATTTAATTTTTTACATACTTTATAAGGATTTTGAGAAGGCAATGGCGTTGGAGTAATTATATTGGAATTTAGCTTGACAAGGTTAAGTAACATCTCGTCATGATCATCTTCTTGTTCGTAGAACTTATCGTCAAAATCAGTACCAGGAAGAGGAGGTTTACCAAACAAACGGAGATGATTTGGTAATGTGAAAAAGCCCCAGACCCTGAGAAGAAAAATTCACGGACATTGGTCATTGTTGAACTTGCGGATGAAGTGAGCTGCGTGCAATTCTGTTTTGTAGGATTCTGCTGATGTGTCTCCCGTCTATTGCATATGTAATATCTTATTTTATCGGTTCTATCACATTAATGTTATTTATCTAATTTGGCCTAGATTTTGTACTTTCTACTTAATTAACTATATTCTTTGGATATATTAATATTTTTATTGTTTTTCATTCCTTAAGCAACATATTAAAAGTTAAATTTGACCATTGATACTTTTGACATATTCGACAAAAATCAATATTTTTGACAGATTTGATGAAGATTTATTATTTTGATAAATTCGATGGATGATCTATTTGACGATTCGACGAGGATCGCTGAGGTGGCATACATTTACTCTTTTTATTTGAAAGAGGTCAGTCGATTCTCGGCATCACCGCATTTAAAAATAATAGATAATAAAGATAATAAAAACATATGAAATTTCCCAAAATTTTCCAAAATTTCTCTAATGTAATGTTTTTCTTTCTTTTTATTTTCAAATATTAAAAAATTATGTTTTATGTTCAGTTCAGTTGATATCATATTGTTCTGTGTGCATTTCATACTCATAATACCCATACCATATAAATCAACAAAGTAAACATGAATCTTTCATACCAGTAAAGGAACCGCAAAGGCAGATTTCCACATACACACAAAAACAACCCAAAGGACACAAACACAAATTACTTTTTAGTAAAACTAAACCGTATCGAGAGAATCAACAACATAGTTAATTTTACTCTGTAGCTAATTTAAAATTTAAGCCAGGTATCAACGTTTATTTTATCGTTTTTAAAATCATAATTAATTGGTTATATACCAAATAGGCATAAAAGTCTCGTATTATGAAATGTTTGATGTTGCTCTTTTGGTATAATCGTTTTTTTCTAACAATCTAGATAGACATCTCCATATTAAACTATTACTAGATGAATATCCGCGTGTACATGCGGGTGTTTTGTTTTTTTTTTAAATATATATTATGAAATTACATTTTTCTACAAAATTAACCTATTTTTTATTTTTGATAATATAAATATCATCCAAATTTGTAAAAATATAGTCATTAAATGTGATTTTTATTTTAATATAATTTATTAATAGATATTTTTCTATAAGTTTATATATTCTAATTTTTTGTATTTGGTAATCTGAATATCATATGAACTCGTAAAAATATAGTCATTATTTTTTATAGATGTAATACTTGTTATTTTTGCACCCAACCAAATATTTTTTCATTATTATTCTCAACCTTTTTTTTTTTTGTTTGTTAGTTAATTTTTAATGATAAAAATATGTATTTTCTAAGACAAATTTAATATCTTCACCAAATCATATTTGTAATGTATTTTCATCATTCAGAGATATGTTTCCGCATATATTTTTTGTTAAAGATTAAAGCAGAGAGAGTGAGAATGGAAAAAATACGATATGTAGTTAAGCAACCCTTCGTCTCGGTGGTAGTGTTGTCATCGGTGGGTATGCCTTTATATAAAGAAAATGGATCAATGTCTATGTAAACAAAACCAGAATGAATTCAATACAAGAGATATAATGCCGCTCTCAAAAACCCATAAATCAAAGAGGAGACGTAGAATAAAATTTTTTACCTATTGATTTGTGGAATTTTGAGTCGATATTAGAAAGCATTGGAGATTGTTTGAAATTCCATCTTTCCAACTTCCAAAATGAAAATTAATTTGCAGTTCACTATGAATCATAAATTAATATGTACTTTTTCGGTTTCTGTGTTCAACTAAAAAAAGAAATTAGTATAATTTAATTATTTAATTTTCTCATAATTGCTTATTAATCTGATGTGTCAAAAAAATAGATACTGATATCTTAGAGACTCAACTGAGTTTTTATATAATAAATTAATACAGATACCCATGGTTACCTATGTGGGATTATTTAGCTCACGATCTCAAATACGTAAACCCATGGCAAAGTTACGTGCATCTTATATAATGTTTTAATTGGAAGCTGTAATTTCAGTTGTCCGTCTAATTGGTTATACTAGTAAGAGAGATGATTAGTCTTTTTAGTTTTATTTTTCAAAGTTTATGAATTCCTTATTTCTCTTGAATTAGGATCTTGAAAAGGTTTATAATATATAATATATATATATATATAGTTTTATGGGTGAAGTATTAAAAACAAGTTTGTGATCTGAGAAAATAAAGTCGTCTTACGCTCCAAGTAACCAAACCCTAAAAAACAAAAAGTGTTTGGGAGGGGTATGGAGGATCAAGAGCAGACGAGTTTCACGTTCGAGATAGATAACTTCTTGGAGAAGGAATCTGTGATATCATCACCAAACTTCTTAAGCGGTGGCTGCGAATGGTAAACTGAAATACATTAACAGACGAGTTATATGTGTGTGTTTTGATCATTAACATATCTTTTCTAGATTCAACAAAATTACTTGTTTATGTAATTTAGTTAATCCGTATTGTTTGGTTTTTCCAGGGTTGTTGAGGTTTATCCCAAAGGAATGGACAGCTATATCGATGATCACTTGTCTCTGGCCCTCGTTGTTGCGAATCCTGAGACATTGCGACTTGGATGGAAAAGAAGAGCTAATTTTTCACTCGTTCTGCTCAATCAATCAGGCAAAGTTCTCTACAGTGGACATGGTAACTTATCTATTAAATTAATTTCGGACCTTCTAATAAAAAAAATAAAGATCTCCGATTATTTGGAGATGCATGGTCCTGAACTCCGATTATTTAGCAGTACCAAACAAAAAAAAAATACTTCAAAACCCAAATATTTTCAAATATATAAAAGAAAACTAAACTAATTCGTTCTGTTTTTTTTTTATCTTACAGGATTCAACAAATTATTCTGCGCTCATTTTACAAGACAAGGTAACTCAAAGACCTTGCCTCTTAAAAAGCTTCAAGAAAAAGGTTTTCTGGAGAATAACAAGTTGATAGTTAAAGTCGAAGTAAAAGTAGTTGAAGTTGTTGATGAAAGTGATGTAACTGGGAATGAGATGTTAGATGTCGATGGTTTCCAAGTTCTTTACACTCAGGTATGATAAATTATATAAAGTTGTGTTTTTTTTTATTCTATTTGATTCCCTTTTTTTTAGGGTGAACATAATAATTACATTTTTCTCTCGTTGACAGGCTATTTCAGTGAATTCGCTATTCACGCAGTACCCAGACATTGCAGAAAATTTCAGACCAAAGAGCCAACTGGTGAAAACAGCATACATGAATCTCCTCCTCGGTCTCATCGAGACACTGGACAAGCCTCCACATAGCATCTCTGATACTGAGCTAAGCAACGCTCACAGCGAGTTGATCGAGCTAACAGAAGCAGGCTTCAAGCTAGACTGGTTGAAGAAAAAGCTTAATGGGGTTTACTTGGAGAGGAAGAAAGAAAACGTTGATGTGTCTCCAGACCAAGAATTCAAGGAAGAGATCAATAATGCCAAATCCATTGCTAAAGACTTGCTTGAGGTTGTTGTTCACTCTTGGAATGAGTGGAAAGTAAGACTGGGATTTGCTCATCCTCATAGTTATGAAAAAGTAGACTAAAAAACTTTTTATTACTATGCTTTTTTTTAAAAAAAAATTGGGTTTTTCTTTTATTGGGTAGTCAACAAGGTTTTATGGTCGTCTAAATCTGAAATTACCATCAATTCACAAGTATTCATCTGGTCTATAGCTTCTTGGATTCTATATTTGGAAAGTTTGAACCAATTACAAAGAAAAATCTTCCAATGCTTTTTTCAATGTTTGGTATGACTGGTCAAATAGTGATGTTGAAGTTACGGTTAGGATTTAAGAACATGGATTTAAACTGTTTGTGATATTCTAGTTCATTACTATATTCCTTATGGACCAAAAAGGCCATAAAATCCATCCATGGGACGAGTCCCACTAATATACTATCCATTACAAAACTATATCAAGAAAATGGATCAACTGCTTTTGAGTTTGCTACCCTGAACACTACTACTCCCTCAGATGTTAGATACCAAAAAATTGAGAAGTTTTAAGAAGTTAGTTCACAAAAGGGTGTTTTTGATGTCAGGCAGAAGTTGTAGGAACATCCTCCGAAGGAGACTGCATTGGTGTTTTAGCTCGTGGTGGTGGTTGTGGCTTTGGTAGTGGTGGTGGTGGTCTCTTTGGTTTCACCTTCTTGACTTCCTCAGATTCAACTTCAAACTGCATGATGATGACACAAACACACGTTAAAAGGAAGAAAATTTGCAAACGTATCAATAAGAAGGTTGAAAACAAGGAAACAGACCTTGTAACCACAGCCTGAGATACACGCGTGAAAGCATTCCTGACATTTTGCAAATGCATCAAGATGAAGGTTAGATACGGTACAGTTCGTTATATTTCTCTGTTTACGAAGAAGGTTTTATCTATAGAAAGAGTGTGGATACCTCAGAGTAGCTGGCAGCTCCAGGAGAACGATCAATATATGCACTCCATTGTCGGTCCTTTAGCACAGGATCTTTGTAGCATATCTCACTGCAGGCTACAATACCTATAAAGAGTATAGCCAATTCATTAAATTGGAAACTAAAACGCGAAAAGGAGGAGATATCTTCATGAACCTAATATAATGTGGGAGACAGGTTTTATGATGTTGTATAGTGAGGACAGTATGTATCTGCTCAATTCATTAACAATTTCGTCACGGAATTCATAAATTAGAAAGAAATGCTTACAATCTTCCCATGTGTCACTATCGGCGTCACATCCCTTTTTGCAGAAAACTCTCCCTACACGGATGCAGGGTTATCATCAGAGCCTAAACTGATGATAAAGCGTAGTAAAAAAAAACGAATTGCTATGATCCTGAAAGAGTGTTATACAACAACATGGAGGACACATAAATTCAGCTAGCTTTCGTGACCATGAATGAATATGAGAGACCAATTCAAGCCTTCATCAGAAACAGCCAAACCAAGCACTTTTACTAGCTAAAGCATAACATATGTGTCTGTTGTTCACAAAAGAAACAAACATCTAATGCATAATCCCCTTTATAATCGGTAGAGACGTTCCATATTCTACAATTTTACACTATTCAGCCAAAAAGCAAGAAGATGTTCTTAAATACTTGCAGATACATCTATGAGTTGTCTCTTCACCAGTCTAACCAAAGAAATGATCATCCCACTGTTCAGTAACGTTATATGAAAGCAAAATTCGACAACACTTGATTGGGGCTTATAGCTAAAATAAATTGAGAAAAAAGAGACACCAAAACTACAAAGTAACAGTTCTCAATTGAAATCCAGAAAAGAAAGGAAACCCTCCGAAAATGAATGGACTTGAATCAAGAAATAAGAGAAATCTATCAACAATCAAAATCGATATCCAAATAAAAACCCAATATACACCCTCTATCACACATTACTAACAAGAATTCTCGAAAGAACGAATCTTCTCATCGGCGAACGAATCATCAAAACAACGAGCCAAAAACATAGAACTCACTGAGCAATTACGGATCGAATCAACACCAAATTGAGAGATACATACATGGAATCTGCATAAGTGCTGCATACTTCTGCGTGCATTGGCTCCCACACGGCGGCGTCCATTGCTGCGGTATCATCTCTCTCTTCCTCCGCCTTCACTCTCCGTCGCACTCTCTCTCTCTCTATCGCCGAAAATATCGCGGAAGAAGCCACACAAGGAAAAAAAAGCTGCTTCTTCGTTTATATAACAAGGGTATTTCCGTCATTCAACAATCCAAGCGCTCTTATAATCAAACCGGTCGGTTTCTATCTCACCGCCTGAAACCGGTTCTCTCCATTTATAAGCAAAGCCGACTCTGCCTCCGAGTCTGAGGCCTTAATTTAATAAACTTCGTCTCCTTCTCTGCGGTCTCGCATCGTCGTTCGCTTGAGTAGTGTTTTTGCTCTGCTCTGTTCTTCAGTGAAGTGATAAAAATGGATTACAACGAATACGAACAGGAGCCTAATTACGTCGAAGACGATGACGATGAGGAGATTACTCAGGAAGACGCATGGGCCGTCATATCTGCTTATTTCGAAGAGAAAGGTCTCGTTCGTCAGCAGCTCGATTCGTTCGACGAGTTTATTCAGAATACTATGCAAGAAATCGTTGATGAGTCTGCTGATATCGAGATCCGACCTGAATCCCAGCACAATCCTGGCCACCAGTCAGATTTTGCCGAGGTTGTTTAGCTGGTTCTTCCTCGGTTTTTTATTTTCTAGGGTTTCTATGGGGATTTGAAATTCTGTGGTGGGGTTTATCGTGTTTGTGGCGGTTTTTAAGTGTTTCGGATTTAGCTTGTACAGTTTTGTTGCAATTAGGGTTTGCCTTCTCGAGTAGCTGATATCATTGATGTCCATTTATCTTAGTATTGAATGCTTGAGCTATTCGATTTTCAAGGTGTATTTACAGTTAGGATTTGATTATTGGTTGAAGCTCAAATCATTTTTTGCACCTCTGATATGACTATTCTCCTACAGTTTTGTTGGAATTAGGGTTTTCCCTTTTGGAGAAGCTGGTCTCATTGATGTCCCGAGATTATTTTTGTTTTCTATGCTTGAGCTTTCTGTTTTCTCAGTGTGTATTTTTCGTGGTTTTGAATATTGGTTTGAAGCTCAAATCAGTTTGACACTAGGAAAATGTGTTTGGTATCCTTTTTTTTGCTGTACCTATTCTACTTAAGACAATCTATTTTAGCATGTACAGTTTTGCTGCAAAAGGGTTTTGCCCTTCTCGTGAAGCTAATCTCATTGATGTCCCGAGATCATGTTTGTATTCTGAGCTATTCATTTTCTAGAGGTGTATTTTCTGATATAAATATACGTCCTGCAGACAATCTACAAGATTAGTTTTGGACAGATCTATCTGAGTAAACCTATGATGACCGAATCTGACGGAGAGACTGCCACCTTGTTCCCTAAGGCTGCAAGGTTAAGAAACCTCACATATTCGGCTCCTTTGTATGTTGATGTTACTAAGAGAGTTATAAAGAAAGGGCATGATGGTGAGGAAGTTACAGAGACACAGGATTTTACTAAAGTTTTCATTGGAAAGGTGTGCAAACTTTGTTGTAGTTCAAGATTTAATAAATCTGCATCTATCGTACAGTTCTGACTGTAGAAATGTTTTCGTCCTTTCCTAGGTTCCCATCATGCTCCGGTCTAGTTACTGCACGTTGTTTCAGAACTCGGAGAAAGATTTGACAGAGCTTGGCGAATGTCCTTATGATCAGGGCGGATACTTTATCATTAATGGCAGTGAAAAGGTTCTTATTGCTCAGGAGAAGATGAGTACGAACCATGTTTATGTTTTCAAGAAGAGACAGCCAAATAAGTATGCATATGTAGGTGAAGTCCGTTCCATGGCGGAGAACCAAAATAGGCCTCCAAGCACAATGTTTGTGCGCATGCTTGCTCGTGCTAGTGCGAAAGGGGTAAGATAAAGCTAATTGTCTTAACTTTTACGATATCCTTGATTAATTTCTTTTTCTGTACATTCTAAATTACGGTTAATAAGATTCATTCTGTGGCATATGGATACAGGGTTCATCTGGACAGTATATTCGGTGTACTCTACCATACATCAGAACAGAAATTCCTATTATCATAGTGTTTCGTGCGTTGGGATTTGTTGCTGATAAGGACATATTGGAACACATTTGCTATGATTTTGCCGATACTCAGATGATGGAGTTGCTCAGGCCTTCGTTGGAAGAAGCTTTCGTTATTCAAAATCAACAGGTATCTTCTTTTCTTTCATTTGGTTAAAGAAAATTTTTCTTCTGGCTCTTCTCATATTGGGAACTTGAAAATTTGATCCTGCAATCAGTTGATACTTGATAACTTTCATATTGCTTCAGGTTGCACTTGACTATATTGGGAAACGTGGTGCAACTGTTGGTGTAACCAAGGAAAAGAGGATAAAGTATGTATTAATCTAGACCTATTAAGTTAGGCATTATGATCTAAGAGGTCAACTACTGAGATGTTGACACTGGAGGTTTGCAATTGCAAAATTATCTTTGCAGGTATGCAAAAGACATCCTTCAAAAAGAAATGCTTCCTCATGTTGGAATTGGGGAGTATTGTGAGACGAAGAAAGCTTACTATTTTGGGTACGTATTCAGCTCACTCGTATTCATTTCGATTTCATATGTTTCTGTGTTGCTCACATAATGCTATATAAACCTTAGGTATATCATACACCGACTGCTGCTTTGTGCACTTGGCCGAAGGCCAGAAGATGATAGGGATCATTATGGTAACAAAAGGCTGGATCTTGCTGGTCCTCTGCTTGGAGGGCTGTTTAGAATGGTTTGTTATCGAACCACTTATCAACCATTTTTGGGACAAAACTGAAGAATTTTAAGTATCATTTTATTTGATATCTTACGAACCTAGCATCTTCTTTAACGCAGCTTTTCAGAAAGCTAACAAGGGATGTGAGATCTTATGTTCAGAAGGTCTCTTACTTTGTTACTCTTTCTTGAGCCGAGTACTTTAATTCTAGCTTGTTATTCTGTGTTTGGAAGTCTGATTCATGTCATTTTAACAGTGCGTTGACAATGGCAAAGAAGTCAATCTTCAATTTGCCATTAAGGCTAAAACAATTACCTCTGGCCTGAAATATTCTCTTGCTACTGGGAACTGGGGCCAGGCAAACGCTGCTGGCACAAGAGCTGGAGTCTCTCAGGTTAGGATGTTTCTTTGTTTCTTCTGTTTTTCAGCTCAAATAAATTCATGACATATGTTATGGGGTTTACAGTTTTGGTCTACATTGTTTATTGTAAGATTTTCATGGTTCTAAAGTCTTAACTAACAACAGGTTCTAAATCGGTTAACATATGCTTCCACTTTGTCACATCTGAGGCGTCTCAATTCTCCTATAGGGCGTGAAGGTAAAGCCTCGTTCTTTTTTTCCACTTCTGTTATGTCTTAGTGTATCTGTTTGTGCAGTTGGCGTATTTTAGTCATGGTTCTCTTTATTATCCACATCCTTGCAACTTGTATCTTAATCGAGTCTTACTTGCCAGGAAAATTGGCAAAACCAAGACAACTGCACAACTCGCAGTGGGGTATGATGTGCCCTGCTGAAACACCTGAAGGACAGGTAAAATCATTGCCTTTATAGAAATAAGGGTGTTTCGGGTTTCATTAAGTTCGATTACTTATTGTGGCTTTGCTGTGCCAGGCTTGTGGTCTAGTGAAAAACTTAGCGCTCATGGTCTACATAACAGTTGGATCAGCTGCTTATCCCATATTAGAATTTTTGGAAGAATGGGGTACTGAGAATTTTGAGGTCTGTAGCCCTTCACATTCAGTTTTTTAATTAATTCTTGCCACTTCCTTTCCTGTGGTTTCCTGAAGGTCGTAACTTGAATGTAGGAAATCTCTCCATCTGTTATACCCCAAGCCACAAAAATCTTCGTCAATGGAATGTGGGTTGGAGTTCATCGAGATCCTGACATGTTAGTGAAAACGTTAAGACGTTTGAGAAGAAGGGTAAGCATGCAATTTCTTTCAGATTTCCAAATATTTTAGTAAAAAAATTGCAACTTCTAGTAGAAATGATATATTACTTTTCCTCTTGCAGGTTGATGTTAACACTGAAGTTGGCGTTGTTAGAGATATCCGTCTAAAAGAGCTCCGGATATACACTGATTATGGTCGTTGTAGCCGTCCGTTGTTTATTGTGGATAATCAGAGGCTGTTAATAAAGAAGAGAGATATCTATGCCCTGCAACAAAGGGTAAAATTCTAGTCGTTCGTTCTTAAATACCTTTTGTTTTAAATTCAGTGTACCAATATTTGTTTTCATAACCCAGGAAAGTGCAGAAGAAGATGGTTGGCATCATCTAGTTGCCAAGGGCTTTATAGAATACATTGACACAGAGGAAGAGGAGACGACTATGATATCCATGACTATCAATGTGAGTAATAGAATGTCTGAAGGTTGAATTGATATAAATGCACTTGAGATGTACTCATTATCACAAAAAACTCAATCCTGATTTTGTTTTAGGATCTGGTTCAAGCTAGACTCCGTCCCGACGAGGCATATTCTGAAACTTACACACATTGTGAAATTCACCCCTCTTTGATATTGGGTGTATGTGCTTCAATCATACCATTTCCCGACCATAATCAGGTTTCTCTCTCGTTAAATGACTTGACTATGAGACAATTTAGTTGTGTAAATTCAGATATATGCTAACTAACTTGTACTTTTTTCTGCCACTTCTGTGTTTTGATGAATAGTCACCACGTAATACATATCAATCTGCTATGGGGAAGCAAGCAATGGGAATATATGTCACCAACTACCAATTTCGCATGGTATGTTCTAGGCTCTTAATTTGTGGTCTTTTCCCGCCATCTCTCGGTATAACACTTCATGCTTTAATGATATTATTATTATTATTGTTCTGTCAACCAGGATACCCTAGCCTATGTTCTCTATTACCCTCAAAAGCCTCTGGTTACGACAAGAGCTATGGAGCATCTTCACTTTAGGCAACTTCCGGCAGGAATTGTGAGTTATTTTGCTAAAAGTTTTCAGAATTCAGCTTTTACTCTTCCTATCAAATCTCTCAAATGGTTTTTTTTTCTTCTTGTTGTGCAGAATGCTATTGTTGCCATTTCTTGTTATTCTGGATATAATCAAGAAGATTCTGTC